GTAGGAGGAGGAGGCATTCGATGATTTCCCTATCAAAACAATATTAACTCGTCGAGTACCGGTTTTATAGACACAATTAACCTTTTGAACGCCAGAGCAAAAACGCATGAACTTGCCCTCAACGCCAGGCCACAAATTCACCGCAAATACCTACGAAAAAAATAGGGATTCCAAAACTTCATCGATAATCAATTTTATTTTCATTTTCGTCTTTAATTTCGAAATATAATGTCCTTATAACATTGAAATTTAATTCAACATTACATTTCTTCCTATTAAAGTAATAGTTATACACTATTTACAGACTTGTATAATACCGTAATAACAGATATAAGACTACAATATATTTAAATATAATAACTGTAGGTACAACACTATTCTTGATCTGCTGTCTTCATATTGTGACCATGGCGTGGACGGCCCGCCATTTTAATAACTACTACTCGCGCTTCCGAAATAAGGATGTGGCAACGTAATATCTCGTTTATCGATGTTCTAGTACAATATTATTTTATAATAAATGAAACACGTTTTTTAAATCAGATTTATAATTCCGAATGTAACAGGTACTTAAAAATATATGATTGAAATAGGTTAAGAAGGTAAAAAAAACTATGAAAAAATAGAAAATTTTATTAAAATGTTATACAGTATGTACTATGTATACATGTTTTTAAATATTAAGTTCTATAAACCTGGTATAAAAAGTAACAAATTAAAACAATTAACGATTATATAAAATTATCACAATTACCAATCAGTCTTATACTAATAAATCTTTTGAATAATAGAACAAAATTATACAAAATCTACAATGCAACCTGCATTCTGATCATCTAATTCGCTGGGTGCAAAGTGGGTGGTGGGGACAGTGAAATCGATCTCAGCGCGCACCGTGGCTAAAAAAGGAACTTTTGGCAGACTTTATTCCACGAAGTTATAGGTAAATATGGAGCCCACACTTAGAATAAAAGTTTCGAGTCAAATACTCTCGCTCTTCTTCCGTAGTCATTAAATTCCCACTCATTATAATAGTCACTTAACCCTTCGGGGATAAAAGGCGTGATGTTATGTCTGCATTAAATTATTTTGTCCCGATCGTTGCCACTGTGGTATATTTACTATTCCATTAAGTTGCGTTGTACCTGAAACATCCCTAATGCCTTGTTCGCACTATGCTAGTATTTTAGTCAAGTAGCGAGTATTTAGTAACTCTCTCTCGCTTTGATTTTGGGACAGAAGCGAAAGGGATATAGTAAACACTCGCTACTCGACTAAAATACTAGCATAGTGCAAACAAGGCATTACTCTCACGAGGCCGGTGCGGCACTGGTAACTCCCCTGGTGTTGCGGATGTCTATGGGCGACGCAGATTGCTTACCATACGATCTTTGTTTGCCGGATTAATAAGATTTATTTCCAGTGTCAATCATCAACATCATCAACAGCCTGTTCTCGTCCGCAGCTGGACATAAGTCTCTCCAATAGCACGCCACGGAGTTCGACGCATCCAACCATTACCATACCAGCCACTGGATATATCGTCACTCCACCTAGCTGGGCTGGAGAGCGCCTTACACTACATTTGCCTAGACGTCTCGTGGACGCGTTCGGCGCTCTGATTGGCTGGCTCCAATGAACCAACCAATCAGAGTGCCGAAACGGTCTCATTTCGATAACTTTAAACGTAAAACAGACTCATACTAAAGCCTCAGAACACGGTCTACTCCAACGGTCATTGGTTTGTCGACAAATGTGACCAATCGGATTTGGGCTACGTCGGTAACTTTAGTTCTCTATCTAATCGGATCATCTCGTTACGGATCCTATAATTCAGAGAGACTCTGAACATAGCTCTCTCCATAGCTCGTAGCACAAACCAACTTATTACTGTATGCGCTAGTACCTACCCATAATAATAAAGAGCGTCGTTATATTGCGATCTCACTCACTCTAAAGTAATCAATAATATTGAAACTGCGCTGCAGATTCGCTCGTATAGGTATGTACATATTTGTATTTATGCAAATCCTCGGTATACAAATATGATCTCTGTTGCACAGGGATTAAACTTTAGTATGCTTGTGAAGGATGTATCTGTACTTTAAAAGTATGTATGAACTTGTATATCATCGTATTTTGATGTTTACGTGAACTATTTGCCCCAAGTATATGGTAATGATTATGTAACATTATGGAAGATTAGTGTAAATGAGAATAAATTATAAAACAAACACCAACTTCAGGAGAAAATTATATTTCAAAGAGACATCATTTCAATTCTACATCAGCAACTTAAACATACATTTATAATGACTAGAAATACTACAGAATCAATAAATAAACTTAAAATCTAAAAACTGCGGGAATGTCATAATACTGATACATAACAATCGATTTCAAACCTTCCAGTCTATCTCTACTCCCTGTACTAAGTTGTTATCACTTACCACTTAATCTGTCAAACACCAAGCGGTCACCGGTGACCGCGACCTATTGTTCTTTAATTGTGTCTATAAAACCGGTACTCGACGAGTTAAATTCAACCTCCTTTGTAAAATTCTGATGTTCTCTCCTTGGTACCATAGAGGTACAAGGATGAATTTCCATAGACAAAAATCCATAACAATAACTCCTGCTTACTGCCATACCGATGGTATACCTAACAAGTGCACCCATCACAATCCAAATACATATATATATTATATATATATATTATATAAAAAGCAGATCTTACTAACACTACTACTGAAGATTACTGCTCCAAATAGATTAGATAGTTAAATATTGACATTACATTTTGGTAAAATAATATTGGTGGGTAATGTCATGATGATCGGAAATTGATCTAACTGTCAATCTGCATGTGGTACAGATCCTTAGTATCAATCTCTGAAACAAAAAAAAAAATTAACATACAGCCTGTAAGAGGTCACTGCTGGACTGTGGGCGTTCTCTACATAATTATGAGGGTGTTGCCATAATCTCCACACCAGACAGGCATTGGAAAATGTTTATTAAAGAAATTCATAATGTTGTGATGTGTATATAATATTTTATGTTCATAAACACACCCATGACATAGGACAATATTCTAGAGATGGCAATTTATGTTTTAAATGGTTAAGGGTTAGGTTTACCTGGCTCCTCAATGCCATTCTTCTTGTCAATGGCCTTCTGCAGGGTGGCGATGCAGGAGGCTAAGTTGTTGACTCCCATCATGAGGTCCCATGCCTGCACGAAGTTGTTGTCCGACTCTATAAAACAAACATGTCTACTGTAGACCAGCTACTTCCCTACGGTTCTACTTCTATTGGTTGAAGCAGGATGTTTTAGCTGAGAGACTAGAGTTGAAGTTGCGGAAAACCAGTCAATTAGTTACTAATAATTTTGGTCCTAATAAGTAGGTATATAAGTGAGTATCCTAAGCTCATAGGTGCCTCTTACGAATAAAAAATCAATCACTAAATCCCAAAAAGCAAAATGAAAAAAAAATTGATTGGTTTTTTTTTTATATTAACTATTTTAGTGATCACCTTGCACAACAGGCATTTAACAAAGATGTAAAAGGAACATATTATATGAAATGTAAATGTATTATTTACTTACTGTCATGAATGAGATATTCATAGTAGTTGCTCGACAAAGCGGGCGTCAACTTAGCCATTTTATAGGGCCCAGTATATTTGGGCTCCTTGTCCTTAACAGTCATTATGATAGCAATCTTGCCGGTTTTATGGAAACGGTTTAAATGTGAAAATTTCGGATATCTATCCGAAGCGCAAAAATCGCAATTTTGCAAACAACAGACCCGATATCAATACAGCAGAAAATTGACAGTATGTATGGAGTTGACAGTGCTGCCAGCAGCAGTTGTAATTCGTATTGATTTTCGCGTTTCGTTTTACCTACTTATTATCACCACGGGTACAGTTTACATCCTGAATGGATACTGTGGTTTCACCATACAGCCAGTGCCATATCCATTTCGTATCAATCATTTTGACTAGGCCAGAAGTTTCAACTTGGCAAAACGTTAGAAACAAAACTAGCTTTTTATCGGTTGGCAACATTTATAATAAACAATACTGTACAGTTAGTCTAGCTTGTAGTTTTAAATGTTATTAAAAGATGATACGATTCATTACCATTTTGTGATAGCACTACCTAATTAATATAAAAATATTCTATCACACATTACCGGTTGTTTTATTTTTAATATTTTTTCAGATATGAAGTCTGAAAACACGGTAAAGCGTACTGTTTCGTGTGGTAATAAAACTGAAAATGTGAAAACTATATTTATTAATTTACGCTAATAGTTAAGCAGCAAAAGTCGTAAATAGTTATATATTACTTAACCCCTCTAGTACATTTAAGTGAGATATTGTAACTATTTTCTATCGAGTATCTTTGATAGTGGCAGACGAGAGGTTAATCCACTAGAACTTTGAACTTACCTACATTCTTTGTGTAGGTAGTAAATACATACTAAAAGGCGTTACCCGTATAACTAACTAAAGTAAGACCATCGCTGGCAAAAGAACTTACGTCATAAACAAGACAAACGGTACAGCTGGCAGAAAAAACTAGTAGGCTCAGAAGTTACTAAAGATCGTACCATACCACACAGTCACCTGATGTGACTGTAAACAATACTTTTAATCTAAATTTATGAAATTTAAATAATAAATAATTGATCAGTCTTATGCTTTCAAGGTTACGAAGATAATATTTATTGCTTGCACGCTATGATGTGTACGCAATTTGCCTTGGTTATGGTAGTAGCTTATATAAATAAATAGGAATAAATAAAACAAACAATAGCATTTTATGCTATTTAGTTTTTAATAACGCTTTACGTCATAATTATACCCTTACTTTCATAAGCTATCGATCATCAGCATATTTCTTGAGCTCTTCGGTAAAAATCGATCTTATTGAAAAATACAGGGGTCATGAGTTTGTGTAGAAGTAGCTTACCCCTTATCTTTCTTCTGTTATCGCCTCTCTTTTCTGTACACAGGTTTATAAGGATCATTTCTGTCGTTCAAAAAACAATCTAATTGTAGATTCTTAGGTAGCCTTAGATGTCGAAGGTGATCTTCTAAGCTAGTCGCGAACTGATGACTTCGTAAAAATGATGTAGCCCTGAGTACCTCATTTAGTGATGACATATCCTTTTTTTCAGTATGTGTTTCGATCGTTTGCGTTTCTTTAGTACAAAATAGTTTTGAAGTTTGAGCTTTCAATTTAGCACTTGATTGTTTAGAGAAAGTTTCAATTGCATTAAAAATCATATCTAAAATTAGTAATTCTTTTGTAGTTAAACTATCCATATCTATCTTTTCAATAGCAACTGCATACGGAAAATGTGACGTGTTAATAATAAAATTCACAAATTTGTCCAATTTATGTTCTTTAGTTGGTCGTTTTTTCATAATTAAATTTAAAATTTCTTCAAGAGGAGCTTCTTTTTTGTGTTGTAGCATATATTGAAATGCAGTTAGAGAAATTGAAAACGTAACTAGGCAAATGTCGTTATTTTTCTTTGAATTTGTTTCATGTTTGGAATTGCTCGATTTGATGAAATCGGGTATGTTCACGTTGACGATATTGGATGTGTTCACATTGACAATGTCGCGTCTGATCACATTGACGGTGTTGGGTTGAGTCACATTGACGGTGTTGGGTTGAGTCACATTGGCAATGCTGGGTCTGGTCACATTGGCGATGTTAGGTCTGATCACATTGGCGATGCTGGGTCTGGTCACATTGACGATGTTAGGTCTAGTCACATTGGCAATGCTGGGTCTGGTCACATTGGCGATGTTAGGTCTGATCACATTGGCGATGCTGGGTCTGGTCACATTGACGATGTTAGGTCTAGTCACATTGGCAATGCTGGGTCTGGTCACATTGACGATGTTAGGTCTAGTCACATTGGCAATGCTGGGTCTGGTCACATTGACGATGTTAGGTCTAGTCACATTGGCAATGCTGGGTCTGGTCACATTGACGATGTTAGGTCTGGTCACATTGGCAATGCTGGGTCTGGTCACATTGACGATGTTAGGTCTGGTCACATTGGCAATGCTGGGTCTGGTCACATTGACGATGTTAGGTCTAGTCACATTGGCAATGCTGGGTCTGGTCACATTGACGATGTTAGGTCTGGTCACATTGGCAATGTTGGGTCTGGTCACATTGGCAATGTTAGGTCTGGTCACATTGGCGATGTTGGGTCTGGTCACATTGGCAATGTTGGGTCTGGTCACATTGGCAATGTTGGGTCTGGTCACATTGGCAATGTTGGGTCTGGTCACATTGGCGATGTTGGGTCCAGCCACATTGGTGATGCTGGGTCTGTTTACATTGATTATGTTGGGTCTGCTCTCAGTCACGAGATTAGATCTGCTTACATTGACGAAATTGGAAATTCTTGTATCAGTAGGATTAGGCTTGCTTGCACCGACGGGTTCTGGTTTACTTTTATCGACGAAACTAGATCTATAGGCGTTTGGTTTGGTCCCTCGTGTGTTGAGAGGTTTGGTCTGATTGTTTAAAAATTTAACATCAATGTATTTGGTAAAATTATTGGTATGTCTAACAGGTATATCAAAATGCGACAATTTAGTCATTTGAGTTTTTTTAGGTTTACAACAGCACTTACAGTCCATAATGGAACAAAGATGGGGTCGTCTCATGAAATTGATTATACCCTTAAAACCACCATCTGCTAAGAAACGACCAGCAACTTCTTCCTGTTTATACCAACAACATAAGTTTTGTAATAAGTTTGTTGGTAGTTGGTTTTTAGAATTTATATGAATGTTTTCTGAATTACAAGATGATGATGATTCATGTTTAATGTTCCAATTAATATTTGACGTTCCTAAACTTGTATTATTGTTTTTAAAAGATTTTACTATAGGTGTATTCATTAAATCTGTTCTTTCTGTCATTTTGTTGTACCAATCGCGGGGGTTTTCCGACCGGTTTACTTTGTTCTTTGTATAGTTTTCATTTGATAAAACTAATTTAGTAGAACAGCAACAAAGGCAATTATTAATGGAGCACTTGTGTGTTTTTCTCATAAAGTTTAGAGCATCATTATTTCTTGGAGTTTCGAGGCCATGACTGTGTCGAAATCTATCTAACCAGTTTTTTCTTGCATACCAGCAACAAAAATACCTTGTCAAAATATTTTCATGTGATCTCGCTAATTCTTTGAGTGCACTTTTAAAAGATTGTATGTTTTGAAGCCTGACATATTCCTTCAAGGACAAGAAACTATCCAGAAAATAAACATCGATTTCGTTATTTTGCAGATCATATAGTATGTTAATTTTATGCCTGGTGTTTATTCTGAAAAATGGTATAAGTGTTCGATATTTTGTGTTTTCTGTTATATCCTTATTTGAGATTATTTTTAATTTTTCAACCACAACTCTTACAGGTTTACATAACCGTAGAAGATTTTTATCATGTCGATTTACACGAGCTTTTTTATTCACAAAATTTATACGTAATGATAAATCTTCATATGCTGAGAGTCGTTCATTGGCATCCATTGAATTACTTCTTACCCGTTTTCTGTTTATATTGGGTTTACTCTCTTTAATTATGGCTTCAAATACCGCATCAGTATCCTTGGTGCTTCTAACTTTACTAAAAATATTCATTTCATCCAATCTTGTCGTATACACAATCGAGTGTAAGATTTTGAACTTCTCTTCATCATCGACCTTTACTGCCGCCTATAACAAATAAGAAACAATAAGTATATCTTCTTTTGATTCCGATTGTAGTTTGACCAAAACTACAAAACCAAAACAAACTAACTGAGAGTTTCTTTCAGAAACTAACTAGTTGAATAAAAGCTAAAATCGCCACTTCTCTGAATATAAAGAACTTTTATATAAAGAACCATGGATTAGGCCTAGAATGTAAATAGACCATTTTGGCAATTTACTAAAGATCTAATAAAATCAGGGAAACAGATTTTATATTATAGATATAAAATATATATAGATTTTATTTTATTTATGATTTTAGATGCAATAAACAAAATGCTATAGGTAATTCACTTCAAGAAGGAAACTGCAGAGAGAGATCGAGAGAGGATAGACCCAACTCGGAGACAAAAGCGGCGCCGTAGGAATCGCCGTAGAATTTAACTCCAAAAAGATAGGAGGTAGCAACATAATTTGAGTGTCGCAGGTGAGTTCGTTCATTCGAGTACCCAGTGACTGTCATATTGTTTTCTGGGATTGAGTGTGTGGTTTTAGTCGGTAAGAGTCCGACATAATCTGCTGTCTGACGCTCATGACACGTTAAAAAAGGTTAATTCACTTTTACTACTAGTGTAAAATAATACGCTAGTATCAATATTACTCTAGTCGCGTTGTAAGGGTTGCCATGTGATGTGAACAACTGTGGCGCCCTCATTTATTTTAATGATAAAATAGATAAACTGTACAAGTAATAAGTATATAATAGGTAAATCCCAAATAATTTTAAAGGGTTTATTTACTAACGCAAAACTTAATCAATCATCTGTGGCAATATCTTGAGCTGTTTGTACACTATGTATCCTTACTAATATTATAAATCGGAAAGTGAGTTTGTTTGTTTGTTCCACTATCACGCCGTAACTACTGAACCGATTGCTTTGAATTTTTGCAGACATGAAGTTACAAGTCTGGATTAAATAATAGGGTACTTTTTATCCCGGAAAAATTTGATATTCTCGAGGGAAAACGAAATTATTGGTATAGATGGCGCTGTGTGTATTGGTATATGTCACATAGGCTACTTTTTATCCTTTTGTGACGCGTGCGAAGCCGCGGGTAAAAGCTAGTATAGTATAATTATAGGCATGTATATAGAAACATTGATAGATTACATTTCAGAAAGGCAGGGTGACGCTTGGTATTTGAACTTATGAGTATCGTTAGTCTTAGTAGTGATGAAAATCGAATCGAATCAGCTAACTAAGCGATACAGTCTACCTTATAAAAATTAAAAATAATTTAATTTTTTTTTGCACACTGTAGGTAGGGTGCTGACAGCGGCCATAGTTTTTTTTGCCTTTCTGATTTTCAATCATATTTGAACTCTATGTCTCAACGCCTACGTGCCAAAATGCCACGTGCTGTCGCCAACTGTCACTAGATCACTGCGCGGCGCAGCGCCGAGTAATGGAACGCATGAAAAACAATAAACAGGTTATAGATTACCTATACTACGACTACGTACCATTTCATCCATGTTTTTCTTTTGCTAGCACTATTAAACTAAAAATCACTACAATTTGTTAGCACACAAATGATATATCGTCATTTTACGAGAGAGAAACGAAATAACAACAACGACGCGAATGATACGTTCCGAAGGAGTGCCACTGCCAGTCAGTGTACTACGTACGTGGTGCATATCGCGGCGCGGGGGGGACGGCCGCCGCCGAATGCCGACCGCCGACCGGCGTTCGTCGGGTCACGCGGGGAGCGGGGAGGTGCCCCCTTCCCGCGCAATGTTACTCGCAAACGTTTCAAGTTGGGTTATTTCCTATTGATTGTTCACTACCACCTGCTACGCTTAGTAGGTATTTGTACCTACTTATGTTCTGTTTGACTATACAATGCGCGCGCGCGCAAGATGTCAACTCGTCATGCGATACTCGAACATTAATGTATTAAATAAACTATTGTGTTTTCGGCTTAGGTACTCACGTAATTATTTGACGAAGAACTCGACTCGAGTCGAGTTTATTTAGTATGTCTCACGAAAGTTATAATAATACAAACATTAATGTATTGTAAGTATATTACACATTGCGGTGAATCCGCAAGGGCGTCCCGGGTCACGGCCACAGGCAGAGGAGGAACACCGCGGTGGTTTTAGCCGGTAAGAGTTCGGCACACCCCCCCGTCGTCCCCACGGCGTGGGAAGTCCATGAGGATTTCCATCGCGTTATAAAAAAAAAAAAATATTACACATTATCGACTGTGACAGAAGAAGGTTACGTTTTTGTTATTGTTTGTAAATAAAAAATATCTTATATAATTTGCTTATTATGTAAGTGGGTGCCTACGATACTTAATTACAGCTGTACTTAACGAAGTTCTTAGTGGTCTACCTTAAACATAAAAACATCTAAATTGATTTAATTCCTATGTCTGAATAAGAAGAAAGAAAGAAAAAAAAACTTTATTTCATTAGGTACCTGTATTGAATAATTTCTCCTTATATGTATTATACAGAAGAAAAAAGAAACCAGCATTAACTAGGTACATACCTACTCTACTAGTACCTAACTTAACTACCTACCTACCATATTAGATTAGCTATCTAGGTAGGTACCTACCTTATTTCCAACAGTCAATTGCCACAGACAGAATATGTAGAACTATACAGGGTGTGAATGGAATGGTTACGAAAACGCAAACAATTCTTTTTTTTTTATTTAATTCGTTTTTTTTTCGTGTTATTCGTGCAATATCAGCCATGAGCAGTTAATCACAACTATTATTACATAAAAGAAACATTTAATTCCTTACTTTCTTTGAAAATTAAACTCGTTTTTTACCATTACCTGTCTTCGTTTTTTTTTGAAGCGTTCCGTTTACACTCTGTATAAGGCACACTGTTATCTTATAAGTCAATACAGTCAAGACAAGACAGTACCTATGCACCTGCATAGGTACTGTCTATCTACCTAATATAGGTGCATAGCTTTGTAATTCTATTTCATCGACAGGTACTTTCCCGAGATCCGAGATTACCTAAAACACGGGTAAAGTCGCGGCAACGCGTTAGTATCTTTCTAGATTCTAGATAGATTTTGTATTGAATTATTTTTTTTATTATTATCAAATGTCTACAAAAATAATTAACTGAAATGAAGATAAAAAAATATAATAAACCCGACAAAACAAGTAATTTTCATAGAGTTCAAGATAATGCGAAATAATACGACCGCCGACAGCCATCTTGGCGTTACCATAGCAACCGCGCTTATTTATTTCCGTGAAGATGTAATACAGTTCCGAAGTTTTTATACACAAAATTGTTTAGAGAAATAACACGGCAAACGGTTTCTTTAATGATTTTGAATTAATTTTATTCGTGATTGTATTAGTATTATTAATAGTGATGTGTTTGAATCTAATAATTTGCAGTAGGTAACTATCGATGAAATAAATTGTTTTCTTTTGTTACAAAAACAATTGCAATCGCAATATTCGTTGATTATTTTTTTATTAAATTAACTGTTTTTAAGTACCTAATTAGATTTGTACTGTTTTGACGTGACATAAATTATAAGTACTTAAATAAAATGTACTTAGTTACGATTATGGATGTACCGCGATCTAGATTGGGGTCAATTTATTAAATGAAGTGGTTGGTTATCTATGTAAACGTAATGAAGTGACTTGTAAAGTAGTGACGCATTTAAATTAAGTAGGTGGTACCTGCGGATAATTTGAGCATAATCAATAATATGGTGTGATAATAAAACATTAAATATGGGTCAGTCAAAAACAGTTCGTGCTGACAATATGTATAACTTTCAAGATGTGAAGAAATTGAGTAGGATATCGACTTTGTGTCATGTAAGTACCTCTACGAATATATTAACGTGGGTATCCTTACTAATACATATTATAAACCTGAAAGTGAGTTTGTTTGTTTGTTCCGCTTTCACGCCGTAACTACTAAATTGATTGCTTTGAACTTTTATAGACGTGAAGTTAGAAGTCCGGATTAAATAATATAGTATTTTTTATCCCGGAAAAATGTGACATTCCCGAGGGGAAACCAAAGTATTGGTATAGATGGCGCTGTGTGTACTGGTATATGTCACATAGGCTACTTTTTATCCTTTTGTGAAGAGAGTGAAGCCGCGGGTAAAAGCTAGTTATGAATAAATTCATCCCTCAAAGCCTTAAGTAGGGCTTTGATTTAATTTGATGAATTTATTCTAGGATTCCTATGGTATTCTTGTTTTTAGAAACATTGCCCCACTCTACTCTAGATTTTCTTTTTTTTTTCTATTCGGAGTCGCGAAGAACCTAACGGGTAACCGGGGCTCCGGCACGACGTGCAGGAGAAGGAACGGGGTGGTTTTTAGTCAGTAAGAGTCTGACACTCCCTCCCGCCTCACCCAGGCGGGAGCGGTCATTCGATGATTTTCCCCTCTTAAAAAAAAAGCGTGTATGTGATTAAACTGTAAAGTTATCGGTGCATTGGTGCTCGGTTATGCTTGTCGGTTTTGCATGCACATAACCATCATGCAAACCCTAGCGTGTGTGGCCGCCTTTACTCAATAATTTTTAATAAACATTCCATTCAAATTATTTTATCTTACCTATAAACTTTTATTAATTATTTTTATTCTGGGTACACAAATACCAATTATAAACATAGAACATAACATAACTTCACGCCTTTTATCCCTGAAGGGATAGACAGAGGTGCACATTACGGCTCTTAATGTCACTGTACAATGTAACACCTACTTTTCACTATTTCATGTTATGAGTCCCATTTAATAGGGCCATGCCATATACCGGGCACATCCGCACATTTCTAGACTCCGTGCTACTGAGATTTTTTTTTAAACCCAGTAATATATATGTCCGATCCGGGATTGGAACCCGAGATTTCGTGCCCGGCAGTCGCGCTTGCGACCACTCGGCCAATGAAGCAGTAAGTACATACATAGATAGGTACTTAAATATTTCCAACCTTCATTGCAAAGTTGTTAAAAAATGTCTTTATTTTACAGATGCAATATCGACATCGTAAGTTAAACTCTTAAGAGTGTAGTTACCATGGGAGAGGCGCTAAGTAAGTTAGTGTCGGCGGGCGGCGTGCAAGGCGGGGGTTCCGTTCTGGACCGAGTCATTTCCCAGCCTAGTAGCGAAGACCACACGGTACTTTATAAACTCGCCGATTATAAAAAAGGTATTTGTATTTTGTATGTTTTTTTATGACATAAGCCGGTAAACGAGCAGACGGATCACCTGATGGTAAGCAATCGGCGCCGCCCATGGACACCTGGAACACCAAAGGCGTTACAAGTGCGTTACCGGCCTTTTGGGGATTAGGTTTTTGAGGATTGTTGGGGATTCAGGGATTGGGGAGATTGGGGAAAGGCAGGGTAATTGGGCCTCCGGTACTTCACTCACACGACGAAACACAACGCAAGCGTTGTTTCACGTCGGTTTTCTGTGAGGCCGTGGTATCACTCCGGTCTCGCCGGCCCATTCGTGCTGAAGCATGGCTCTCCCATATTTAAAACATTTTTCCCAGACATAAAATAAGTTTATTCTTTAATAATACCTAAATACCTATTTAGTAAAGTACTGGATATAATATACATTAAATATGTTTAGGACATCGATTATCATCTACTGAACGACTAAGTACCCATGACATCAATCAAGGAATGTTGTTAATGTTACTTTAATTAATTTCTTGCCGTCGTCGTGAAAAACTGCCTCGTTGGCCGATTAATCGCAAGTGCGACTGCCAGGCGAGGGGTCTCGGGTTCAATTCCCGGGTTGGACAATGTATTACAGTGTTTTTAAAAATTCTCGATAGTAGAACGGAGTTTGGAATTGTGGACGATATATGGCAATGGAACCACCCCCTATTACATGGGATGGGACTCCTAACATAAATATGTGTAAAAATATAAATATGATACCTGTTATGTTATGTGAAAAATATGGTTGTCGCCGTTTAGGTACACTACCGGCGTGTTATCTGTATTATTTTTCATTCTATGCATACATCAATGTTTATGGTCTGTATCTGTAGTCTATTGAGTACTTTATTCATAGAGAAACTACTACTAACTGCCTACTTTATTGTATGTATTAATTCAGGCGGTCTGCTCCTCGAGACGTATGCTAAAGGTGGAATGATGGCTGCAGAGAAGTTGATCCGGGATGAGTTTGCATCATACATGTATGCTGGCGGCAGGGGACGCGTCATCAACCGCGCGGAGTACTTGCGGTGGAAGTTCAGGGATCAGGAGCAGGTCAGTCAATAAGGAACAACAGATTCGAACAATCATTTCACATTTTGTCACGATCTATGTACATAGTAGAATGTTTACGATCCTACTTACTTAAACTTTAATGACAATATTTTGTTTATTTTTCTCCTAAATTACTTTGTCTTGATAAATTGTACAATAAAATTATTTTAAATGTGCCTGTATTTCTCTATTTGTTAATTTTTAGAATAAAAATATATCTATTGTGAAAACTAAACTCGAAAACGACTTCAAACTAAGAATACGTAAAAAAACGATTGACGGGAGATGTTGTAGTCGCGAGGTCATTGCCCCTGCGCCTTTCAGTCAGCTGATATAATGATGTCATGCGCGAGGGACTACTTACAATGTTCGCTTACCATTATGTGTATTGTATTGAACAATTAAGTATTATTTAGATCAGTGTATTTATTACATTATAGAGAGAAATTGACATTAATTTTAAATCTTAGATTTCAGACACACGAAATACAATTTTTGCGTGATTCACAAAAAATATAATAAATACCCAAGTAGTAAGTTTAAGGACGACGTAGAGCAGTTTAAAAAAAATGTTGTTTGGTCAGGTGGTGTTACCTATCGAAGCGTCCCTGTCTCCTCACGACCCTCTCGCGAAGTGGGAGGATCACACGGCTTGTTGGCAAATGTGCTACCGAGGCGCTCTGGGAGAGTCACTACTACATGTTCTCATCATTTGTGATACTAAGGTGAGATTATCAGATTTTTCTCAGTTTTGTGTTTGAATGAATGAGTTTTGGGCAATTGGTATAATGGCTGTTTTTTCTTTGCTCTTTAGGTTCATGAAATAATAAAGCGTTTTCTTTCTTTCAGATTCACACAAGATTAGCCAGAACGCTAGTGAAATGTTTTCCAAGACTGTCACTAGATGTCGTGGAGGGTGAGGAATATTTAGGTAAATTAATGAATTCATAGACCTATTACTTCAAAAGTAGGATTTTTTTTTCTTTATACGTTTTCTAATATCTAAGCACTTTTTTGTCAACATTTCGCAGTATTTGCGTTTGTACGAAAGCGATAATTAACCTGTTTTTCTAATTTTGTTACAGGAGCCAGTTCTCTGCACCTGGCTATAGCCTACAGCAACAATGAACTTGTTCAAGACTTAGTGGAGGCAGGAGCTGACGTCAACCAGAGAGCTATTGGTAAGTCATTACAACAACTGATATTTTTTTATAAAATTCGTAATTAATCTACCTATAATTGTTTTGCACCATTTGTTTGAGAGATTCATTAATATTTAGAAGAATGTAAAATGTTCCTTCCACAGGCAGTTTTTTTTTACCTCGCGACCAACAACGCGTGCCTCCAGCGAGACAGACAAACTATGAAGGTCTGGCGTATTTAGGCGAGTACCCCTTAGCCTGGGCCGCTTGCTGTGCTAACGAGGGGGTGTACAACCTACTTTGTGATTCTGGCGCAGATCCTGACGCGCAGGATTCGTTCGGAAACATGATATTGCATATGGTGGTCGTTTGCGATAAATTGGTGAGTTTCAGTAATACGGGACATTGGAAAGCAAATGCTCTCTTGGCCCTTATGTTCTGCTAGACAGTGGAATAGTTTAACCATCAAAGTATTTGTCGATATTAAAAAACAGATATGAGCTTGCCTGATATGACATCAAACCTTTCTCATTATATTGTTTAACTAAGCAGATTTTAAGCTATACCTACTAATGTATAAAACTGTAATCCATCGTCTTGTAACTTACCATTTTCTCTAAGGACATGTTTGGATATGCGCTCCGTCACCCGAAAGTGCCAGCTAGTAATGGTCGGATGAACCTGGCTGGCTTCACTCCATTGACCTTGGCCTGCCAACTGGGCCGAGCATCGGTCTTCAGGGAGATGTTAGAACTATCTGCAAAGGAGTTCTGGCGATACTCTAATATCACCTGCTCTGCTTACCCTCTTAACGCACTGGATACTTTATTGCCTGATGGAAGAACCAGTAAGTAATATATTAGTTAAATTAGGTTTTTGTCAAAAATATCACATCAGTTAATAGCTACGTCAGAAATGGCCACCGTTCTGAAGTTAGTTGCACTGTGCACATCATGACAGAGATGCGACTTTGTACGAAAACAAAGATGGCGGCTTTTTTCTGTAACTAACTTCGGTGCATAAATTTAAAAGATAACGTTTTTGTTACAACTAGGTACATAAAGTTAAATCCAGTTTGTTTTTCTTTTTCCACAAAGTACTCGTAAATATACTCTACCTACCTAGAGTTATATTAAAATCATATTCAATAAATGCACGAAAAATCTTACCTCCCTTCCAATTTACGAACAGCACATTATAATGTTTTATCCACAGCAGTTTACTCTCGCCGCGCAGACATTGAGTGAATCGCGCGACCAAGTAGCTTAAGCTAGCGCGACGCAATGAACAGCCAGCGATAGAGAGCGCCGCGCGAGGAATGCGCGACGCGAAGTGACGCGACGAGGGGGGGGGGGCAGACGAGCAGAGTGCGACGCGCGCGATATGTAGTCCACAGTGTAGAGAACATACCTCTACAGTACTTACCTCGACGCTCGACCACAGTGTAAATCCACAGTCTATCTATACAGTCGTCCAACGAAGACGTCTAGACAGGGCAATCGTGCGGCGTGTGAGGGGCGAGACGCGGGTAGTTCGATCCCGAGCTGCGAACAAAACGATGTTAGCATAGTATAAAGAAAAGGGAAGTAGGCCATCTTCTTCCCAATCCGCGATATAATTGCCTACTGTCTTAGGGTTGTCACTTTTAGTTAAATGTTAGACGCACCAAGATTGTTTACCTTTAGTTAACCACATAAATCGATAGACCATAGTCAACTAATTATTTTGAATTACGATTTTATAACGGTAAGTAGGTAGGTGCTTAGTTACTATACCTTGATACCTACCTATAATACTGAGAAATCGACAACCATAACTAAACGTAAACAAAACAATAGCGGCAAATCAATTGCCAGATCAAAAGTACCTACTTAATACATTCTAGTAGGAAATTGGCCTACCTATTTCCTATGTGATACTGATAGAAAACTAACACAAACAAAAAATATGTAAGTAGGTATCTCATCATCAAGTGCAAATTATATTATGCTAGAATAATATATGACTAGCTTATCTTTCATGTTCAATACGTTCTTCTACGATTATTAGACATTTTTTATTCATTTAACAATGCCGAAAAGCCGTGATGCGCGCGCGAATCTCGTGCAGTGTTAGCCCCGCCCGACTGGCGCACTGAGAAACGGGTCGAGATTTTGTTAAAGTGTGCATGCGTCGACGCATAGATACTATGGCGCACCCATATAAGCCGCGCGCGCTGCATTTGTATGAAGATAACCTACTTCCCTTTTCTTTATACTATGATGTTAGCAGCTCGGGATATATTATTCAGGGCTAGTGCGTGTTTGTTTTTACCGACTTCTAAAAAAGGAGTAGGCACTATGTTCGAATGATATTTTGAGTTTGTATAATTTGTATTGATTAGAACTTTGGACCTATGTGGATTATAAGTGGCAAAACGGGTCTATCTTTGCCACTTACACTAAAAATAAAAAAATAAAAACTGCGTTTAAAAAACCGACTTCTCAAAAAACCTAAAAACTAAAACAAAAAGAAAATTAAAACGCAAAAAAATAACTATATTAGTATTGATGAGTTACTAACACACTGACCGACTTCTAATCGGTGCCATAAGCTCATATTTTTGACAACCCTGGCCGATGCTGTCTAGTCTAGACGATGTCGGTATTTTACACGAGATCAAAGGCGTCGTCCTACTGTATGTTTTTTATACTGTGGTAAAACTATACTACAATCTCACTGGGCTAGGTACTAGCCTTGAGATCCCCGTGTCGCCCCGCCCCCCGCTTCATTCCTTCGCCCCTCACGCGTCTCGCGCTCTGCTATCGAGAAAGTGTAAGCAGTCTTGTCTGAGCAGCTGAGTTCATAATTATTTTGAATGATTATTGTATCTTAGGTAGGTTACTAGGTACTTGATAAATCATGCTCCACACTAGGATTTTTGACTCTAATATCGCGTGCGCGTTCACAAACATGCTTTCAGACAACAACAACCCGTCCGCAATAAAAATTAAAAAAATCTTAAAGGTGTTCCGTGTAAGTATCGAACCTGCGAAGCGTTGCGCAGCAGCCGTTAGATGATTCATCTACGCACATCAATCTGAACAAAGCCAGTTTATCCTGGTATTGCGTCGCATCATCTTTCCGCACATTTAACGTTCAGTTTATACTGGTTATATAAAGCTGTACATACCGTAGATACATCTAATGAACAGCACACAAATAGCGTTTAGGTTTAGGTAACTTAACTTTAACTTTAGGACTTTCTTTATATGTTCTGTGGTTTAGGTATTGGGCACTCGGTTAAATAACAATGCGTTACGGGTACGATTTCTTGCACGAGTTTATGAGTTTCATCTTAAGAAATCTAACTTATTAACTTCGATAACTACAGTAGGTGCTTAAGTCATGACTAAACATATTGTGAAATATTTACAGATTGGAACTCGGCGTTGTTTATAATCCTGAACGGTACGAAACAAGAGCATCTGAACATGTTGGACGGAGGTATCATACAGAGGCTGCTAGAAGAGAAATGGAAGACATTTGCCAGGGTGAGTTTCATTTTATCATCATCATCGTCAGCCTATAGGTGTCTGCTGCTCTGCAGCTGCTGAGCAAGGGTGAAAATTAATCATGCGCTTGCTCAAGGCGAATTTATTTTATAATCTACTAACGACCCACCCCGGCTTCGGACGGGTGCAAAATGCATGTATTATACATATAAACCTTCCTTAAGAATAACTCTATCTATTAAAAAAAAACTGCATCAAAATCCGTTGCGTAGTTTTAAAGATCTAAGCATATACATAAGGACAGACAGACGGCGGATAGCGACTTTGTTTTATACTATGTAGTGAAGATTTTGTACAAACTTTAACTCAAAATTACGAGAGAATCTGGACAGCATCCGACTTCTCAGCGAAATGTTAGGCTACTTTTTATTAGTTTCAATACTTACGTCTATCAGACGACCTTCTAACCATCGACATAACATAAATTTTTTATTCCAGAACAAATTCCTTAAACGTCTCCTAATCTTGATGCTGCACCTCCTCTTGCTATCACTCTCGGTATACCTTCGCCACAGCAGTGCGGAAGCCGATGCTCATCCAGATTGGGGGCTGGAGATAGCTGATGCTAGGAGTGGGATTCGACTGGCGAGTGAATTAGGTACTATCGCCAGTACGCTCTGCTATATCATACTGCAACAAGGTGATGAGCTGAAGAACCAAGGCGTGGTGGCTTATTTTAAACAGTTGGTGAGTTAATAAACATTTTATATTTTACTAGCTGATGCCCGCGGTTTCGCTCGTGTGTATTACGGACCTTTGCGTTTCTAGTTTTTTGCGCAACAACTTTCAGCGTGGAGTACATTTTAGAACTTTTTTGTTATATAATATTCTAAAATTAAAGTAGGCTATGTTACGTAATTAAAGTAGGCTATGTCAAATATCATCAGCTATTCTAGAGATTAGCCAGTACAAACAGACGGATAGACAGACAAAAATTCTAAAAGGTGTTATTTTGGTATACCTATGTATTGTGTATTGTGTTCATATGCATGTAGTAAAAAACGGTTATTTCAATATTACAAATAGACATAACATAACAGGGGTAGGCAGAGGTGTACATTACGGCACTTAATGCCACTGTACAATGTAACACCCACTTTTCACTATTTATGTTATGAGTCCCATGTAATAGGGGGTGAGCTTATTGCCTATATTAAAAATTAGTCATCTATCCTATTTAGACGTCGCGGAGAACCTAACGGGTAACCGGGGCTCCGGCTCGACGTGCAGGATAAGGAACAGGGTGGTTTTTAGTCAGTAAGAGTCTGTCTGACACTCCCTTCCGCCTCACCCAGGCGGGAGCACTCATTCGATGATCCTATTTAGACGTTTTGTTTTTGTATCATACTAACAACAATATTTTACTTGTTTTAAACTTCCTATTGCTAACAAGGGTTATGTATTATTATTTTTATTTAGATCCACGAACCAGCAAAGTTCATCTTCCTGATATCGAACCTGTTGCTCCTAGCGTGCATACCAGCGCGTCTGATGAGGCAAACGATGCTAGAGGAAGCGTTACTCATATTTCTACTGCCTGGCTTCTGGTTTCTACTCATGTTCTTTGCTGGGTACGTTACAAAAATGGAAAAGAAATAAGATATTTTGAGCAGAGATTCTTGCAATTAGGAAAATAAAGTTTTTAATTGATAACTTTTGATTACTAGAGCAGTCAAGCTGACGGGTCCATTCGTGACGATGATCTACAGCATGATCACCGGCGACATGTTCACCTTCGGGATCATCTACTCCATTGTGTTGTTTGGATTCTCACAGTCCTTCTACTTCTTGTACAAAGGTAATGCTTACTTTGTCTTCTTTTAGGCGCCCTAAATTAGGCCTATATTATTGTTGTTTAATGGGGCAAGCCCACCACAACCTCACAAAACCGCTACAACTCCTGTAAGCCATGATCTACAGTAGATACAACCATGAAAACACCGGAATACTGATGGCGCGTCTCAGGGACGTGAATAACTGTCTTGGTTCCCGCAACGAAATAAATCAAAAGATTAACATACCCTTGTTAGATCCATCATGGTATATAAATCACCTCCACAAACCCTCTTAGAAATTGTTTCGAATAATATACAGAAAATATACCTACCCAATATAAAACCGGGCCTGAATTGGGTACCGAGGATATCTATATACCGGATGAATAAACTTTCTCTTTCATCATCATCAAGTCAGCCATAGGACATCCACTGCTGAACTTCCCCCTTACTCTTAAAAATTAAACTTAGGTATTTACCTACCTATCTAATATATAAAATTCTCGTGTCAGTTTTCGTTGCCATACTCCTCCGAAACGGCTTGACCGATTTTGATGAAAATTTTTGTTCTTATCCGGTATCTATGAGAATCGGCCAACATCTATTTTTCATCCCCCTAAATGTTAGGGGTAGTCCGCCCTTAAATTTTTTTCGAGATTGCGCGTACGTAGTGGCGGGCAGAAGCTAGTACAGTATATAAAATTATCAAGGCTACCTGCAAAATGTAGTCGGTATTGATTGTTCAATAGGTACTGTCGCACTTATACTACCTACCTATGGTCAAATTTTAAAAATCTGCCGTGGCTTCCCAGGCCGTACCTACCGACTTTCATGACGATGCTATGAAAATTAAAGGATAGATCAATTTTCCAGGTTTCCCTAACGTGCAGTCCACGTTGTTCTCAAGCTACCCCAGCACTTGGATGGCCCTGTTCCAAATTACGTTGGGAGACTACAGTGTAAGTACCAACTTATGTATTTTTATTCTGAGCATAAGTAGACCCACCTCTTCAATCACATCAACAGTCTATAAATGCCCACTGCTGAGCAAAGCCCCTACTCACATAGAGATGATTTGAGCATTAATCACCACGCTTGCTCAATGCGGGTTGGCGATTTCAAACCTATAATTAGAAATTATAAGCCCAGGTTTCCTCACGATGTTTTCCTTCGCCGTTTGTCAGTAGGTAGTGTTTAAATAATCTTAGAAAGTAACTTGGAAAATGTCACATTGGTATTTGCCGTTGGTAGGTTTCAAACCCTCATGCATGAGAAGCGGGCGTCTTAAACCTCCGGACCAACATGTCATATTTCAATATTATATTCTAACCCTCACAATATTTCAGTACACAGACCTCAGTATGACAACATACCCGAATTTGTCAAAGACGGTGTTTGCGATCTTCATGGTGTTTGTACCCATTCTACTGCTGAACATGTTGATAGCTATGATGGGGAACACGTACGCTCATGTCATTGAACAGTCCGAGAAGGAGTGGGTCAAACAGGTCAGTATTCAAAAACTATACTTAGTAGGCACTAGTCAGTCAGATGACTACATACTTAGAAGAAGTAACAAATATCGTGATTTAGCTATATGTAGGTAGGTATGTAAGGTATGCCTCAATCATATTCACCTTGCGGAGAGGGTAAGGGAAATTCCCTAAAAGAAACGTACCCACTGGAAGATTAAGTGTTCTGTATTAGTTCAACTCTTAAAAAAAAACTTGATTTTACCTTACCTTGCCTGTCTGTACTAGTTGTGTCGACTAAAACCTACTTTTCGTAACAGTGGGCGAAGATAGTGGTGTCTCTAGAAAGGTCAGTAGCCCAGGAAGATGCCCACAAGTACTTGCAGGAGTACTCCATAGGTCTAGGACCGTCTGATGATCCTCGGTACGAAGTCAGAGCTGTTATGGTGATTAAGAGCGCCGCCAAGACTAGAGCCAAGCAGAGAAAAGGTGCATTGACGAATTGGAAGGTAAGGGGCAGAAGTATTTCTAACACGTTTTTATTAGATCGCCCTGTAACGAACTACTTATGTAATAAAATCCAAAAATCTGAATTACGTAGTTTTTAATAAAAAAACGTTGCCCCCACTAGGATTTTGTCCTACTGTGTCGTGGGTGCGTTTATAAACATACATCCAGAAAGCTACCGCGCCAACCGTGCAGTCAAAGTTTTAATTGTTCTATCATCATGAAACTAGGCAATAGTATGTGGATTAGATATTCATACAATATACAGTTAATGAAATATTTTGTCCCAGCGCGTGGGTAAAGTAACGATAGCTGAGCTGCGTCGTCGCGGCATCAGTGGCGAGGAACTCCGCCGACTGATGTGGGGTCGAGTGTCCATCTCTACGCCTACTAAGGCTCCTTTAGGGTGAGTCGTATGAAATTGTTCTAGGAACAAGTCTCCCCTGATCATTTGTCGACGTGTCGTGTCTCCAAACCGATACGGCCAATACGGCGGGTGGCCATAGACTACTTTGATTACCTCCTCATCTCGCTCTGCTGGTTTGCCTTCTAATCCATAAAAAAGGGCTTAGTTCGCCCCGATGCTCTTCTACATGAAACTCCACAATTGTAAATACAATTTATATATTTTTTAATTTTATTTAGACGTAGAACAGCAGCCCCGCCGCCCGACGTGACTTCAGCAGGAGTACCACTGGCGCCTGGTGCAGGCGCTGAGGGAGGGGGAGTGGCACCCGCACTTTCATCTGCACTCAACGTCATGGCCTTCACCCAGGAAATGAACCTAGGGACTGCCGGAACTCCAGGTACGCAGTTACTTAAAAGCTAAAGCAAAAGCTTTAAAAAATACTACTGACTGACTTACCCCTTGAAAAAATCGCACTGGTACTTAGGTACACGTAATAAAATCAATGACTGTTTCTTTTCAGGTCAGGAGCACAAGCAACCAACTCCAGACTTGTTAGTCAATGGCAAAACAGCCCCAATAGTGCCCATATCAGCGATTCCTTCGCAACCCTTTGTAACCACTCCTAATCAACTCAGCGTACCATCAGCTTTTCCACAAAATAAAACAAGCTTAGAAGCTCCAATGATGGGTGCACTACCAATCCCTACGACCACAACTCAAATGCCAACAATGGGAGTTCAAACGATGTATACTGGCGTTCAAACGCCGTTGCCAGGAGCTCACATGCCAGTACCTGGCTCTCAAACGCCATTAGTTGGTGGACAAATGGCATATACTGGTGTACCGACAACACAACAAAGTGGAATGATGCCTTATGCTAGTACTCCGATGCCTCTACCGAGTACCCAGATGTCAATGCCACTACCTGGTGTCCAAGTCCCAATAGGTAATCAAATGCCGATGGGTAGTGCTCAAATGCCGATGGGAAGTGTCCAAATGTCGATGGGTAGTGGACAAATACCAATGGTTACTGGACAAATACCAATGGTTACTGGACAAATGCCAATGAGTAGTGGACACATCCCGATGGGTAGTGGACAAATGCCAATGAGTGGTGGACAAATGCCATTGAGCGGTGGACAAATGCCAATGAGCGGTGGACAAATGCCATTGAGCGGTGGACAAATGCCAATGAGCGGTGGACAAATGCCAATGGGTAGTGCTCAAATGCCAATGATAGGTGGTCCAATGCAAGTTCCCGGTGGTCAGATTGCAGTTACAATGCAAGGGCCTTACGGAGCTATGGGACAAATGTATCCGATACACGGTCAAATGTACGGTCCAGGAATGCAACACATGATTGAAATACAAGTACAGAAACCGGGTAAGAGTTTCACCTGTATTATCTATTTTTTTACACTTGAATAACTTTAACACTATTTAATCATTATCTCCAGTTTCCGACGAGGTGTTCCCGGACTATTTGTTCGAGTTGATAAAGCTGGCGGAGGACCCGGGCTCTGACAAGTCTGAGATCAAGGCGCTCGCTGAGAAAGCTGCGGACTTAGACGCTGTGCCTGAGATAGACATCAATGTTTCAGTAAGTGCAATAATCATTTCTTGTGAATGTTTCTTTGATCAAGTAACTAATGTCAACGAACGGAACACCAGTGCAAAGCACGGAGAAATGTGGTTAGGGACTGTAAGGTTGGAAACACTAAAATCGAAAATCGGACACAGAATATTTTTAGTGCGTTTGGTTTCTCAGGTAGTCTTGCATGTTCCGTATATTAAACTGATTCGTAAAATGATTTTGATTTTAACCGGTTTAACATTTTGCCTGTATACTTGAATCAAGTATCAGTAACTTGGAGAAAATGGTAAACAACAAAAATACATAAATAGTGATAAATCTACTGGCAATTTGATGGTGATGTAGACGGCAGCGAGATCAGCTCGGCGAGTAGTAGCGGGTGCAGTATCGGGACTGTTCGGAGTGGCGGCCGACGCGCCCACCGCCGACACTGGATGGAGGCGGGAGAGGAACGAGAACAGTGACAGCGACCCTATATCAGGTAACTTGAAGTAGCAACTCATCATCATTCATTGTCATCATCTTCAACCACCTATAAAGTATGTAGTTAGTGTAGTCAACGGTTGAGGTTGGTAGAAAAGTAACTTCTATAATCGATTTACCAACGTTAAAATTAAAAATGTTAAAATCCTAATGTGGGGCAACGTTTTTTTTAAAAAGAAAAAAAAGCAAAAAAAAGAATTAGATAAGTTTGACCATAGTTTAAAAATGTCGGTGTCTGCACCTCTGCACGTCTGCTAAATATCTTTAAAATTAATTTTATTAACCAAAATACCTATATTATGAGATTGATAGGATTGCTTTTCGTTGTCACTCGTATTAGCAGATGGTTTATTAAAATATTTAATTTTGACGTGTTGTGCAGAATCAGTGTTGCTGGGGCGAGCGTCACGAGCTCGTCGTGCGCGTTCCGCGTCGCGACGCGCGGCACCACCGCCTCCTCATCTATACGTCCCTGCCAGGTACGTACAAATACATAATTATCTCTAATACTTTACAGGTAATAAATAATATTTTACAGTACAAGTACCTAATTTGCATCATTTTTAACAACAAACTACACACTAAACATTATAACTGATAGACATCTAAATTAAGATTTGCATTACATATTCATGCCGATGTCAGTCAATGCCATCAATCATGCAGTCAAGGACATTCGACTGTCAGTCAGGCTGATCGTCAGTGGTCAGTCAAATACATGGCTATATAGCAGTTATATTTTCTTTGCTCACGGCCAAGATCCACGGCTTGTACTCATGGTTATAAATATTCATAAATTGCTTTTCAGCAGTTAAGTATGTTATGAGTGCTGAGTAATAAAACGTAATATTTCCTCAGATCTATGTACCTGGTAGCATCTGAAAGCAGTGCTGTAGAAAGTGATGTACCACTAGAAGAAACTGCCAGTTCCGGAAATAATTCGTAAGTTTTTGAATTTCATATTGATTGCACAAAATAGGTAAGATCAAATAACGATTATATTAAAGTAAGTTTATTATCACAGTTTTATCCTTATAGCAACAATGTTTATGTAATTTGTATTGATGTACTTACACTATTACATCTATTCTGAATCAGTTTTAATTATTATATGACAAGAAAACGAAATATTTTTGCGTCACTTTGAAATTAACAAACAAAAATAGAGGTAACACAGGATTCAACAATATTTTATGAAAATAATCAACATTGTTACCTATTGCGTAAACTAATGTAAATAGGTACCTTACCTATATATACATATGTAATGGATGTAAAACGAATGATAGACGCGCTCTTTGTAACAGTAATCCCACTGCATGGAACTCACTTCTAAATTCCTTGTGTGTAAGTTAAGGTCTATAAATGTCAGTCAAGTCCGTATCATCAGTTAAATTGTTCTTCAAGCCAGATATTAAAACTTTATTAATTAACAATTCTGCATGATATCTTTGCAGCGGATTCATTCTCTTTAGTTTACAAGTCACATTGGCTCCTATGGCTTCAAGTTCTCTGTCAATCAAATCCTGGTCTACCTCTTCTATATTACGATACTCATTAGTGTCTACTTCTTCAATCTTTACGCAATTCGTCATCTTTTTGCTTTTACGTCTTTTTGTCGCTGGTTCATTAGTTGTAGCCAAAACATCGCTAACAGGAGACGAACTAATCTCATGTCCAAAAGCCAATTCTTCGGCACTAACCTCCTATAAAAATACAATAAGTTAGCTTACACAAACATTATGAAACATATATTGTAAAAATAAATAATCCAAAGAAAAAACATTCAAAAGTAAGTTAATGGTTATATTTCACGCTGTCAGGCAGAGTGGCTGACCATTATTCAATGACATTAGTGTCAAGTTCAATCAAAGACGTTATAAGACGTTTTATTAAAATGTTTCATTATTTCTATTTATCGTTATCCTTGCTATCAAATAAAAAACATCAAACCTTCGTCAAACTTACTAGAAATGCGCTGTCATCCATTTTAACTTCAGCAAAACTGTTATCATTACTATCTTCCTCTCTTTCAAGAAATCTGAGTTCGTAAAACTTCCAATTAGTAGGTTTATATTCATAAATTACTTCACCATTTTCATTAATACGCTTCGAAGACAAATGTTTAATTAAGTCTTTTCTAAAAGAACACCTTAAACTGTTGATTTTTTTTCGTACGCTGTATCTATTTGCAGACAGATTTGATTTCTTCATGACATCTAGTAACACATCTAGAGCTTCATTCCGTTTGTATTTATTGGTATAATAGTTATTTTTGGTATCCCAAAGTACAGGTAAATTCTTATAAGTTTTAATAAAATCTTCTTCTATGCGTTGAGACTCAGTATCACTCGGTGGTATAGAGTCTTCTTCACTCATGATGAGTTTTAAGGAATATTCACAATAATGTAGGAAAACTGATGAACTTACATTGGTTTTACGAGCTTTGAACTCGACGATTGATGTTGTTTGCACAGTATCTACCGACTGACCAACCACCAACCAACAATCATCCAAGCAAAAAAGATGTAATACGTGCGTGACTGACAGTAATCACTAATGTTTGACAATTTATTTGACAGTTAGTCGAGTTCCCGACTGACGGTTTGCTAGTGTGGCAAGTGCTAAAATAACGCAGTTTATTTTAGCACGCAACACTTTGTACCGGAAGTGAATAACATTTTTAATTGCCGTTGTCGTTTCTTTCTGCTTCTGATCGATAAAATTACTAATTATTAACCTTTTGAGCGCCAGGGTCACAAATACGTGACAAGCGAAAACTGTCCCTGAGCGCCAACGACACAAATATGTGACAAAAACAGCGGTACATTAAAACACGAAATAAACTATTTAAACATTACTTTAATGCCTATTTATTTATATACCTGTAAAATAGAAGGTCCAAAATTTATTTATTTCCATAAAACTAATTAAATTGCATTATAAATATTGAGAAATTTTACGTTAAAAAGAAAGAAATAAACTCTGAAAAAAGAATGTCCTCACACGCCAGAGTCATAACTGCGTGACCGCTAGTGATGTAGCGCATGTTGGATAATATCATTATTTCAAATCAAAGATCGATTCGAAACTTTCCTCTGGAATATATTATTTTAGGTATAATTTGGTACTAGGATAAAGCAGCATTAATTTTATAAAACCAGTCTTAAAAATCATTCAATAAGCTACATAGTCAAAAATAAATTTGGTTGGGTCGAATTTCGATATTCACTAATCCAACTCAAGCGCATCCCTAACGCAACCCGAATTATCAGTACCCTGTACGCCATGGTCACGACTAGACGACAATATCGTGTCGTCACAAGCGCGGCGACCAGAAATTAGTGAAGTGAATGAATAATATTTATGATTAATTTACTTGTGATATCGAGTTCAAGATTTATATTAAGTGACTATTATAATGAGTGGGAATTTAATGACTACGGAAGAACTTCGTGGAATAAAGTCTGCCAAAAGTTCCTTTTTTAGCCACGGTGTGCGCTGAGATCGATTTCACTGTCCCCACCACCTACTTTGCACCCAGCGAATTAGATGATCAGAATGCAGGTTGCATTGCAGATTTTGTATAATTTTGTTCTATTATTCAAAAGATTTATTAATATAAGACTGATTGGTAATTGTGATAATTATATATAATCGTTAATTGTTTTAATTTGTTACTTTTTATGCCAGGTTTATAGAACTTAATATTTAAAAACATGTATACATAGTACATACTGTTAGTTTTTATTTACCTTCTTAACCTATTTCAATCATATATTTTTAAGTACCTGTTACATTCGGAATTATAAATCTGATTTAAAAAACGTGTTTCATTTATTATAAAACAATATTGTACTAGAACATCGATAAACGAGATATTACGTTGCCACATCCTTATTTCGGAAGCGAAGTAGTTATTAAAATGGCGGGCCGTCCACGCCATGGTCACAATATGAAGACAGCAGATCAAGAATAGTGTTGTACCTACAGTTATTATATTTAAATATATTGTAGTCTCATATCTGTTATTACGGTATTATACAAGTCTGTAAATAGTGTATAACTATTACTTTAATAGGAAGAAATGTAATGTTGAATTAAATTTCAATGTTATAAGGACATTATATTTCGAAATTAAAGACGAAAATGAAAATAAAATTGATTATCGATGAAGTTTTGGAATCCCTATTTTTTTCGTAGGTATTTGCGGTGAATTTGTGGCCTGGCGTTGAGGGCAAGTTCATGCGTTTTTGCTCTGGCGTTCAAAAGGTTAATCATAGAATTATAACGCCTTAATGTATATAGTAACAGTGACATTTTTCGTCATTGAAATGAAGCATAGTTTTTAATTTGATGTGCATTGTTATATAGACACTGAATTATACATTTTTTTAATCCCCTGTGGGTAGGCAGAGGCATATGAACAAACCCCATTCACTTTCTACTAGACTGAGGAAGGGTATTGTTTTCACCAGATGATACCAGTTTCATATTCAAAAGAAGCTTACGTTATAACGCTATTTAGCTTTACCCTATTTGAAAATGCGCCTATCGATACTGACTCATGAACAAGTACCTAGGTATTTTCCTCGGTTTTGGTCACTTTTATTTAGATAACGGAACCTAAGTGTTATTTTATGATTAACATTAGTAGCTAAATCTAGGACCAACTCTACTAGGTACTCCTCTTTTACCGTACCTATTGTCTATTTTATTAAATCTTGATTGTGACAAAACGAAGGTACCGACTTCAAACCACTTGTAGGACCTTCGTTCACTGTTTTGTCTCGTAATACTGACTTTAACTTTATTGTTTACCAGAGCGGTAGCTGATGTAGCTCGTATAAGAGCAGCTCGACCGCTGTGCATCCTGTCAGCAACTGGATTGCCTGCACCCGGACAAGTGGAACATTCCATGTTTGTTGTGGGTACGTATAATTTCATTCCTTATATTTTTTACCCCATTCCATTACTATTTATTTCTGTTTACTAACAACGAAACTACACAGCGACCAGCGACTCCTTCTGGGTAGGAGACTTGAACTAGTGACACTATGGTCAGCAATAGAATGTTTACAATCTTTTTCTCATACCTACCTACTACAGGACTGGATAAGAGACGAACCTCAGAGTTCAGCATTTCTTTTCATAGTAGTCAGTTAGGAAATGACCTCATCGTTCGCTTTAAAATTTGACCTGTAAACCTGCAGCCTTGTAGCCTATTTGCAGAAATAAATTCACTTGTTACAGGAGCTGGCAGTGGGGCTGATGTTGAAAGTGCGGCCCCAGCCTCAGCCCATACAGCAAATAAACTCAAAAACAAGAGACCGAAAACTGCACGTCCCAGAAGAAATAGGTAAGTTCGCTTGGGAGTTGAACCAAAGCCGGCACGACTTCATTGCATAGATATGAAAGTATAGAAAGCCATTCACCATTTTGCATCAAACATTTATTTTATCCATGGATGAATCGATTTTCGGCTGTAGTTACCCTAGAAGTATCAGTTGCGGTACCTACTACAGGCATCAGTACCAATTCAAGACTGATACACATTGGGACGCTTTACGTACCTACCTAAATGTGTCAATATACATTTGCAGGGTATCTCCTTCACCAGTGATCGAGGCAGGGAGTCCTCTCCAACCTTGGGCGACTGCGCCGCTGTCTAGACTGTCACAGCTCATCAGAACATCGAGTGCATCAACTACGTCCCTAAACTCTCCCGTCTCAGCTGATGAATCAGACTGTCCACCTCAGAAAAGATACTAAACCTTTGAAGTATGGGTACTTATCTACACTGCCATTTTACTTGTAGCATTTCCTCTTTACCGGTATACAGCACATTCCAATTAAATTCAGAGTGTAGTTAATTTTCAGCGATTTCTAGTCTATCTAAAGTGTACCTTTAATATATTAGGAGTTAATGTGTTATATTAGCTTTAATTTTACAGTGATACCTAACGAGTACAAACAAAGTTTATTTATTGTTAGTCTGTAAGTAAAGCAGGTCCTAATCCTAAGTGCATAACTATGTTTTCTCATATCTATGTGTGAAATAAAACAAAACATAGTTTTAATATAATTAATTTATTGTTTGCCCCTAACTCGCCGCTGTGGAAACCAATATAATGTATTCAAATTTATAAAAAAATGTGTAGATGTTTACATGAAAACAAAATAATTTTGAAAAAGAAAAGTTCTATGATATCTACGTAAGAACTAAAATGTGAAATGATAATGGTTGAACATAGACAAAACTAATACAAAATTAAAATCAATGATCATGACTAGACATACTATTCGTTCAACACACAAGCAATGGACGCATTACACCGCAATAAGTTTGTCATTTTACATTTAATTACCACATGGAAACAATAACAAAACATTTCCGTGAAGTGCGTCCAATTGCGTTAAAATCTGCACACTCTTAGCCAGCTATAAGTGTGCAGGCAAATTCACGTATAAAAATATAACTGTAGGAGACTACTATTCAATAATAATTAATTATGCGAATTTTATGCAAACATGAACATTTCCCATTAGAAAATATCAATTTTGATCCTTCACTACGCCGAAAGTGACCCTAAGCCCATTAAAATTTGTACTTTTTGTAAAATCGTAATTCACCACATTGAACTTTATGTTAATATCCCTCTGTATTCGTAAATGGTTCATACACGTACTCTCAGTAATAACTACTATAGTAATTGATTAATTATAGTATAACGTGAGACCACGGCTAATCTTACGGAGGTATGCTGTTTCATGACAAAATGTTTATCTACTCTAACAGTAGTAATTACCTAACAAGACTTTAGAGAATAACCAGATAATAGTGTATTCCATCCTTTCATTTTATAATAAGACTTACCAAGACAATCTCAGTAATACCACCTTTATCTCAGCATTCGTGCTCGTTCCGCCATAATCCAATTATTATTTGTATCATTTTTGTGTCTGTTTCAATGATATTAACGAGTGGCAGTACTTCTCCCACCTTTAACAGATCGACAACAATGAGGGTAGTGATGTTATCACATGATGAGATGCAGATATAGCATACACATAAGATCATTATCAAAATAAACATAGCAAGTAAACAGCGATGTAAAAATACAAGTATAAGATATAGAGTACAGACAAACATGGAAATGTTACATCGAGTAACGCAGAATGCATAATATTAAAAGTATCGGTCATCATGTCAAGACGTCCCGCCATTGTGGTGAAGTATGCTCGTCTGTATTGGAAAAGAGTGATGTCATATCTCTGGATATGCGATTCTGTGAAAAGCACATTTAAAATATGCAAACATCATAAAACGAATACGGTAAAATAATGAACAGTGAGATTAGTGTCTACGAGATGTCAACGTAAGAATTACACCTAATCAGATAGGAAACAATGTGGTCACTCAAAATACACACGACTATATGTGATCTTTAACGTATGACAAAACAATTGACGAGTACATCAGACTGCGTTCAGTGAATTATTACTGTAATCGGTCCTAATAATAATATCATTTCACCATACGTCAAATATCGCGTACTAATAAACAGTAAGGATCCTATTACAACTAAACATCCTCAAGAAAAAATAAAAATTCAATAATTTTAAATACGATATATAACACAACGTCAAAAAATTTCAGAATAATATAGAGACAGAGAGAGTAAGCACAACGATGAATATATTGTTTAGAGTTAGGGTCACTTACCTCCAGGGACTGTGGACAGAAACCATGATTATAAATAAAATGAACACTCTAGTGAATCAATATACACTTTATATGCTTAAAAATTAATACAAGTCTGTGGAGAGCTGTCGCCCTCGGTGCCGTGTCGCGCGAGAGTACCGCGTCGAACTATAATTGAACAGTGTCGAGAGGAATGTAGATAGCGTTACATTACCTTTATCTCATTTATTTCTCATATAGACTAACACCTAATTAAACTGAGCCTATATATAACCGTACATCACTGACATCAGCATTACAACCTACGAGCTGTCCAGAGAGAGGTGACGCCAAACATATAACCTAACTTATGCTAAACATAGTTCATTACATGAATTGGGAGTTCTGTTTCATGATTTCTTACTGATTTCTGGAAAAATAATTAGCTGATCTCCAAATTCACGTGGATATTACACATGTATTTATAAGACAATATGCGTGTGTCAACTAGTCACTCAGCACAGTGCATTTACCTCGGCTCCTCGCGGCGTGAAGTCCGCTTTTCGTTCATTCTCTCTATAGCTCCGTGGTAGGTCGGATCATTCTGTTACATCTTTTAAGGCAGTGTGGCTTTCTAACTTATACCTGGACAGACTGGCATGTCAAATTATCAATATTGGCACATAAGCAATCATAACATTTCAGTATAAATAGAACATGATATAACACAGTTAAAGAATAAACCACACAGCCGTAAGTTAAAATAATAAGTGTTCGTAAAATAATCTCATCATATACGTTTTGTTGACAATATTTAAGTGTTAGTTACCCACAAGAAATAAATACGTGATATGTGCCTATGTACTGTCTGATCGTGATTACGTGAATTTAGATATGAGTGGACCACGAAATGGATGCCGAAAATTCTATTAGAGTTTATTTACAATCATAAATAATAATTAAAATGTTAATCAGATCACACTGTTGAAACATCTGTCTGAAGCAATATATAATATAATATCCACTAGAAGTCGACTCAGATCTAAAACCGCGCGCCAACTGAAACTTATTTATTGTGGGTCGTCAGCTAGGCTTTGAAGAAGTTGTATGATGCGGTCTTTTTCCAAGTTATAATCTATTTCATCATAATGTACAACGGGGGTGTCAGGCGCCGGCAGGTCTCCTGGCCCTCCGTCGGCTCTCTGCAATCACACAAACAAACAACATGGCAACACTTGCTACGGAACAAACATTTGCGCTCTCGAGCAGGCAACCCCGGCACTGGCCTACATCTGCAACACTACACACGCTATACATCGGACCCACGGCACGACTCACACACAGTTACTACTCCACACGTCAATATAGCATTAAAATATCTTTTACACCGAGTTTGTATGACATGCAAACTGAAATAGAATATATCATAAATTAAGTCATGCATTTCGTCAATATGATATGTGATTGTAACGGAAAATGCCTGTAAAATAAAGATTAATTTGCAATGTAAAAATAACCAATCACCTATGATAATAGTACACAAAATATACCATAACATGCTGGATGTATTGTCCGAATTCATAAAACACAACAATATATTTATCATCAGTGGATACAAACAGTTGAAACAACTACATAAATAACATTGCTCCAAGTGCTGTTTGTCCAACAAAATACCAATCAGTGATAAGCAATAATAACATACATAGATAGTACATAATATAATATCATTACATAATTCTTGCACAACCTTGTTATGTGTAAGTTTATTTATTGATTCATTTCAATTTGCGTAATTTAATAGTTTACATTTGCTACATTGCAGGTAAACAAAGTTAAGGTTACCTACGTAATATTATTTGGTACTATTGACATGTCATGAATAAATGAAAACTAAAAACAAAATACAGAAATAAAATCACGTATTTGTAAATGTTACAAGAAAACGAATTTAAAAAAATGGATTGAAATAAAAATACACAACAAAATAATACACATAATGGGCATAATATAATAGTAAGATACATGAACACTGTCCTACGTGTGACAGCTGGCATACAAGTAAGCACGATCAACTAGCGGTCAGATACAACAACCATCTGTCGGGAGACTCGGCTGTTAAACATGGAATTATTGATTGAACAATTCGATGTTTAGTGGCCGACATCACTGACGGGTGGGTGAGTGAGAATCGGTGTTGTGTGTGACTTACGGCCTATTGATGATGGTCGGGCGCGGGCTGCGCGGCGTAGGGGTAGGGCTGGTACGCGGGGTACACCTGCGGCGCGTACACCCCGTACTGCGCGTACTGGCCGGCCGCGCCCCCGCCCGCACCGCCGCCCGCGCCGCCGCCCGCACTGCTGCCCGCAGAGCCCGCGCTACTACCGCCACCACTCGACTGCACGAATAAAAATCATGCGTATAAAACCGACGTACACAAGGTAATTATTGTACTGTCCACAAATAAGTTTACAAGTATGTTACCTTAAGTTTGATTTGTGCCTCTATGGCCTCGGCCTCCTTGAGCTTTCCGATGCTGCGGTAGTATTCGGCCCACTGCGCGCTGTAGTCGGGCTGCGCCCCGGCGGCGGGGGCTGCGGGGGCGGCGCCCGGGCCTGCCGCCGCTACGCTGCCGCTCGCGCTTGATGCGGGAGGGGTGCCACCACCTCCACTACCTGTAAATACATACGAGTTAATTCTCAAGCCTTTTCATTTTAAACTTGGTTTAAAAAAAAAGTAATATTGAAACTGGAAACAAACCTACTAGAATAACAAAAACGGAAGTAATTAAAGCTGTGATGACTTACCATCCATGCCGCCTCCCTGCTTCTGTTGCTTGGCCTGTTGTTCGATGGCCTCAGCCTCGTGCACGAGTCCCAGTGAGCGGTAGTAGTCGATCCACTGCTGGGAGTAGTCCGGCTGACCAGTCGCAGGGTTGATCTGAACCTGTTGCTACGCAATACAAACAAAGTTATTTCAATACTACAATGCTAAATATTGGAAGTTATAGGAGAATGTTTAGAAGAAATAGTTAAGTGAGGTTTTATTTATTTTATGGCCTATTTCAAGTCTATCAGTGATAATCCCTAAAGACAAAGAGGAAGAGAGAGATACCTAAAGCTTGCTACCAAAATGTAAGACACATTTTGTTTGGAGTATATTGTCTGTGTAGACAAATAATGGAATGGCATAGTAATGTGTGGTATGTGGTACCTGTGGAGTCTGTTGTTGTTGTGGTTGGTGCCAGTGCGGGTTGTACCCCCAGGCCGGCGGCCCGGCCGCGCCGCCGCCGTAGTATTCGCCGCCATTGCCGCCATTCCCATTGCCGTTACCATTACCACTGTTGCCATTGCCACCGTTGCCCTCGTTTATGAAGTTCACCGGCTTTGACAAAGAAGATAGAATTTTATAACAAGAAAGACAAAGGAAGGTATCACTTGAAGCTGTTTAATTGGTTTTTAATTGTAGTTTACTAATATTGGTAAGTAAAAGTCAAATTATTTTATGGTAGAAAAAGGTTTATCTAACACAGTACATATTGCCTTTACTCTAGAGTCTAGCTAGAGTAAAGTCGAATAAGGGAATATTTTTGTTGTTCATCATCAACAGCCTATAAATGCCCACTGCTGAGCAAAGCCTCTTCTCACACGGAGAAGGTTAGAGCATTAATCACCACGCTTGCTCAATGCGGGTTGGCGATTTCAAACTTATAATCCTTACTTAATATTATAATTCTGAAAGTGAGTTTGTTTGTTTGTTTGTTTGTTCCACCATCACGCCGTAACTACTCAACCGATTGCTTTGAATTTTTGCAGACGTAAAGTTAGAAGTCCAGATTAAATAATAGGGTACTTTTTAACCCGGAAAAAAATTATATTCCCGAGGAAAAACAAAAGTATTGATATAGATGGCGCTGTGTGTATTGGTATATGTCACGTAGGCTACTTTTTATTTTTTTGTGACGCGAGCGAAGCCGCGGGTAAAAGCTAGTTAGAAATAATTATAAGTCCAGGTTTCCTCACGATGTTTTTCCTTCACCGTTTGTCAGTGGTGTCTAAATAATCTTAGAAAGTACATATAACTCGGAAAAAGTCACATTGGTACTTGCCGTTGCTAGGTTTCGAACCCGCACCCTCATGCATGAGAAGTGGACGTCTTAAACCTCCGGGCCACCACGACATTTTTTGTTGTTAAATAACTATTATTGTTTTAATAACTACTTGAATGCATACCATGCCAACTTTTTCCATAATGATCCTCTTGCAGTGCTCGACTGCCTCGGGATGTCCCCTGATGTAGAAGGTCCTGTTGTTTCTGTCGGAGCCCTGCGCGCGACGGTCCAACTCGCAGTGTGCGCCAGACGCCGCGTTAATCTGTTTGATTACTTCGCCACCTGGGTGACAATATTGTAGGATTAATATTTTTATCACTGGCTCTTGTGACCATGACAAAATGTTTCTTGATGCAGCACATAACACTTCTTATGTAGCAAAACAAGCCAATGATGTCCTAATAATGATGTGATGCACTATGCCATTGTAAAAGTCATCACCATTATCACAATATAAAGCCATTCATAACAAACATAATGATTGTTTACAGTATCATACATAACAGTTATACTTCATAATTATGTGTACTTTTTTTCTCAATGAAACTTATGGGTAGTCTATATAAATAAAAATGAATTTACGTTCGTTAATCTCGCTAAAACTCGAGAACGGCTCAACAGATTTAGCTAATTTTGGTCTTAAAATGTTTATGGTAGTCCAAGGAAGGTTAAAACGGTGAAAAAAAAAATCAAGCGGCGGGAAGTTAACCGGGTCAGCTAGTTTAAATATAAATAACGCTTACCTCTGCCAATAATGAGTCCGCACTTGACGTTGGAGACGGTGAATGTGACCCGTATCTCCTGTCCGTCCTGCCACTGCGCATAGTCCCCGCCGGCTCGGTCTCCATTCCTCTGTCCCGAGCCCCCGCGGCCGCGCCCACTGCGTACTTCTTGCTCACGACGCTATATAGTGCATATAGACAAACATACATAAAATACACTTATACAGCTTACAGATTATGAATCTCGGTGTGGCATGAAAGTTATCCAAGACCCTCAATAACAAAAATAAACAAAATTTCCTTTCAATCCTTAGTAGGGTAGTAAATAACAATTATTAGTATATACCATAAAAAAATGTATATCAAAAAGAAACACAAGAATCAACTGGTTTATAACTGTACATGTTAAACAGTGTGTTTAAACTTCAAACAAATCTATGGATTATAATCAAAATAGAAGAATACAATATAACATTCCTTTTTCAAACACTCATTTATACCATAAGCAACAAGTCTGATAATAATAAAAAGTAACACTATTACTCACGTTAACACTAGAAATGAGATCTTCAATCATTTGCCTCGCCTGGTCCACTTGGTGCGGCTTGCCTTGCAGATAACATCTGTATAACAAACACACACTTAAATTCAAGTTACAGCCTACAAATAATTTGTGTTCTTAATAAAACCTGCTATGTTATGGGTTTCATCAACTAGCCGGCAATATTTTTGTGTAAAATGTACCATTGTAGCTGAAACTCTGCTTGAATTTGAATTACAAAGTTAAAAAAACCTACTTTAATAAATACTTAGTTAAATTTTTTATTCGGAGGAAGTAGGAATTTAATGTATGGGCTTCACAAACTATGAAATAAAATAATCACCTTTTATCTCCTGGGCCGTCATCTCTCTCCTGATGGAATTGCACCCTGCACCCAGTCTCAGCTTGGATCTTTTTAATCATGTCTCCGCCGCGACCAATCACGATACCCACAGCTATTTTTGGTACAAGTACCTGTTATAAAAAAAATATTATTCTTAGTAGACCGAGGCCGTTGGCCGAGTGGTCGCAACTGCGACTGCCGGGCAAGGGGTCTCCGGTTCGATTCCCGGGTTGGGCAAAGTATTACTGGATTTTTTTAAATCCCAGTAGTAGCACGGAGTCTGGAATTGTGCCCGGTATATGGTAATAGGCTCACAATATTACATTGGACTCATAACATAAAATAGTGAAAAGTAGGTGTTACATGGTACACTGGCATTAAGGGCCGTAATGTGCACCTCTACCTACCCCTTCGGGGATAAAAGGCGTGATGTATCTTCGTAAAAATAGCAGTTTGTATATTTCATTTCATTTATAAACAGACTGTCTCCCAACGGCAGACAGACTATAATGATTTGTAAGTACGTAATTTTTTTTATGGAATGGAAATAATTTATTAACTTCTCCCGCCCGAGTGAGGCGAGAGGGAGTGTCAGATTTTTACTGACTGAAGACCACCCCGTACCTTCTTCTGCTCTTCGAACCGGAGATCTGGCAACCCGTTAAGTTTTCGCGGCTCCGTATAAGTATGTATGTGTGTAGAGTGGCAAAACTAAGTGTCAGTCTTATAATCAAGTGGCAAGTTTACAACATTGAAGTGCCACTTATGAAGCTCACTGCTTGTTAAGTGTGTAGTGAAAGCTATAGCTTAGAACTTTCAGTTTTTACATAATCAAGAATGTAGAAGGTTAATATAAATATAATTTTTGAGTCAGAGTTTGATTTTAACATTAGAGCTACATTATGCTTTATCAACGATTTTGTATCCTTTTTGTCGCGGCGAATGATATTAAACATAATTATTTATTCAATGTCTCGAATACACCAAAAGCTCTCAGAATGCATGCCTTTAATTTTAAACTTCTTGGCAAATGTTCAACTTGAGCACACATTATCTTAACAATATGCATAAGATGTCCTTATATCTTACCTCAGTGGAGTTGGTAGCGAGTCCATTTCCTTGATCATGTCCCTGGTACTGGTCGTCGTACTGCGGCGGTCGTGGTCCGCCGCCTCCCTGCTGCATGTCCTTGTCGGCGAGCAGCTCGTACACAAGCTGCTTCGCGTGCTCCACCTTAGCCGGGTCGCCCGATATACGCAGTGGCTTCTCCTAAACACATTGCGTGATTATTGATTAAAGACCGGAGTGATATCACTGCCTGACAGAAAACTGGCGTTAAACAACGTTGTGTTTTGCCGTGTGAGTGAAGCGACCGAAGGCTAAGCCATCGCCCCAATCTCTAAACCTCAAATTCGTAATCCCTAAAAAATCTGCAACACACTTGTAACTCTAGTGTAGCAGAAATGTTAGTTTTGTTGTTCATTCAGGAAGTTTTCAATTATCAACTCTTAATTGAATAATTAATTGGAACCTTCGAACAAGTTCATGAAAAGAAAACAATAATATAAAACTATTTATAACATTAGTGAAGATATACTTACATATTCTGTGTTAGGTCCATCTTGAATGACTACCATTTTTGCTCCTGACTGTTCCTGCAGTTGTTTGATGGTTTTGCCATTCTTGCCAATAATGAGACCCACTTTGGGACCGGGCAGCATAATTTCGTCCTATTATTGTAAATCATTATGTTAAAAACCGCTATAAACATATATTTTGTACATAGATGTGCAGTTTGCTAATTATGTGGGTGCATAATACGTATTTATTCACATATTTTATGTTTTCCTATATTGAATGTATGACAGTTGCAATAGGGCCATATTCAGCTCGGTTTGTAACTGTGTTGTAACAATACCAACCTGATTCTGTAGGTAGTGCAAAAAGTGGCGTTATACCAAATTATTATTTTTTCGACTTACTCACGTAATTATTCGAGTATAGTATGTGTACGCCGAAAAACAATAACTTAGTAAGTTTTCTGAATTTAGACGTGCCAAATACGACCCTGGATTATCTAACTATCAAATAATGCTAACTAAACAACGTCTTCTATCCTAAATGACCATCATAACAACTAAATATGAATGATTACCTATGAAACTAACTAAAAAATGTCTGCCTTCAAAAACCTACCTGAATTTTCCTATTAAAGGTAAAAGTGACATCACTATAATTATTTCAAGCCTTTGTAGGGAAAATGTATCAGATTGGTGATTGAAAACAGTTAGTAAAGTGTACTATACTACTAAAAGCACATTCCTTATACTACATGTGCATTCTTATCGAATAACATACATATTCTACAGTGTGTTTGTGCCTACAGATGATAATTAACTATGAAATTGGTTACTCACGTCACAATTTTGCACCCAATCCGCTCGTCCGATCGGTACGTTGCCCTGCGGATTCAGACAACTTGGAATCACTATTGCCTGCTACGTTTTATACTACTGGTCGACTATATATTTTTTTATCTGCACAGTACCCTATTATGAGTTGATAACTTGTGGTAAAGATATGGGTTCAAATTCCTAATGCATTTCCTAAGGGTCATTTGCCTACTTAAGTAAACAAACGTTGAATTATTGTGACGACTGCGTCGTATGTTTGTTCCGTATGTATGTTGTTAGTGTAAATCTGTTGATTGCGCAGATTTTGTAGCATTTTTCATAATTTGTGGATCTATGTTTCTTTGAGAAGAATGTATACACAAACATGGACAGAGATAAAAAATAGACTATTTATCTCGTGTTTTTGCTTTATAACCAACTGCACAGTATTAGTGGGTCGACTCAGCAGATTGGGTGCGAAGTCGTGACGTATGTACAGAATACATACATAAATCACGCTCTCTACCGCCGTGTGATAGTGTATTATTCAATTGCCGGCTGAAAACTTGTTAGTAAATGTTATTAATAAATATAACAATACTTAACACAACCCTTGCCTTCAAACTTAGAAGATGTACTTCAAAGAAGTGAGTAACATAAGCTGAAAGTGTCCAAAACTCGTCCGTAACACATTTTTAACACAAATCCTCGAATTTCCTCATTTTTATACAGATGTTAGACACATGGATCTTAGCTCAAATATGAAACCTAGTAATTTAGTCGCACACGTACCTAATAGAAGTATAATACAGCCTATAGTTTCCAACCGCATGAGATGTGATGGTCCCGCCACCGTGTAGTTAGTTGTGTGAGAGTACGTACCGTCATGGCGCCGCCGCCGCCGCCGCCACCGCCGCCGGCTCCTCGCTGCATGGGCGGCATGCCACCGCCGCCTCCCTGGCTCTCAGGGTGCTGGGGAGCGTTCTCACGTCCACGGTGGTTTACGATTTGGTTCACCAATTCCCTGTTAGAAAGATACTCTTATGTTAATACTTCAACATATAATAATTTACACAGCATTGGTGACTCGCGAGTCCTATTAGCAAACGACTGCACGGAGCAACTCTTTGTGTGATCCACAGATTGTTGTTTCGGGTGTGGGTGGCGTGTGTATGTAAACTTGTATGTTTGTAAACGCATCCACGACACAGGAGAAAACCCTAGTGTGGGGCAATATTTTTTTTAAACTCGTAGTTAAGCGTGGCCTTTTCTTTAAAATGTGTATCTGCACAATCTTAACTTTACGCAGCGAGAGTCTGGATGACTAAACGCTAGGAATATTGTCGCCATTAACATTCTCTAATGAAATGTTTGTTTTTCCGATCCAATAGTTGTTCTGAATGTGATATTAATATTAATGTTTGAACACCCACGTCATAGGTACAAAAATGCGTGCATTGAATTTATCTAATACTGAAACTTGAAACAATACTGCGGTCATTCACCCGTGCGAATAAAAATACGTTTATTGATAAATTAATAACCAACAGAGTTAAAGTGATTACAAAATGTGTGAGTCAGTAATTTTATGCGAAGTTAGTCATATATAGTATAGAATTGTTTCAAATTTCAATAAATAAAACTTATATTCTTTGGTAAAAATAAGGTTAAAAATGTTTGAATGTCAATATTGATGGTCACGATCATTCAACTTTCTATAAGATAATCTTATCAGTCGCGATGATGTTATCTTGCGGTATTATGTAATACGACGGGTACGTATTGAAGGCGGTTTTGACCCCACCATAACATTACGTTGCAATAAATACACAAGGGGCTGAAATGAGTATCTTTGCAATTGTATTTGGTGTCTATTGTTTTGATGTTTTTTTTTATTTTATTTTTTTTTAAACGTCCCACATTCGAACTTTCTCCTGTGTCGTGGGTGCGTTTACAAACATACAAGTTCACATACACAATGACACCCAGACCCGAAACAACAATTTGTGGATCACAGTGTTGTTTCGTGCGGGAATCGAACCCGCGACACGTTGTACGGTAGCCGCTTGCCCAGCCACCGCACCAACCGTGCGGTGGCTGGGCAAGCGGCGTCCACGTAGATAACACGCTTCCACGACTGGTTCTAATAATAAAAGAGTGTAAGGGAACGACTGACTGCCAGGCAGTCAGCTGCCATATTTTTGATGGGTATTAATAATTTAACTTTTAAGTAATTAGGTAGGAACATCAAAATAATGAAATCATTTAAACATTTAAGTTAATAAGTTAGCAAACTTGAGTAAAAAAAAGGAAAAGAAGAGGAAGGGAAAAAAATTCCCACATTGCTTCATAATTTATAAAGAACTTGTTAACTTTTAGCTTACACAATCTTGTTACATTTTTTTTCTGGGTACATAAAGGAAAAATAATAAAATTTCTTACTTGGCCCTCTGTATTGCCTCGCGTGATCCAGTGAGGGTGCAAAGCCTGTCGGGCTGGCCGCCAGAGTCTGGCGCCATCTGTATCTTGCATCCTGACTCTGCCTGTAGGCGTGTGATCTGCTCACCGCCGCGCCCAATTACTGGGTACAAAGGATAAATTGTTGATTTATAAACGAATTACGTAATTCTAGATGCTATCAATCTGTAGACAGGTAAGAAGGGATCTGTTAGTAGCATGTTTTAGAACACATAGCCTTATTAGCTTAAATTATTTCCAGAGTTTTGCCTTTGGTACTTGGTACTCAAACATTTAAGTGAAAGATGCATAAAAACTGTTCAATAGGTTTTAATTTTACACCAAGCAAATATACAGAAACCTCGTAAAGAGCTGAAGTTTCTGTTCATATAATTATCATTACTGCTGATGATGATGATGATGACAAAGTTACTTACTGAGTCCAACCATCTTGTCTGGTACTCGGATGTATTCGTTGAGGGTTTGGTCGGGCATAAGGTTGCCAGCCGCGCTGGGAGGCGGCGGGGGAGCGGCCGCGGCCGCTGGGGCTGCTCGGCTTACCGCCGGGGCTGCACTTGGTGCACTACACAAACATAAATAAAATATCTTTATTTACATATCATACATTATTTTCAGTTACAAGAGTACTTGAGTTGGGATCGTCTCATAACTTCCCATAAAATATACATCTCTTGTAGCGCTGGTGCACTACATATAAATTAATATTGACGTAAGGGCATGCTATGTAGAATAAGACCACGAATGTACAGTACAGACTGTAACTTTAAACAATGTTGTATTATCAAGTTTATAAGCATGAAGGTGTCACTATTGATTGTCATTTCATTGATTGTTTAACAAACATAAGTTTAGTTCAACAGCATATGAAATGGAATAAATACTTTGCAGTAAGATACTCCTAACTAATTAACTGTGGATAAAGCTTACATGTAGCAATTTTAAACTAAGTGCTACTACTAACAATTTTATTTGTGAATGTTTACCGGGTTTAGTTGCTCGAACCACTGTTCCCAGTAGCCACGCTAGTGACCCGCTAGGTATTGTAATCTATATATCGCACCTATGGTGCAATATCATCACTTATGTAATTTTTGTCAAAACTTAACTGAATAGATTATGAAAGAATACTCCAAATTCACCTCTTTACTTGGTGCATTATTGTCATTTGTGTAGTACACAAACTGTCCTCATGAGGGCATTACTGTTGTTACGGTTTTGGAACTAATCTGGACGGGACTAGGAGAAACAATGTTTCATTGTTCAGTTGCGCGTGGGCCCCCGCAATGCATTAGTGACGTTATAGCACCGGAGGTACGATATTTTTTAATAATTTCAAATATTATTTCTCTCACTTACCTCATTTGCTGTGGTTGTTGATAAGGTACTTCCACAGACGCAACTTTCTTCGCATTCGGTTCGGGACCTTCTTCCAAGGGCCTCTTGCTACCACCTCCTTCTAGTTTCGCCGCAACCTGTCAACATTGGTATACAATTAAATACTCTATCAATATTAACTACATGGTACATTCACTAGTAGTAATTATTACCAATATTTGCAAGATTTTATAAATACCAAACAATGCTTGCAGACTGTCTTGTTGAACACTTCAAACACAAATGATAAAATGAAGGGACTTTGCTTAATGAAGTAATTTAGCAGTCATTATAAAACAATTAGATGTAATAAATAAATATAAAAATCCTAACCTTAGTCACTTGTTTAATACTAAGTAAATGTAGGACCAGTATAGACCACCCTTCCACAGCTACTTTAGACCCAAACTGACACAGGTAACTTTAAAAACAATACCCTTCTTGCATTCAAATAAAAAGTTTTATATTTGCAACATACAATAAAAACCTTTTTGGTATAACTGTCATTAGCAATCACCCAAATAAGTAAATAAATTTTAATTTCTACTATTAACCTAATAAGGTAGTAATTGTGAAATGGCATTGATCATACACATTACTTAATGCCTGATTTACAATATCCTGTTTAAACACCTTTACAGGGCTGGCAGTAGTTGGGGGGCGGGGTAAAAACACCACACTTTAGTTAGGGTTTGGTATTTTTCTCTCCAAAAACTATAGCACACAGGTGTTATTAAAACCTCCCTAATTTCAAAAAAGATATAATGAAACTATAAACCACTTTAGAAAGACTTATTTGTCAACATTTTAATTAATTTTAAGCTTTATTTTATTACTTAGAAGACTCAGATCTTACAAACTTTTTGTGGCAGAAAAACTGAGTTTACTGGTTTTGTTTTTATTTTACTACTTATTTATAAAAATGATTATGATAATGGATAATATTATGTGGTTATTACTCACTGTTATAATGAATAATGGTCAAAAGTTTGTTTTTACCTTCTATCTTTAGTGACACACCAGGAGAAAGAGCAACTAAACCTTCTAAGTACACCCACTGACTAAAATGACCACTGACAAAAATTACTTGAAAAAATATTCATTCAGAAATCATGTGGTATTTAAATTCCCTCGTTTTTTACTTGCAACCCAGATCAATTGATATAAATTAGAAAATTATTTCAATTGATTGATTTTAGGAGAGTGATTGTAATATCTATTACTTATTACTGTTTTACAAAAGTATTTTATATGGAGACATCAAAGAGACAATCATAGGTACACTAATATAGTTATTCAAATCGAATGCTGGTGTCGTGGTATTTATTTTAACAGCAAAAACTTGTGCTTCTCCTTATACAACCAGTCCAGGACCCGATTGATTTGTATGATGCATAATTCGCGCCTATTATGAGCAACAACGTAGTTTTACCGCGAGTGAACACCTCACCGTGTACGTTAGAAAAACATCCGTACAAAACACATGTAACCAAGCGCAACCATCACAACAGAACAGCTGCATTGTATTTGATAGCCACATACGTCCATCATCATGAAAAAATACAATCAATAAGTAGGTTAGGTAAAAGTATCTTACCAATGATTCTTCAATAAAAGATCACTAGTCCGAGCAGAAAGTGGCAGGTTGTAGTAAAAACCACTTACAATGAATAATATTTTATGTTTAGAAGGTATAAACACAAAATTTTAACGGTAAATAACACGTAAATGTCAATAGACGCGATTTTTGTAAAGAGAAGATGCGCTTACCAATCTAGCACGTTGTACCGCAGCCGCAAATCCTGCCGTTTGGCTATTGTTTTGAAGCGTAGCCATAGAAGAATAATCACTCATATTTGAACCCAATTTCACATTCAACCGCGTAATACCGCAGCCATTAAAAAGGATCAAAATGACCCAAAAACTTTATGAAAGGTTTCTCTCGCAACGCGAGTTCGTTGCGAGAAAGACGCGGACCATAGACAAAAAGATGAATGTTTTAAATGTCGCTTACCAATAAATATTATTTCTTTTTATACTAATTATCTACCAACTTGAGTGCCCTAATGAGTTCCCAAATAAAACTAACACATTATCAGTTAAAATAGAACTGTGTCAGTGCTATATTTCATTCTGAAAAAATACAGTTGAGATTTTATGAAAGTCAAAATTGTTGTCTTTGGTTAGAGCAAAAATACGTTTTGTTATTTCCTTCAAGCAATATAGCTAAGGAGGATTTACCGGTTCTTATTTCTTTTTTATTTTTAATCTTAAAGCAATAATATTTATTATAATTTTTCAGTTTATTTACTGAGAAGTTTAATGAAACTAGACGATAATTTATTATATTTAATTACACGATAATTATTTTATCCCAAGGTTAGATACGTTTAAAAAGTTGTTGTACAATAAAATTTCATTATTAAATGTTTTAATTAGTATTTTATAGTTATAGCAATAAATTAAATATTTATTTGTTAAAGAACTTTTAGTGAAACGTACTTATTAAACTGAAAAAAGAGGTATTCATACTAATTTTTCACTTGGATTTTTAATGCCTTTAAATTTTTCCATGATATTGATTTCGTAAATAAACAATATTAACAAAATAAATATTTTTAAGCATAATATCTGTAATTCGAACCTAATTTCAGCACTATAAACTTATTTTAGATGAATGCACTGAGAATAATAAAACGTACTAATTTTTTTTCTATGTTATGGGTGCGTGCATTTGTGTTGTCCGGTGTTTGAAGACGCTTGGAATTCGCTTTCAATTTCTTCGTAGGAAAAATGTCGGGTGATACCGATAAAGCGAAAATCAGTGACAATCAGGTATAGTTGTGAAATATGTTTTTGTTTTAATTTTCTTAGTACTAGTGCGCGTCTAATAAGATAGATTTCACTTGTGCAGTGGTGTTATTTCCGTGTTATATCACTAATGTTTGCCTGCGTCTCAACATGGCTGACAGAACGTTTGCTTCCCGCTAAAAGCGGGAACTACGCCACGGAGGGTTGTGATACAAGTCAATATTTCGCAATAAAAACTGTGAATGCCATCTTGATCAGTTATCGAAACTGACTCTAATGAGATATATTTCAGGATTTCGCATATTTTGGCCACCCCCGCCCCTTTGCATTTCGTTGCAGGGCCTTTGTTAATGTGCACGATGTTATATGACATTGATATGAAATCCGCATGACCTTGGTATTTGGTTTCTTGCGATTATTCAATTTTAGAGGCAGCGTGATATGTTGTTGTTCCACTGAGTCGCGGCCTCGCGACTCATTATTTACGCTCTGAACTCTGCCGGCGATGTAAATAAAACATAAGTATCCTTTCGGGGGCCTTTATTACTGACCTCTTTAGTTTTTTTCCGGTTTATTTTTTGTGTTAGTATACGATTATGGCGCGAATGCAAATTAATCATCTCTCAATAAGTTGAATGTACATTAGATGTGATAGAGAGTTGTAGAATATTCCTTTATAGAGTAATCCATACGTAGATATTGTATGTATACAGCTGTATACGTCTTTCTATAGTGCTAGAAGAGGAGGCATTGAAATATGTGACTTGCGTCTATTTACATAAGGTTTATAATTGAATGATGGCTCGCGGAAGTGACGCCGACTTCACCAATAGAATGGTGTTCGACATGCAGATTTGGCAATGAATGATTGCAAAATTTTTGTTTTTATTGTAATTCATTGACATTTTAAACAATGCATGTTGCACTAGGCGGTGAGAAAAAAATTACAGAAAATATTGAATATTTTTCAGTAAAATGTCATGTGGTTTCACAATATCAAGCAGGAATTGTTTCATTATCTTAGAATTAATTAGTTTCGTTTATAGAGCAGCCTCAAGTTGTATGAATGTGTTCGAGTCATGCTTACTAAGTAGTCCGTTCACTATACTATGAAAATCTTCATGCTATATTATATTTGTTCTTCATGGTTACTGTAAATTTAACAATCCATTGCATAAAATATTAAAATTGCCATCCTAAGCTTAATAAAATTACTGTGAAATGTACATAATTATGAAAAAAATCAAAATTAATAATTACTCTAATTAGAAATAGACTTATAAGAATTTCTGTTATAGTTCCTAATAACATTAGATTAATTAAGTACTAGATCCATATTAATTTGTTGTTCACATTCTTATGTACTAAGATTCATAGTAATTAAATTATTAAGTAGTTACTACATACTGAAATACTGACAACAAGCCAAAGATAGAAAAATAATATAAAAATGTACTTAATTAAACCTTTCAAGAAAAATACTTATCAACCATCTTAATATTAAAATTCATAATATTTATGTGACAGGATGAAGACAAGAAGTCTGGAACAGGTGACGGCCAGACTACAGAAGACGAGTCCTCCCAGGACTCGAAGGGTGAGTCGCAGGTGTCTCAGAACCCTGCCCAAGCCCCAGGTAACGCCGATGTAGATCAACCAGACACCACCAAAGAGGAGAATAAGTCTATAGAAGGTCAGGTCCTTACTCCAATCCCCTTGTCTGGTCTGTGTTCACAAGTCGGAGTTCATCTACATGGCAACTAACCTTTTGGGGCTGATTTTTGTCTCCTTTTACTTGTTAAGTTGAAAAAAGTGTTTTAAAATTAAGTGTTTGATTAAGTATCTGTTAGTCATAACCTCATAACTGATGGGTAATTTTGATGCCTTTGATTTTTTTTTCATATAAAAAATGTCAAAATATCAGTTAAGCTAATGAAAACTTATTTATTTATTTTACACTTTATATTGTACACCATAAAAACATACAAAGAAAAATAAACATAAAAAGAATGTGTATAATGATTATTAATGATACTTAATCAGATATGACGGTAAAAACCCTAAGCGTTGTTTTTTGGGATAAATGTAAATATAAATAGTTTTTTCAAAGTTAACAAGCAAAAGGAGATGTGTGACACATTTTGTAAACACAACATTCCACACATCACCTTACATCTACTAACTAAATCCACTAAATTGTATGAAAACCTTCATTTGGAATGCCAATCATAGCACACATTCTCTAAACATCTAAGTGCCAGTTTCTAGGGACCCATACGTTTTTGTCTGTAAAATCTTGTAAAAGTGTAAAACAAAATTAAAATATTTTTGTTGAAAGTTTGTAAAAGAATTAAGTTTTGACCCTTTTGGGCAGTAATTTGTAAAGACCTATTTTCTGTTAATATTCAAATGTTGAAAGTGTGCATAAAAAATCAAGTTCTTTACACAAAGATGTATAAAATGCACACATTAGTAATGAAAAAATTAACGCCAACTCAAATTAGCTGAGCACCTGTCGTTGTTAACTTTAATTCATACTTTCACCCAGAATGTACTTACAATAACTTTACGAAGGAACCCTACTAGTTTCAAGCCACGCAAGGGTCCATAAAACTACTCGATGTACGTCGTCGAACAATTACGTAATTAAGATATGGAACATAATTTATTCTTGTTTTAAAATGCATTATGAACAGTAAAGTTCACACTAAACATTTTTACAATACACACTGTGATGCATTGTTTTTGAGTAAATTTTATGTTTTGTGATGTCCAAATTGTGCTGTCTTAACTTTAACACATCGTAAGGTAAGTGAGGTCAAACAATAAACAACCTTATTATAATTATTTATCAGAAAATACTACTAAAAATGTAATTTCTTACTGTTTTTCGAGTTTATGATACACGAAAGGTACAAAAGAAACGATTGAAGTAGTTATTGTTGAATAAATTACATCAGTTGAAGTTGGAACGTTATAAAGTAATGAAATATTCAAGACTTCTATCTACGCAACCGAGTTTTTGAAACGCACCTTCCGCACTTATGCGTGCCTGCTTAATTCAGTTTTTGCCGCCGTTAAGAATTGTGTAGACAGACACGTGTACCTTATGTACTCTATTTATGAGGACTAAACTAAAAATAATGTGGACAATCCCTTCCACCTTCTTTGCGGATGCTTCGATCGTCCAAATATAAGCAAAAATCCATAATTTTTTTTTTGTTAATGTTCTTGTACTAGGCAAACGTCTTTAAAAGACCTTATTTCAGAGAAATGTTGAAATAGCACTTGTAAGTGCTTCTTAGGTTTCACCCAAAACTACCCCAAAGAACGTTTCCTATTTAAAACAGTGTAACAAGTGAACTAAATCCCATAGACACTCAATAAATTGTCGAAAGCGTTGCTAGTAAACTTACAACCTTGTCACTAGTTATTATCGATTTCCGTGCATCGAACTTAACCAAGGCATAAATGGCGCCGTAGTTGTGCGTACTTCACTCCGTTGGGACAGTAACAGGTATTCAAAGATTTAGGAAACAAAATTACCTATTTAAAAGGTCTTTGAATCTTTGAAAAACATGTTCTTAAACCCTTAAAATGGTGTGCAAAACGCTCCATATATTAGTTCTTGTGTTACCAATAGAGCTCTATACATTTTGAACTCGCAAACTGGTCCCAATAAATCTAAGCACTATAATTTTGAATGCCTTACGTGTACAATGTTTATTTATGTAGTGTACATGACTTTCCCGCGCAATGCAAACGCAAACCTGTTGGATAAGCATAATGGCGACCGTTTCAGATATTGTTTTTCTCTTCGCGAGCCAATTTGCACATGCATTGCTTTATACTCGAGGCTCTTGAAAAATGTCTGTCCAATTAACCAACTTTTCAATGATTCGAGGATATGATAGTCCGACTTTATTGTTCCTATCCCAGTAATGAAATAACTGCTTGTGAAAAATGCGTAAATAAATAAAACGGCCATGCGTAATTAATATTTCAGCATTTCTTAAACAGTAAGACACCCATGCAACATTTTTAAGGACGAACACCGTCTGCGAAATTGCGCAAAACACGTCTGAAGAAGTTTTTGGAATTGTATTTTTTAAAGGACTAATGAAACTTAAATTACTATAAAACGATTACTCCACGCCAAACTACATCATGATATAAAAGTCGATGATATTTTGTAATTACGAATTCAGACTGTGTAATCTCTGACTCACACTAACAATAAATATGTAGACCTCTTAAATTGTTAAAACATTGAGAAACCAGAGCTCTTCTTACAATTGGTGTGATTATTTCGGCCAGACTTCTAATGCATACCGGTTTTAGAACAAAATTATATTTAGCTTTTTTTGTTCCGTGGTACTATTTTCAAATGTTGATTTCACTGATTCAAGTATAATTCTCACATCGTTCTTAACTACTATAATTTAATTTACGAAAATTTGTGATCCTACTAGAAATTTGAGTACCTGTTACATTTACGTAAGTATATGAAGTTCAAAAAATATTCTACGTCGTAGATTAATGGACTTAAGCACAGTTGTATTGTATTCGCGGACCTACAGATAAACAGTTGTTTATTGAATATAGGCCCCAAAGGCTTAGCTTGCAAGACGATTGTAAAGCTAACAGAGATTCAGAACACCATTTTTTTCGATCATATTCATCAATGCAAAAAGAGTTCATGATGCATCGTGCATGTACAAGAGATCAATGAATCACCTCACTTCAATAAAACGAGCATTTCGTTCACTTACTAACAATCTCGCTATCATAAGTACTAACGACCGCTTACTTTTATCCGGCGAGATTCAGTTAGCATCAAGAGCAATTTAGACAATCGTGTTGAAGCTGGGACACTTTTATACTCGTGTGTGTTGCACTTTGAAAACGTTTGCTTTATTACAATTAAGTAGATGGATAAAGAGAGGGAGGAGTTAGGAGGCTCAAAAGTGAGATAGGTCACATTTTTACCTTTCTCCACGTAGAAGGTAGCTAGCATTCTTACACAATTTGCAACTTCTGTTGACAAGTTAAACCAAAACATGCTAACTTTACATAACATTTAAAAAGTTAAGAAAGTGTTATCACTCAAAGTTCATGTTTCCGTGATTCCACGGGCGAAATGTTATCGTCGAGCTACTTATTCAGTGTTGAGGTAGTACACGTTATGATAAATTGCGCAATTTACTCTGCAAAATGGTCGTTACAGTAGGGCACGGCCAGACGACACGGACGAGGGTGTGATAAACAAATATTAAATTAAGGAAAGGATTGCAAAGATCATAACAGAAGAAAATAATTGTGTAAGAACATTAATTATGTAAAACAAATAGTCATGTCAAAGTTATAAAGATCCATGAAATTAAGGATTTTTTTTTTATGTAAACTTTACAGTTTTGTTACGCTTAAACAGTGGCACCGATTTAATGTTGTATATTACATACAAAAAGCCTTCACATGCTTAGATAGAAAGCCAAAAGAACTTTCTTACAAAATGCCTTTTAATATACCTTAGCGTTAGTGTATCCTACTCCTAATATGTACAAGAGAAATGGATCAATCATTTATAATTCAATGACCGCAAGAATCAGTTTGCACAGTCAAATCGTTTTGTTACTAGAAATAAAGGGCATTGACACGTGTTGATGCCTGATATCGCGCTGAGATTCATCTAGTGGTCAAGTTAGAATGAGGGCCCTACCCTACTTTCACGGTCTTATCGACCTGTGCGTTTATGACCTAAGAACAAAGTAAATAGAAAATAGGTGCAAAGTTGTATATGTGCAGAAGACATAGTGGAAAGCAAGTCAATTGATATGTACCTTTCTAGCTTTTTTGCATTAAACATCTTCTGATTGGCTAAATATCTAGATTTATCCCATTATCTTTGTTATCAAATATACGCATTTATTTACACTCAATGTTGCAGAGTGATCGGAACCGTTTTAAGGACATAAATAATGCTATTTTGTGTATTATCTATATCACTACTCCTTATCATTGATGTTATCGCGTTTAGACATCGTTTTTGCCTCTCATTCTCTCTACTGGTTGTTATAATTAAAGTTTTTATAGAAAAATAGTCATACTAAATCGGTAGCATTAATCTAATTAGGATAAAAATAAGAATTTTCAAGCTAACGAAAATAGTTGTTAATGTAGATTAAATAGCGAATTTTCGATCGTGTCAAGACTCGAGTAGTAGATACTGTAGAATGTAGCTGATAGCAATTCAATGATAAGCGACGGTAATAAGAAATTAAACACACATTGCAGACATCACAGTACTAAATACTGATACGTACCTAATTATCTGTATACTAGATCTACATTTAATATTAATCTATTTACTTCTAGGGACGTTGAAAAAGTGAAATATTCGCACAATATTATGACTACGCGGTCGGTGTATGATATCGCAGTATTTGTATGTAATCATTACCGTCGCATTGTGCCTATGATAACTGTTGCTTTGCAAAATACTCTACATGACATGGCGATTATAATGCAAAGAGAAAAGTTTAATAATTACCCTGCTAATTTTAGGGTCAAAACACTTTAGTATGTAAATATGAGACTGGGACCAACTATAAGATTTAACAAAGACAAAATAAATCATAGTTCGCATTTATTTAACGAGAATTATATAATATAGTTTTCACGTTATTATATTGGTTTCTATAGTTACTAAAATCTTTTTGTAAGTACATGAGTACATTGACCTTTGAAGATAATGATAAGATCTGTAACATGTAGTATGTACACAAAGACGTTTATTTGTTTTTAAACAACGTTGTAGAAGAAAGTAGGAATGATTTTCCATTAGAAAGCACAATTTACTTTAAAATAAATAGATTAACTTGCGCGTATCGTAAAGTTGTTATAATCGTACAGATTACAAAGTTTTTAACTACACAAAGTTTTAAAAAAATATGTATTTAGAATATTTGTTTATATTAAAGGCATTTTTTGTTTTGCACAGGCGATTCAAAATCAACGACGGCCAACGGAAAGGACGATGACGGCGCAGGGGACGACTCAAAAGATGACAAGGACGTAAAGTCAGAAGCGGATTCTAAAAAGGTCAGTATTAATGACATATTTTTGTTATTATTACATTGAGCCATCGAAGACAGTGGTTAAAATATCCTTAAAATTAGTAAGCAGTATTACCTGTCGACAAACTTGAAGACACCTTCAAGTTTGTCACTACTGACACCAGCAGTGTCAGAATAAAAATATATGATCATTTACATGAGCTTACAGTCCAAATGTATCAAACATTACGAAAATACCCGTGTCACTTATTCGTACTTAAATATTCTGCGACATTTTTTGTCAAGTAACAATCTAGTAAAAGTCTTATTTCATTCAACCATTTTTGTTGAATTACCTTTCACCTGTTAGTATGTGTATGGAAGTATATTCACCATTTTATTATCTTTAAACCTGAAAGCAAAATCTTGTGTAACACCATACAAGATATGTCGTGATAATAAATCACCCCAGTACATATGACCCGAGTATTTGTTAACAAAACGTCAAAAACCTGAATAATCTCGCAGGAGGTCAAGGTGAATGCATTTATGTATGCAAATTAGGTTCTCCCCCATTGCACTCTGCGTCTCTAATGTAGAATATTTAATTCTGGGCAGTTGCGTCCCAACTGCGCTTGCTGATGTGATTGCAAACTTTTTTGTAAGTGTGTAATGTGGATTTTTTGTTACTATGATTTTAATCGACTGAGTTTCAGCTTGTTAAAGGTATTATTGATTACATTACGGACGATTTATGATATATCTAGTTTTACAGGACAGAGTTCTTGAAAATGTTTTGCTCTCATTTTTTATTTAGAAAAATTGTTTTCAACCCATAACGACAAGGTTAGTTTAGTCACTGAATCCAAATCAGGTGAACTAGCTAACACGAATAAGTAGGATTATTATTCATGTTTCTCAAGACTGTTTTATTGGGTATTTGGAAATTGAAATAAAATATGATTTGTGAGTATATGGACGCATCTCGTGTGCTGTTCACCCAGTTACCGAGGAGAGCGTGACCAACACGGATATCAATACTTAATTACGTAAATTACATTCTGTGCATGTTGATAATGTTAGTGATTATTGTCTCGTTAGTAAGTGCGACTGTCGAACACGCGGGTCGCGATTTCTGAGAGTCTGGGAGTCTCGGGTTCGATCTTTATGGTCGAATCGAGAAGTATTGCTTTACTATTTCAATTCTTTAACTTAGAATTGCTTGCTACCAATTTTGATTACGAGCGGCTTTATTATTACGAAGAGATCAAATTCTGGCAAAAAGTAGTTGTACCTATTACATTAAGAAAAGAAAACAGACCCGGAACAATTGTTTATAGATTACTAGCGACCCGCCCCGGCTTCGCACGGGTGCAATTTGCATGTATTATACATATAAACCTTCTTTATCAAAATCCATTGCGTAGTTTTAAAGATCTAAGCATACACAGAGACAGACAAACGGCGGATAGCGACATTGTTTTATACTATGTAGTGATAAAAATAATTCCTCCATACAGCAATCGAATTCGCAACATGTAGCGCAGTAGTCGGTTACCCAACCACTATGCACAACGTACAGTATAAAGTAATTAATGTAGAATGTGACCTAATAAGAAGCTTTATGATCGGAATTCAAATACTTCAAGAAATGACATGCCACAGACGAGGCTTGCTCGACAAGTTTAGCCAGTTGTCCATCTAGGTAGTTATGCGTCGTTTCCAATTCCAAACCACAACCACGTGCATTTAATACCATTCTTAATTACGTCGTTCGACGCCCTGGATTATTGGCGGTAGACGATTTTCAGGGAATACTCTGATTTTTATGAGGAATTTAAAAAGTTAACAGGATGTGGGAGACAAAAATAAGGAAATACCAATCCATCCATCAAATCAAATAAATCTCAAAGGAATGCCTCGTTGGCCGAGTGGTCGCAAGTGTGACTGCCGAGCAAGGAGTCTCGAATTCGATTCCCGGGTAGGGTAAAGTAATACTGGATTTTTAAAAATATCTCAGTAGTAGCACGGAGTGTGGAATCGAGCCCGGTATATGGCAATAGGCTCACCCCTATTACATGGAACTCATAACACAAACAGTGAAAAGTGGTACCGTAATGTGCACCTCTGCTTAACCCTTCGGGGATAAAAGGCATGATGTTATGTTATGTTATGTGAAAAGTGGGTGTCACATTGTACATTGGCATTAAGTGCCGTAATGTGCACCTCTGCCTATCCCTTCGGGCATAAAGTACGTGATGATGTGATGTTCCATTAAATCTCTGTAGGTTGCCATAGGTATACTTACTGTCCATTGCCATTCCAAAAGACCGTCAGCAGCCGGATTCAAAATCCTTTCACGGGTCGTAATTTGCCCGGGATTAAATCATTTTACGTGCCTCAGTTTTCCTAAATCCATAGCCCATCCAATCCAATGGTACGCGTACGCGACTGCGAATTACATAAGTCTTGGGTACAATTTCTGGTATAGACAATTTATGGTATAGATAAAAAAAAATTAAATCCAGTTTTACATCCGTCTTCATCATCGCATCATCAAAGTCGCCTAAATAGATGGTGGTGCATCTTAATAATAAAATAATGATAATAAATTAAATAATGTTAGAAATACAATGTTTTATTTAGTTAAATGAACTGGTATTATTAGAACATTATAGTTTTTGTGTCTGCATGGAAACACGTGGAAGCTTGTTTTTCTTGAATTAATTCATTCACGTGATAATACGACGTTTTCGACAAACAAGCCGAAAGTTTGCTTAGCCTTGATCCTTTGTAGCGTTTTGTATTTCGTTTTCGTAAACTCTTGATAGAATCAAAGGGTGATATAATCGCTTCATTCATTGGTTGTTTGAGTGTGACGTCCTTGTAAGGTGGTGGTGCCCTGGTCGTGTTAAATACTATTTGGGTTTCCGTTATCGTAGTTCTAAGTAATACATCACCTGCACGGTTGGTTGTAGCGGGTTCGATTCCCACACGGAGCAACTCTGTGTGATCCACAAATTGTTGTTTCGGGTCTGGATGTCATTGTGTATGCGAACTTGTATGTTTGTAAACGCACCCACGACACAGGAGAAAATCCTAGTGTGATGATTTGGGTTTGTGACGAATGTTTGATAATAACAAATAAATGGAATAATTTTACGAAGGGGTTCTAAGTAGCGTTAACGATACTTCCCGCTAGTTATGTTCAGAAGCCATAAAAAGTGAAAATATTTTTTAATAACTCACTCGTAACTTATGAATGTCTAATAATATAATTTTGAAGTTCTAGAATACATCATTAAATACATACCTACGCAGCTATTCTCAGAAATAAAGTGAAAACATTGTCCTTTTATTGAAATGTATCGGAGAGGTTAAAAATATCTCGGCCTCAGATGTCAAGGACGCGTCCCTCTCACGAATAGCTTTTATTTTGAACTCACAGAGTTATCATCGATTTTCATTAGTTACCGTGCCTAAAGTAATACCACATTATTTGCTCCTTAATAATTATTAATCTTTAAAAGGCAAATAGGATTTTTTGTTTAGTAAAAGTTTTTTTTATTACGTTCTTTAAACAGTTTTATTTTTACGTAATTAATACGTTAATTTCGTTCAATATCTGAAATAATTTAGGTTCAAAGCTCTTACTACGTCTTGTTTGTCCTTACCTGTGGTCCTTACTATAAGACACTAGCTGAACACCTGAACCGACAAACTTCGTACCTACCGCCATTTTTTCTCACCAAAGGTTTAAAGAATAACGAACGGAAATATTTTTTTTATTTATATAGATTCTATATTCTAAATTTTTCAAAATTAAAGTTTTTAAACCAAAAATATAATTCGATTTTGATTAAAATAAAACTTCTAAATTATTATTGGGAGAGGACTATTCGCCTTAGAAAGAAATATAAATATTGCTCCCTTCAGCACCCCAGGTCATGTGTACCTTTTTTAGTCATGATATTTTGAAGAATTTTTAAACTTATTTAAGTATTTAATTTATTTATTTATAGGAAGAAAATGGCGAGACCCATGATGAAGATGAGAAGGATGACGTGAAGGCGAACGACAAAGGTGCGAAGAAGGCCGCACCTAAAAAGAAACCTAAGAAGGAGGTAAGCAGACATGTTAATTTTTTTAACGGTTGTAGAAAGTGTACGTCAGCTATTGAATTAAGCTATCAGTATAACTATCAATTAAATTCGTACTTCGATCTTCAGGGTCTGTCGAAAGATTATTGAATTTTTAACTACCATTTTCTTAATAGTCCTAGTAGAACAACAATTTAATGCAAAAGGATATTTTTTGCCTTGAATTTTAATACAAGTTGTAAATGTTCTATAGGATACTGAAGAAGAAGATGAAGAGGAAGAGGAGGAGGAGGAAGAAGAAGAGGAGGAGGAGGGAGATGAGGGTGACGAGGAAGAAACAAAGAAACCTGCTAAAGAGAAGTAAGTCACATCTTCTATTATGATTAGTAACAGACTGACCTCACACTTTGTTGTATATTTGTTTGCATAGCTTTATTATGTCTTAAAAAATAATTAAACAAATTAATTACCTGGATTATTTCAGTTATTTCGAGTTTAGTTTAACAAATGATAATTATAGTACTTTTGCTTTTCTTGAAGGTTTCCTAACATATTCAATAATGTGGCAATAGTAACTGCAGAAAGTGGGCATTTATTTCGTAAAGGGTGATATTTAGTTGCCAAAATAATAAGATGAGAAATAATAATAATGTGGAAACCGGAACAGATGGCGATTTTGGAATCAGACGTGCTTAATAAAATAAAGTTCACTTTATAATTTAAAAATATTTTTTTCTCGGAGTTTATTCCACAATAATGTTATGTTAACATAGTGTTACATAGTATACTCAATCTGAATATTGTTACAGGGCAAAGAAACCTGCAAAGAAAGCTAAAGATGATGACGAAGGTGAAGATGAGGAGGAAGGAGAAGAGGAGGAGGAGGAGGAAGAAGAGGAAGAGGAGGAGGAAGCTCCTAAACCTAAGCCCAAGAAAGAGGTAAAATTGTCATTGTCTTAATACCACTACAAAATTCACGGTTTTTTTTTGTTACTGAACGACAAAGGAGATCTACACAATTGGGAATACCCAATTGTGTTACTATGCTTCTAGTACTTCTAGTAGTAGTTCTTCTTCTAGTGCTTCTAGTAGTAGTTGTTGTTGTACTATGCTTCTTTAGTGTTTACAATAATTTGTTTTATTAAGGGATAAGAAGGTAAACAATCAAGCGTATCAGCTGATAGTATGCAATCGGCGTTGTTTGGAGAGTCTCAACACAAGTGGAGTTACAAATTGACGCCGTCATTTTAGGAATTAGGCCTACGGTAACCGCCGAAACAATGCAAGCCTAATTCCACCCATGTTTTCTATGAAGCCGCGGTACGGTCGTACCGTGCTTCTTCCATGCAGTTAGTTATTTACTATTTTATTAATATTAATGTTTTTACTTCAGCCAACAGAGCCGCCCGTCCCAGTGCCAGCCGGTAAAGGCATCCCACTGGGCCACATTAGCAACGTGGAAGTATCACTGTCGCGGTTCAAGACGCAAGATCAAAAACTTTTGCATCAATATCTATATGGGGTGAGTTTACTTTTAATTTGTTTTTTTCGTAAAAGGCACTTTAAACTAAATTACATAAGGTATTAATGTCCTATCTGACTATGAGACGAAATGTCAAAACAATAACCGTGCATAGAAACATTGATATGAACTGCTAAGATTTTTGGCATACTTAGTGCAAGACAGTTTAAGATGGTAAGGAGTATTAGATATTTTCGTAATGGCCACCTGTCTCGACTTTCTGTCGATAAATTTGGTCATGAAAGTTACAATTTTGTAACTGTGTCAAAATTTTATTTATTGTAGCTAAATCTTCCTATTGCGATACACAGTTAACGGAACATACATAACAACTAGGACTTTTTTGACTTTACCCATGTCTCCGGAGAGCATAAATTCCCAGCCTCTTATGTTTTTTCTCATTTTTAGTTTCTTAAATATACTAAGGTTCATTTATTTTGCAGCAACTATGCTTGGACCGTAATGTGAAGCGCAACATCAAGAAGTTCAGAGGTTACGAGTGGGCCATCGGTTCATCAGACTACAAAGCCAAGCTGGAAGAAACCACCAAGATGGAGCCTAAAGCATTGCGGACTATGTGCGAGATGCTTGATCTTGACAAGAAAGGTATGAGATAAACATAAGAGTTTAAATTGTTTTTGGTAGGAGAGCAAACTGAAACGTGACAACGGAAATGAATGATTTGAAGTCAAATGTTGTTGTTGTGATTTTTGATAGAAAAATAATAATTTTCCTCTCTCATTCAGACATTGTTCTCGTAGCTCTCGTAGCTCGTAGCTTTTTTATTTTAAGAGGGGAAAATCATCTAATAACTTCACCCTCCTGGGCGAGGCGGGAAGGAGTGTCAGACTTACTGACAAAAACCACCCCGTTCCTACTTTTGCACTTCGAGCCGGAGCCCCGGTATCCTTTATGTGGTGGTCTGACGGCTCTTGAGACGCGCGCGGAACGCGACACACCGTACGCTGTTCTGGTAGCTTGGGATTAGAATAGAATGATGATAATTTTGTTATCTCTATAGTTCTTAAGAATTGATATCGAAACCCTTGATGGAACTACCACCAGCTCAAAAGTGGTTTCCCATTTAGCTACAAATCCTTTTGCCGTGTTTAAGTTGTGTCACAGAATGTGGTAGTAGATATTACCGTTTAGTCTTTTATCGCAATGTTATGATGTTTATTTAGGGTCTGCGTCGGAGCTATCATCGCGCCTAGTAGGGTTCCTGCAGCAACCAGGTCCGAACTCGCCACACGCGCGTGGCGTGGCCCGCGCTCCGCCTGCCGTGCCGCCCGCCACGCCCGGCGGACGACCACGACGATCCACTGCCGTCAAGGTCACCAACAGAGGTAGGCACCAATATATTACATCTTCACTTTTGAAATAAATAAAACTTTTCTAATTGACCATTAAACTTGTTTGCATAGTCTGGAATAATTCTTTCATATTTTCTTTTTTCGTCATTTTAAAGGCTACTCTGATGAAGAGTATGATACAGATCAAGAAACAAAAGTCAAAGGACCAAAACCACCAAAAGATGGCTCGGAAGATTCAGATGTAAGTACGACATAGCAAACACTATGACCGACCACCAATTGCCGTTATTACCAGTTACCTACCCTTAAACCGTCTCTTAAAAAGTTAACTTAGCGTCACTTAGCACCTAAACAAACCCGAAATGTCGTTAAACATCACCTGTCATAGCTTAAGGGTTCCTTAAATATTATTATATCAAGTTTTGGAGAATCGTACATAATTATTTACAATTAATTTATTGTCTAATCTAAATTGAAAAGTTAATTTGTAATGTAATAGACTGTGTTTTTATTTTTCTCTGGATAGTTGGGCTACACTACCACTTATTGAATTTATATAAGAAGCAATAGTAAGTTAGATGTTGTATTGTACCAGGGTTCGTTCAACCCGAGTGGGTCTGAGGAGGCGGACTCAGACTTCGACCCCGAGGCGGGCGAGAGCGCGGCCGGCGCCGGACGGAAACGTAAACCGTCTGGACGACGCCGGTCTTCAGGCAAGGCCACTGGCAAGCGAGGACGCAAGCCTAAAGGGAAGAAGGGACGGGTATGTGCACCATATTTATTATATTTCTTCACGGTTTGCTTTTGAATACTTAAGCCATTGGCACCGTCTACAATAAATGGTAAAGGCTAATCACCTTCACCATTATCCGCCATGGTGTTTAATATGATAAAATGTTTTTTCTTTATAAAATTAATTAATTAATGACTAGGTGATCTGTCTGGACCATATTGGTGATTACTTTTGAAGCTAACTTTTAGTGTCTACTAAATGTGTAAATTATTTATGAAGCTAAATCCTGATTGGCCTGGACCAGGCAACGAATATGCCAGCAACGTTAGTAAAATATAACTAATGAACTATTATTTTTATAGCCAAGTAAAGGAGGTCGCGGACGGCGGGCGAAGTCAGATAGTGAAGAAGAAAGTGAAAAGTCAGAGAGTGAGAGTGAGAACGAGTCAGGAAGCGAGGGAGAAGAGTCTGATGTGAGTATATTCTAACTATATAGTTAATTAACTTAATACAAAACTATGAGTTTAGTTGCAGCTAAGAGCTGGGTTCAGTATATAATCTCTCATTTGTTGCTTACAACCCGAATCTGCTTTAGAACATTATAGAGATTATAAGAATTTTAAGACTAAATATGGTTAATTTTATTAGTCAACTAAGATAGTTATAGAAAAAACCTTTTAATTTCTGTTTCGTCATTCATATTGCACTTGTTTAATATTTTATTTCCCTTCAACAGGAGCCTAAGTCTAAGCGCGGTCGGCCGGCGGCAGTGGCGAAGGGTCGTAAAGGCGCCGTAGCTAAGAATGCGTCCGCTAAGGCGACGCCAGTCAAACGGAAAGCACCCACTCCACCCGGTATGTATCACACTACTATCAAATATTCCATTTTTAGAAGTAATCAGTCACCTCTCTTCTGTAATAACTCCGTTTTGCTATTTTTAACACAACATAGGAATACTGAGCAAAATGCGTGTTCCACTTAATGATTTCTCTGTTTATACAGCTAAAAAGAAGGCACAAGCCGGTAAAGGCGCTGGTCGGCCAGCCAAGAAGGGCAAGAAGGCGTCTTCAGATGAGGAGTCCGGCGAGGGCAGTGAGGAAGAGGAGGAGGATGAGGCCAGCGAGGAGGAGGAGGACTCCGGGGATGAGTCTGATACACCTGCTGATAAGAAGGCCAAGCGGCCGCCCACGGTATGTTAACATGAAATATTTTGTATGATACTCAATTGTTAGAAAAATGACGGGAAAATCATAAAAAGAACCTACAAAAACCGAGGAGTTTCATAGATAACTAGGAATCGGTGATCCCAGACTTTTAATGAGATAACGAAAATTTTAAGATAGATTGTTAAAACTTGTTCAACACACTAAAAATCGTCTTTCAACACACTAAAAATCGTCTCGATTGAAGCAGCTATTGCAGCTAACTATTGAACTGACTGAAGCAGCTAACTATTGCCCGGCAACATTGTGTGTAAATTAAATCAACACACCAAACCCAAAGTCGAATGTTAATAATGAAATTTAATTTATTTTAAGACTAAGCAATGGTAAAGCGTTAACTACAATAACAAGTAACCTTGTATGTTTAGGACGAGGAGATCAAGAAGTACGTGAAACAGATCCTGGAGGGCGCGAACTTGGAGCAGATCACGATGAAGACAGTGTGCAAGCAGGTCTACAGCCACTACCCAGACTTCGACCTCGCGCACAAGAAGGACTTCATCAAGGCTACAGTCAAGTCGGTAAGTCACACGAAAATTTATCTTATTATCTCAGTAGTAATGATTTCGTTTTAGTTATCTTGTTTATGAGTCAATAAAGAATGAAGAAATTGATTTTATAGTCACATTAAAGACTACATATCAGTGTCTTGTCATGAGTCAATATTGAATTGATAAATGGACTCTCTCATATTTTGAATGTAACTAATGTTTGATTAGTTTTCATTGTTATCTCTTCAGGATTATTCCTGTCCTAATACTTAAATACATACATAATATTTAAGTATTATTAAACAATAAACAATCACAATAAAAAATCGAAGGATTAACAAACATTAATCCGATTTAGTGATTCCTATAAGAGTAAAACACATGACGTATTGTTATTTTTGTTTATCATTTTAGACAAATACATATCGTAAACTGCAAAGAATAATGTTTCACTTTAATAAGTCTTTTTAATATTTTAAAAGATGGATTGATTTATTCCAATGCCAATACTTATACACTAAATACATACTCCTGTCAATCTTTATCACCATATTATACCATACCATAGTGTGGGGCAACGTTTTTTTAAGAAAAAAAAAAAATATTATCCCAACAGTGAACTAGGTAAACTAGTTTCAGAGGGCTTAGTACAAGAAGAGATTGACGCGTTGCCACGTTTACCTCTCTGATTGGTCGGTTCATTGGGGCAGGCCAATCAGAGCGCCGAACGTCATATACTTGTCGATCAATTTAACTCGTCGAGTACCGGTTTTATAGACACAATTAAAGAACAATAGGTCGCGGTCACCGGTGACCGCTTGGTGTTTGACAGTTTAAACGTAAACCATACTCGTACTAAGCCCTCAATATATTTTTTATTTTATTTTGCTATTTAGTATTATGTGGACCATGAGTGCTGTTTTAACGTTTCCATGATTCAATTTTCATATTACGCACTTTATTTCATGTATTTTGGTTGCAGTATTTAAAAATAGTAACTTGGAATTAATACTGGAATTGTTAAAAAAAATGTAGATAACTTTTCCTAATTAAGGATCTAAAGTAGAATAGCACTTGAAGATTTAAAAAGAACTCTTGTAATTATTATAATTTAATTTGCAAATCGATTGTTTTATAATTATATTTTTTGTTATTTATTTGTTATTATTTTCCTTTGTTACAGTGTATTTAAGATATAGGAGTTAGCGGAGTGTAGATGTCTACATAGTATACCTATAGATTATAAAAGGACATAGCTATATATTATTACAATAATAATATATTATGAATAATAAAAAATAATATGAATGAAGTGGAACGGATAAACACCCGCTTTACTTTACAAGGTAGATTTTTGCTTATTTATTATTGTTTGCATGTAGAATTATGTCATTCAAATGTATGTAACATTTTCAGCATATTTTTGTTACGAAAATATCAAAATATTATATTTTATCAATTATTTTCCATAATTAGTTTTAATTACAATGTTACATACATTTGATGTGGATTTTATTTTGTTTTTTATTGAAAGCTTGTTTTTTATTTGCTTATATTTTTGTCATGTGTATTTTACTGTTTTACAAAACTTATCATGATGGGTTTGGCTGGTTGTCATTGTGGTTTGAGTTAGGTGTGAAGATAGATTATTATACAGTCAGTACACTCATTATACACAGGAGTTAAGAACATTTGACACTTTTAGTGGGAATGGATTGAAATGTTTGTTTTACAGAATGTCTAGTATAATCGAGATAGTTATGTAGTAATAAAAGTTTTGTGTTTGCAGCTCATATCATCGTGAGCAGGTGACTGTTCGGCCACAACACATACATAGTCGAGTAAGCACCACTTTACATACTTAGACTAATGCCCCCGGCGTCGCCCGGCCCCCCTACAACTACTAACTGACACGCGTCACGTTGACCAGCGCCGCCGAGTGGGCCTATGTAATTTTATGTTGTAGGAATAATTCCCATTAGACTAAGGATAACCCAAGTAAAACAGCTCTATTGTAAGATCGTATTATTTTAACTGTGCCTGTATTAGTAGTTACGATCACGTTTGTTGATTATGTTATGAGGCATACGGCTCGGTGTTAGCTCGTAACTGATATATTTCCATTATATACGCTAGAGTTATCTATGTTATAAGTTGTAGTTTGATAATTGCATATTTTTTTGACATAATCAGTTACATATTTGTATGGATTTGTATGGCATAAAGCTGAGGCGCGATCGTCGGCGGTTTAAATTGTAAAGTTTATATTTAACTTGTTGTTTTGTTCGTATTTTGGCTTATGTTATTGTATTTACATTGGAGCTCCGGCCGACCGTGGGCAGCAGCTTTATGTACCGCGACTATAGTAATGTTCTAAGTTTGAAAGTACTTTAACGTTATGTAAGTTTGTACTAACTCGAGCCGTATCCAGTTCGCTGACAAGTCATGTTAATCCCTTTTATATACACTGATATGTACAAAGTTCAGGAACATTGGCACTGTGTGTTATATATAACTTTATTTTACTAAATCCAAAATTACTATAAATTGTATCACTTGTAATAATCCGTATATTATAATAAGGATTTAATACTAGTGTTGTAAAATCCAAAATTATTTTTTTATTGGGATCGGAGAAGACATTGCATTTGGCATTCATTAACTTGAGTTACGTTTTGTTGGTACATGTTCGCAAGGAAACTAGGGACGCTGGGAATTGGTACATTGTAAACTCTTTATAACAAATCCTGTAATTCTATTTTCTATTACATTATCTCTACTTTGTAACTGTCCTATTGACTACTGAATGACTTACAGGGTGTATGGGGAATGTTTCCGAAAACGCAGACAAACAGTTTCTATTTTTACAATTGTAATTGTTTTGTTTTCGTTTTACTCATGCAATATCAGCCTTGAGCAATTGATTGTAACTATTATTACATAAAAGAAACATTAAATTCCTTACTTTTTTAAAAATAATACTCCTGTTTAACATCTGTCGTCGTATTTTCGAAGCGTTCTGTTTACACTTTGTGTAATATGAAGTAAGACCTTCCTTTACTTTTCTCCCTCTGTGTCTTATCTCTTGTATAATCTGTGAAAACTATCACGTTCTGCGTTATAAAGAGTTCACATACACCACATGTTTAAAGTATGTACTTGTATATTGTTTCCTATTTGTTTTCAACGATGTATCGTTGTAAGTTAATTTTCTTAATGCGGACGTAGTTTGGAAAGTTTCTCGCAGTTGGCACTATCGCAAAATATAATATTCGATTTAGGGTTGTTTAAGTGTACTTTAAGAAGTGTAAATACTACACAGGTGTTGCAATTTGGGGATGGTGCGTGTGAAATGTTTGACACAATTTTTATTGCACGGAGCTGTTGTAGTCGCATTGTTTCTTGATGCTTATACAAATGTAAGAAGCGACGCGCACTAGATGGCTCGGTGCGAGGGCGTGCTCTCACTGTATGCGTGTGCACGTCCCGCGATGTAAATGACTTTGTTTCGATAAGTTAGCGTAACGTTCAGTACATACGATGTGTTCAAGTCCGCGGCGGGCGGAGGCCAGCACGTGACTCCCAACCCGACAGGATCCCCTTACTGCAATATTCTAACGCGTAACAATTTACATCAAACTTTTTCCAATCATATCAATGTTTTATGTTATCCGAGCTTAGCTTGCATTATAGTAGACAGGCAATTTTCTCACTACACGGAATAGTGTATAAGTTTTATTTTTCTCGAAGGATCAAGCGCTTCTTATAATTTTAGGTGCTGCTATAGCATTTGATATTGTTTTAATGTAACTTGTGGCCGATGTCGCAAAGTCCCGTGGGTGAAGCTAACGTAGGTGCGGGATCGGTCGAGCGGAGACACGGCGCAATGCGTTCCCCCATAGAGGCGACCTGTTTTTGTCTATATTCGATAGTCTCTATTCGCGAACAGCATTGCAGACACCGACCCTACACTTTAAACTACGGTTTATGGCCTAGGGTTGTAGATTCGTATGTTCTGTTTGGTTCAGTTGGCAGCCGTCTCCCCGCGCGCTCGACTCCCCTAGCTCGTAAGATAGGTTTAATCAACATTAAATGTGTATTTGTGAATTTTTAACCTTATTTCGGTTGATGTTTCTTTATAAATGTGTAAATGGCTGAGATCTGTAGCGATGTAGTGACCTGGAGTGATAGCGAGTGACTGGTTCCCCTTTTACAATTGGATAATAGATAATAAAGTAAATAAAAGTTTGACAAGTATCGTTTTATTTCCACTCTCCCCTTTCACAGTCTATTAATTTATTATACACTATTATACAATAATACAAGAGTATAATACATTTATTAATTTATCCTAAGTGTTTACAATTAAGTCAGAGTTCATGAATAATTAACCTATTCAACTAAAATCGAGATCCATATCGGACGGACATAAAAGTTAGTATGTACAATATTTGACTAATTGAATATACAAATATAACTTTGTTGTTAGTAAAATACCTATTTATTTCCAGCCCAATACAACAGGGCTGGCTTTATCAGGTCCAAGAATAACATAATCAATACAAATATGAATACAATGTTAATTTCAAAATTCCTCAAAGGTACCTGAAGCTGATCGACTATTTCTCTTACAAAGAGTTAATGGAGATAGTTCTGACCACTTCTACCGATGTCTCTACACTTCATAATCATCAATAGATTTTAGACTTGATTACAAGACTACTAAAGTTGAAAATATACTATAGCTTGGTCTCTGGCTTCGCGGGTTGTTTCCGGAAGGCGTGTATCCTGCGCGGGCGTCTGTCTGCGCAAGCGTATACATCGTCGCGCGGCAACATGTCCGTCTGTCTGTAGTACGCCTCGTACGTCGGACTCTGTAGCTGGGACGCCGCCGAGCAGTTTGAGCGGTGCTCACTGTCGTTGTCGTCTGCACTGTCCACGTCACCTGGAAATTCGACCAAAACAAATATAATTTCATTTCATTACCTATTTTTATTATAGTCAGAATCATATTAGCTACAAGAAATCCGCACTGTTTACAAAAAAACAGGGTTTTACTCGTGTGCTTTGATTTTGTAATTCAACAACAGATGTAATAGCACACCAAACGAACTGTTGTTAATTATAATCTGTAACATTATATAGTAGCTTACCATCACTGCTGTTGTTGCTGGGAACGTGTGCGTCTCTCAGTCGTGGTCTTCGTCGCCAGTAGCGGAACTCTCTCGGTAGCGTGTAAGATCGAGGTAGCGAGATCTGAACACAAAAAAAGTACAATAAGTATGTCATTCCAAAATGATTTTAATTATGATTTCATTAAATAGTCTGGGAGGAGAAAATATAGGTAAAGCTTACATTTATTCATTGCAAAACTGTTCGACAGACATACATTTTTATGTTGTTACTAATTAAAAAAAAGAAATTATTAACTTATCTGCCTACTCCGGACAGAGACACGAGTTATACTAACTACAATATTTTTGCATGACACGTACCTGGCTATCAATATCGCTGGGAGGCCGTGGAGTCTCACGCGCCGGTCCATCCGGACTGGATTCCTCACCACTACTGCCTGCTCCTTCCTCTTTTTTCCTGTTTCTAGACAAAAGTACGTTTTTAATAACGATTTGCAAAGATCTAACTCAGTTCGATTGAATTTATATGCTAAATGGGGAAAAAGAATTATTGTAGAGTGGATTGTTTTGGCATAATAGGATCGTAGGCCTCATCATCGCTTACCACCAGGCGAGTCAGCGGCCAAACGTCGGCCCATCAAATTATATAAAAAAGGATCAAACTGACAAATTACCCGAATTAAAAAATGTGAGTGACTTACGTGTACGGTGGTCCCCAATGACAGCAGACCTGTCTGTTACACCCGTCCAAGTAGTGCGGCGCGAGTAGTATCTCAGGCGTGCGACATCGCTGCATCTTCCTCATCTGCTCCATCTTCTTCCCCGCCAGCCCCGGGTACTGGAACCGCTCACAATTCTGATTGTAACCACAACCTACCTCATTGTAGTTATTCCTAATATTGTCTATATTCTGCACATTCAATGCGTTATGCAAGGCTGACACGTATTCGTCTTTACTTTCATATTTTGGATATTGGTTCCCTTCGCAGTATCCTGAATACTCTCCTATTTGCCTGTGGTCTTCTGAGTAAATAGAATTCTGTGCTATTCTAGGTTTGTCTAGCCCAGCTGTTTCGTAGTTGTTGCTTACGTCTGGCATGTAGGTCCGAGGACTGTTACTGAGGGCGTTCCTTGCACTTGTACAGGCATTCGCATCGTAATTTCTATTCTCATTGAGTGCTAAATAGTTTGGTGAGCGTAGTGGAGTGCGTGTTACGTCGTTTCTCATATTTGCTGGGTTTTCGTAAAAGGTTCGGGTGTTATCGTATCTATTCGGTAATCTTCGCATTTTGAGAGGATCGTTGATATCTGAAGGTGGGTTTTCATTGTTTTGGAAGTTTATATTGATGTTGAAATCTGGTTTTATTTCTGTGTAGGTGGGGTAGATGTTGCAGATGGGGTAGTTTTGGTAGGAGTGTGCCATTTCTATACTGGGCCAGGCGGGGGGTTCTGCGTGAGTCTTGGCGCGGGGTATGGGCTGTCGCTGTAGACTGCTGTATATCTCCTCGGCGGCGACAGGCGTTGTCTTGGCTAGCTTGCCTTGCTTGATCTCCTCCTCTATGACGCGCAGTTCTGCGAGCTGTTTCTGTTTCTTCTCTTGTAATTTTTGTTGGATGTTCACTCTTGAACCGACGCTTGACCCTTCGTTTTCAGATGACCCACCCTGGAATTTGGTAAAAATTTAAAATAAACTTACTAAATTAACACATATTTCTTCGTCAATTTTATAAAGATGCTCTAGTTATATTTCAGTTTATAAGTTTTACATGATGATTATGAGCGGCAGGCAGTGGTCTCCTCCAGAAGGCAGCGGCAGGCGCGGCTGGTGGAGGCACGAAAGAAGTCGGCTTCTTCTTTTTACGACCATTCGCTGCACTGTAAGGAAACAATAAAGTATCTGTATAATAAAATTCACATTTGTATGGTAGGGTTTGGAGTGCCACAGGGTTCTATATTAGGTCTTGCGTTGTTATTCTTATTGTTTTTAGACGTACCTGTTACTGACTGGATTTGAGAACCGACAGTTGAACACGCCCGGTATCGTTGGGTTCTCAACTTGATTAGATGTTTTACCTAAAATAAAAAAGAAATCTTTAATTTTTGGTTGCAACAATATTTACTAATAATAATAACATTTTTATTCCATTGTAGAGGAATAACTGAACTCTTGGGATATGAGACATACCATCTTTATTCTGCGATGATGTGTTGGTACTGTTCGTTCCTTGTTGATGTTCCCCCAGCATATAGCCCAGTCGTCTCACGTGGAAGTATCTGTAAAACATTGATATTTTTAAACTTTGGTATACAGATGTCGTGGTGGCCCGGAGGTAAACCTCCGGGCTTAAAAACTCTTACTTAGGTCTTAAAAGACGCACACATCTTATGCATGAGGGCGCGGGTTCCGAATGAACCTACCAACGGAAAGTACCAATTTGACTTTTCCGGAATTATATGTATTTTCTAAGATTATTTAGATACCACTGACAAACGGTGAAGGAAAACATCGTGGGGAAACGTAATTTGTATTATTAGTTTTAAATCACCAACTCCCAGAATAAGCGTGGCGATTAATGTTCAAACCACCTTCTCCGTGGGAGAAGAGGCCTTAGTCAGCAGTGGCCACTTATAGGCTCGAACTGAAAACTAGTTTCCTTATAAATATTCGACTTCATTCTGGAGTGGTTTGTATGTTTGGTGATGTTAACCTGTAATAAAGCAGCATGAAGGCGATGCCGGCGGCGAATGCAGCGGCGGCGGCGGCGGCCAGCGGCGCGGGCCGGGCGGCGCGCCCCGACCACCACCACGCCGTCACCAACAACCAGTTCTCCACACACATCACGCAGTAGAACGTCACCTGGAACACAAGTATTCGTCATTTACTAACATGTGGCGGCATAAAGGTTAAGGCACTTGTTTCGAGACCTGAGGCCTTAGTACGAGTTCTCGGGCCTGCGGACGGCGAGCACGGGTGACTCGCCGCCCGATCAGAACCAGGCCCGAGCGTACCAAGGAGCCATCAGACCACCATAGAAGGGGCCCAACAGGGCAGGATACGGAGCCTCTTCCGCGGCCCCGTATCGGCATCAGCCAATATAGCCATCTTAACGGGTTGCCAGGGCTTCAGCTCGAAGTGCAGAAGTAGGAACGGGGTGGTTTTTAGTCAGTAAGAGTCTGACATTCCCTCCCGCCTCACCCAGGCGGGAGAAGTCATTGGATGATTTTCCCCCCTCAAAAAAAGGCCTTAGTACGAGTTAGATCAACGTTTAAAGTAATCGACACGAGACTGCGATTGGTACTTTAAGACTAAGGGCTTAGGGCGCGATTTTATCCCGTGCCCGGGGCGGTTGCTGGCCCGCTTTGTGGAATACAGATATGTATGTAAAAAATCAAAGCAATTTTCACTGCGTGTTTTACGCCAGCGACTACGGGTTCGCAGAAAACTACGGTCTTGAGTTTTGAAAATTCCGCCTCCTTACTGCGTACATGTTTCGATTACTTACATAACATCACGCCTTTTATCCCCGAAGGGGTAGGCAGAGGTGCACACAGAAGTAACACCCACTTTCCATTATTTATGTTATGAGTCCCATGTAATAGGGGGTGAGCCTATTGCCATATACCTACCGGGCACAATTTCAGACTCCGTGCTACTACTGAGATTTTTTTTTAAAAACCTTGTAATACTTTGCACGACACGGGAATCGAACCCGAGACCCCTTGCCCGGCAGTCGCACTTGCGACTACTCGGCCAACGAGGCAGTTAGATTTCGATTACTTTAAAGTTATGATACGTAGGTACTATCTAAGTTTATCTACACTACATCATCGTGAAGAAATCTGGACTTATATCATTTCAAATTAATTATAGCTAAGGTTGAAATCGCCAATCCGCTTTGAGTAAACATGGTGATTAATGCTCTTACCTTCTCCGTGTGAGAAGAAGCCTTTACTTATCAGTGAACGCTTATAGGCTGAAGATAAGGGAGCACACATACAGAAGCAATTTTTTTGCTCCCTAAATCGCTACATCATCAGAAATATCGCAAGTAATTAGAATAATACTGCTTACCATCTTCTGCCTATGATTAAGTTCCTGAAGGTTGACGTAAGCGAAGACGTATACGAATGCAATGAGTGCTGAGAGGTACGCCTTGCGCGGCCGACTGATGCGTTCTCCGTGGAACACGTTCTTAGGAGATATCAGCCACAGAAACATTGACAGCCAGTGAAGACCTGAGACAGTAAAACATAATTATATATATGGCTTTCGTAAACTACGAAAATGTTCAACTACTTTCAAGCTATATGAGGACTCATAATTACAAGGCGTGTTTGTCAAAGATAGATTGTTTTTACTATTACTTACCTATAACTAAGAAGACCCAATATTCGTAGACTAGAGCGTAGACGGTAAGCGCGCAAATACGCGCCGATATTGTACCCAGGCGCCACAGGAACTGTAAACAAACACGAACAAATGTTTAGACAAGTTTAGGTATATGAAGAACTCGATAACATATAAAGAGTCAAAATATTTGATGAGGGTAGGGCATTGTCGTACCGTCATCAGAGTGGTTTTTTTAAGGGGCGAAATTATCGAATGGCTTCTCCCGCCTGGGTGAAAGGGAGAGAGAGTGTCAGACTTTTACTGACTAAGAACCACCCCGTTCCTACTTTTGCCCTTCGAGCCGAAGCCTCGATAACCCGTTAAGTTCTCCGCTGAGCGGGTGACATATTGATGTTAGAAATATTTTATATCTATGATGAAAAAGTCAGCCAGAAGAGAAATCAAAATTGCTAATTGTTTTGTGGCCCCTTAAAAATATATGGCATTTACTTTGGTATACTATCAAGTTATTTTTTGCGTGTTACTTTGTTAAACTACCTGGAATATAACTCCCAGCCAGGTGAGTACGAGTCTGTGCACGTTCTGTAGTCTAACATTCTTGCTGAAGCTGGCGAGCGCCCAGCACACAGAGAACAGGGACAAAGACGCTGAGATCACGTTCAGCTCCGCGAACGCTTTGTTTTCTGAAATATAGAAATAGAATAGAATAAAATTAGCCTAGTATAATTGGCAGAAGAATCAGGTGTTATTCATATACCCAATATTGTTACATTGTCTTTAATTTTAAGTTGTTGAACGAACATTTAGAGGATGATACATGTAAAGTAATATCGTTGTGCAAAATAATTTATTACTAAGTACCTATATAAATTTTTATCTTAGTACTTTCGCAAGATTTCATCTGCTGCTCGGTTCCTATTGTCGTAGTGTGATGTTCTATGGTAAATAACAATTCTCGATAAATGGACTATCTAACAAAAAAATCGGGTTTTAGTTCCATAGATGTAGTATATTTCATTAAAAAAACGAACTTTTTAGCTTGCTTTTGTAGACAATATAGGTAGATAGATGATGGTCAAACCTGAGGGCTCATCGATGCTGGGTTCGGGAGTGACGGTGAGGTCGCTGGTGGGTTCCCTGCTGGTGTCCTTGAACAGTATGTGCAACTGTAGCAGTAACATGGGCGCGGCCTCGCAGAACGCGTGGACTAGGCGGAGCATACCTGCATTAAGAAATATATGTTATAAATTTCATTTTTACTTAATTAAGGCAAGGCAGATTTAACTTCCATACTAATTAACACGTTGAACGCCATGGCGGACAGCAATGGGTGACGATAGCGGAGGATTTGCCCTCAACAATTTTCTGTCGGTAGTCTAAGGCTTGTTGGTTGGGTTGGCGACAGGCTGCAACGCAGTGTTAAACTTACATAGATCTCGAACTTGGTGCTTGACTCTCCTCAGCTCGACAGGTACGAGTAGCCGGGCATATCTCCAGAGTACGCCTAGCTGAAGGCAGTGCAGCAGTATTGGGAGCCATGGCGGCCTGCCCTTGCGACCCTCTCCGGCCCACCATACGTGAAGGTACCAGCGGAGCGAGAGCACCTGGGAAGTATAATTCAGATTTAAAATATCGAAGTATTTATCAGAAACTATTACATATCTGATTTTAAATATATTATAACAAATATCTGCAAATATCCTCTTTTTTAAAAAAAAAATTGTGTGGAGCTCAATGACCAGGTTCTCAAATCACAAACCTCATAATATTCAAAGAAATAAAAAAAAATATGTTTACATTCCGTTCCACATAAGTAAAAACATTTTTGTAACTTGCCTGTGATATGACTAGCGAGGTGATAACAATAGATATAGCAGCAGCAAAAGTGCCTTTATATCCTCGTTCGAGTAACGCGTATCCCATCACGACGTCGAACACCACGTCGCAGAAGTACCCGGCCAGCGATATCACGTTGAACAGCACGTCGCACAGCGGCAGAAATTCCGCCATTTCCAAACATTTCTTTCAACTAGTTAGTTTTGATAAAATGTTTTTCGAAATTTCGTCATTTGCTGTGAAGGAAAAAATAAAGTTTCATATCGCATTAAAAAAATTGTGTCGGTAAAACGGAACGTTGATGAAAAACGTTTCGTTTCACTGATTTAGTTATTGCTTATTTTAAGTTTATCAATAATTGAATAAAATGTAATTAAAAGAATACATTTTAATTTAAATCACTTTAATTTAAACTTGTTAATTATATTTTATACATAAAAACATGCAAGAATTAAAAAAAAAACTGCATTTTACGTTTCATAGGCTACGTTTGCTGCAGCAAACTAAACGATGAAACGGAACGCATTTGTTTGTTGACGTTTCACGTCTCGTCTGGAGTTTACTAGAAATTGTGGTATTTTCATTAGTGGTTTGTTATTTTATTCGCATTTCGTGACAATAATGTCTAACTATCCAGATTTAGTGAATAAGTTCGGCAAGGAGACGGCCCGGGCTGCTTGTAAAAAGTGTGGTTATGCTGGGCATCTTACGTTTCAATGCAGAAACTTTATAAAGGTAAAAATCTTTGATTTTGTTGTTAATTACACAAACTATTAAGGTATCTATTTATTAATTAGCTTTATTATACTCAATTACAGTAAAACTATCGATTAAATGGCAAAAAGATCATTGTTTTATTTAGATAAATTGCCATTTCACTTAAATTTTTAAGTCTACTAAAGTACATATTAGAACCACTTCTAATATCATTAGCAAAGTAAATAAGGAGCAAAATAACTGACCAAAATATCTTCATCTACAAATAACACTACTTAACACAGTTTTCATTCATAGCTTTAACCACAATAATTCTGATCACTCCAGGTGGATCCCAATAAAGAAATAGTGCTTGATGTGAGCAGCACAAGCAGTGACTCTGAGGAGGAGTACGCTACACCACTACAACGGCTCCGAGAAGCAGAACTAAGGCAGAAGTTACAAGAGAAGCTACAGAAAGCCAAGGAGAAGAAGAAGAGTAAAAGTAAAAAGAGAAAGAGATCTCGGTAAGTGACAGTATTCTTTCTTTCATAATATTGTGACAATTTTAACTATAGGAATATGTAGAGATGTGTTTATTTTGTCTACCAGTTACATTATGGCTCTAATCTTGTTCTAAAATACAGTTTACGAGTCATTGCCTAGGTATAAATAGAGAAAACTTATTAAGGTCCCTTTGGTGTTGGTTTAATAGATTATTCATCTAAGAATATTAACTTCATATGCATTGACTGTGAATTGCATGATTGGAATGAGTTGGCAAAAATCTGAAACATGGTTTACAGTCAAACCCTGTCACAAGTCTTGTCTTAGCAACAATATCTATAACTCCTCATTATGTTCACAGGTCATCAAGCACCTCGTCCACAACTAGTACCTCTTCATCATCATCAACATCCAGCAGTGATTCAGACAGTAAGAGCAGGAAGAGGAAACATAAGAAGAAATCAAAGAAGTCCCACTCAAAGAAGTCTCATAGCGAAAAGAAAAAGAGTCGGAAATGACGTTTGCCATTCTCTTTTCGATTGTAGTTAAGATGCCATAGTTAGCCATTATTTAAATTCTCATTTTCACCTTTTATAATATTATGATGCAATATAATGGGTATGTTATGTCAAGTGTGTATCGTTCTTAGTTCACCATAATTAATTCCCTTTTTATATACACCATAAGTACTAAGTTATATTTGATTTTATATTTTTTTAATATTGACCTAATTTTAATTTTAGTAAAAGACAATTAAGATTAATATAAAACTGTCTTGACATTTGTTAATGTTAATTATATTTGGCATGATTAACTTGCTTTGACTTTGAAATAATAATAGGGTATCTTCCTAAATTTTATTTTAAAGTCCTGGTAGATTTATTTAAAACATAAACACATATTTTTTCTTATTTCACAAAATGTAATACTTTTGACGATACATTATTCTGAAATATCTCGTGTGAAGACCTTCCACTCCTAAACTTAACACCATTTTATTTAAGTATTGACACTTTATACGAGAAAATAAGAAATAAGTCTAATATTTTTTAATTATTTAACTGACAGACTAATCAGATTTTTAAATTTCATACCCTGGCAACTACTCTATCTAGATAAAAGTTGGTATTACTTTTGCCATTGGTTATAAATTAATTATTATCGTTAGCTTAACATATTATTCGGTTAAATGTCACATAAAATTATCGGCTAATTAAACAGCCTGTCTTTTTATACAGAAGTAATATACTACTTTAGAATTACTACAATAGTAACAATAAAACCCTACCCTTATATAATTTTGTATTTGTAGTTTATGGGTTAAAACAAGATCATTGAGAAAAGGCCGGACACAGTATTTTGACACAACAACTGTGACACCTGGTTACTATATATCTTAAGTCTGGTAATGTGGTAACCCATTACACACACATACACATAAATATACCACTGACATTTTGGCGCTACAATCATTTCTAAGTGACATTATGTCCGTCTTTTTCAACGTCCTTGGGTTAAAAAACATATAACTTGTAAGACTGGCCTATTGTTAATCTTATGTTATATTTCCATTAATTTACATTAGGATCATCACCAAGACAAAATATTTTGCATTGATTACTGTAGTCTTTATACCTATAATAATAAGGCTGATAATATTGTAAAATTATAATTAAGTTTTAATTAGTTAAATTTTATTATGTAGTGTATTATAATGAAATCGAATAAAAATGTATTAAGATTAAGCTGTGTTTTTGTACTTACATTCATTGTTGGTTTTTCACGAAATCTGTTTCTATTGTGTCTCATTCATAATATAGTGGATGTAAGGAGGTTAACACCAAGTATACAATACTATATCTCATTCAGCCTATTGTTATTCAATGCACTCCGACAGCTTTACTATACCAATTCAAATTCAAAAATTATTTGCGTAAATAAGGTACAGATAGTTTGTAATTTTATAATAATATAATTATAATTTAGGCTTCAACGTCGGCATGCAAAAATATTTGGTTTTCCGTATTAATTTACCATCGGCTTTACCGGACGATTAGTTTGACTTGAGATAAAGTAACTTTTATTATTACCTGGTACTAAGGCTGCATAGTAGTTACAGAAATAACACATTTTGAGAGATTTGTATTCAATTGTTTCATCATTGATAGTGGATCGTTGCTATTGCACTTGTAACAGGCAACCTTTACCGTTACGACTTAATTATTTTATTGATAAACAAGTTACAAACAGTATACACACAATAACTACAAACTAGAACATTATCCTTACCTAATAAGACTACTGAGTTTAGATGGCAGGTTGTCCATTTTGTAAAAACAAAGCTCGTACATAGATCAGACATATAACTAAACCCTGTCCATCTAAGAAAGAATTAATGAATGAAACAGACAATTAACAATGTTAATTGAGCATTACACACTAATATAGCACCTCATTGGTACAATATTTACATGTTTACAATGCAATACTTAGCCAACAACAGGAATGTCAAGTTACAAACAAGTTTACAAAAGTTTTAAGAATTTATAAAGAGTATTAGTTATCAGATGCTTTTATTACGTAGGAATATTAATCTTATATATTTCAAGATAGAGTTTGACTTTGAACACGTATAAAATAATGCTGTAATTACACCTTGCTTAGCCGTAAGTTGATACGCGCGTGAAAGTGGGCTAATATAACTTTCGCCTACTAATAAAGTAATAAAACTAACCTTATAAATACAATAACTGTTGATATTTGAACTGGAAATTACCCAGTTACATAGCAGTTAATGATTATTTTATTAGTAAATAACATAACATACCTTATCATTGGAATTTGGCCAAAGTTTTAAGTGAAGGAACCAGGATGTCGTATTCTAAGAATTAAATCACACATGTGCATTTCTCACGCATTGTACTATAAACGTTGTTATTTATTAATATATTCCCACGGTTATCACTATTCACATCACATAAAAAGCTTAGAATATTTTGGTTAAGTTATTCTAAGTTTCAATCAAGTTCACGTCAAAAGTTCATTGATCCTAGCGACATCTAGCGTATGGCACGCGAAGTTCAACAAAGCTCGATCAATCGTAGCGGGTGCGTTCATTGGCGATGAATGCTCGGAATGCATCCAGTTTACCAACGCTGCATTCTTTTATCTTTACACATACTTATGGGTGTCGTTTAAAAGTTGCACGTAATTTTTTCTCGTAAGGAAATGTCTAACAACTAGATCTTGATCGGTCAGTTGTCGCAGTCTAGGACGGCGGTCTGGTGGCGGTTGTCTGCAAAATTACCGTAATGTTGAAAAATTAATTACCTATTGAATTTTAATTTAATGTTAATTTTGTGAATATTCACTTACTTTGTACAATAAACAGTACAACCGCCAAGTAGTCGCAAAAAGGCGGGCAATGCAAATTCTAAAGACGCTTCGTCCATAGCTAAGACTTTTATTAATTGAATAGGATCAGTTTTCATTGATGTCATGTTGCATATTGTATCCTAGAAAGAAAAAACTTCATGATTTTGTGTAATATAACGTTCTTTCTTGAGGGGCGACCAGATGTTGTCACTGGGCTAAAATGAATGTAGGTAAACAGGTAGATGAGGTAGGTATATGTTAAAGAAAAAAGATAAAATAGGTTTTTATGAAAGATGGTAGGAGTAGGTCGATAAGAGAACTCGGTGCCCCTTATAGGTAACGATAGTAGCCACTGAGGTGGCATTAGTGTTGTTGGAATCTCACACGCCTTAGACTTTCTCCCTAAAACGCGACACCTTTAAATTGTTCCCCCCGTAGTAGAAAGGTTACCTCAGTCAAGGCTATGACTTGAGCTTGTTGACGTTCCAGGGACTGGACCAGGTCCTTGGTGATGGTGACACATTTCCTTTTGACTTGTTTCACACATTCCTTGTATAATGATTTGCCTTTACCATGACACTTCTTTTCCACAGCCACCGTCGCTCTAGTAGCCTGAAATAGATTTCTTTTTGTTAGTAGTTAACCCGTCGTGTGTCTAAACGTGGATCCACACGAGACGAAATGTATTTTCTATTGTGTCTCATATCGGTGCATTCAAGTGGTTAAGTCCTTGCTTAGCTGTCCTATTGCGTCACCGACTATGTAATAAACTTTTGATGCCTATTTTAAAATATCCAACCCTGACTCTACCATATTACTTCCCACCTTCCTACGACCGACAACTCACCTCCTTAATATCCTTAAGTAAGAGCAGAGTCTTTTCATGGTAACTGCGGAACATCTTTAGTAAAGTCCTCTGTGTGAAGAGCACCAAGTCCAGTTCTGTCGGTATCACGTAAGGTCCAACACTCGTAGGCCGTTCGTTCACCGAACATTTTTTAACCAATTTTTTCATCTGGAATTTTGTTTTCTTTGGTATTTCAGATTTGACAGTGACCTGTGAAAATAGAGTTAAGCATGTTTTGTTATTAGGTACCTTGCCGGAGTTTTTCACCATTTAATACTAAATAGATACAGGAAGTGGTCTTGGTGGCCACCAAGACTACGAAGACGTAGGTTTAAGACGTCTGCTTCTTATGTACGAGCGTGTGGTTCGAAACCTACTAACAGCAAGTAATAATGTAACTTTTACTTTCTAAGAATATTTAGACACCACTGGCAAGAGCTGAAGGAAAACATCGTGAGGAAACCTGGGCTTAAAATGTCTAATTAACTATAAGTTTGAAATCGCCAAGCGTGGTGCTTAATGTTCAAACCTTCACCGTGTGAGAAGACGCTTTGCTACGCAGTGGGCTTTTATAAGCTGTTGATGGGAGAAACATGAATCGTCATTCAGTAGGTAACTACACTCCCATTTACACAACGAAATGCAAAGCAAGCGTTGTTGCACGCTGCTTTTCTGTGAGTCCATGGTATCACGTATCGAAACGGTCGAACGCGAGAATGGGTCATTATTTTTTACAATGGTGTTTACCTTTTATATCAGTCTCAGAATCATATCAGTCTGATTAACTGCCGTACTAAGAGACATTTAAACGGTCAAACACCAAGCGGTCACCGGTGACCGCGACCTATTGTTCTTTAATTGTGTCTATAAAACCGGTACTCGACGAGTTAAGTAATGATTATTGAAACTTATTCAAACTTTTCCTTTTTTTTCAAAATAAATGTTGCCCCGCAGTAGGATTTTCTCCCGTGTCGTGGGTGCGCTTACAAACATATAAGTTCACATACACATGACACTCAGACCAGAAACAACAATTTGTGGATCACACAAAGAGTTGCTCCGTGCTTGAGTTGAGCCGCTACACGTTGCGCGGAAGCCGGTTGGCCACCTATCGCGCCAAGCGTGCAGCCTTAAATGACTGAGTAGTCTAAGTACGGCGCTAAGTCGGGTAAAATAAGGACTACCGAGGGGCTTACGATATGATATTATTATGTTGGTCACACTTACTTCGATGCTCATAGATGAATTATCCAATTGGTTAGTATTTTCTGCAATTCCTTGGATTTTTGGCTGCCACTTTGAAATATTCTTCACATTGGGAATGTCATCAAAACCATTAAACTGTTCGTAGTTTACGTAGCACTGGCAGATAGTGATGGTCATCGAGACGATTATTAGATCTGTTCACAAAATTCACAGATAGTTAAGTAACTAATGTAGAATAGAACATTTTTAAAAATTTATTTCTCTCATCATCATTTACAAAATAATATACAGCAAACAATTTTACAATTAAACCTGAGACTGGTGTCTGTTGTAGGTCAATAGCACATAACACTCCTTTGCTGAACCTCAGGTCACCGTTACATAAGAGGGGTTGCCAAAATTTCTACGCATTTTAATATTTAGACATCGAACAAACCGACATTGGTTTCTACGTACATATTTAAAAAATGTTATCGAGGGGTAACTGACTATTTGGTTTAACCGACATTTTGGTCGATATTGAGTTATATATATATTCGGAATCAGCGAAGTTTTCTCCGTCGAATATATAATTATAATAACTCAATATCGCCCAAAATGTTGTTTAAACCAAATAGTCCGTTACCCCTCGTAATTATTTCTAGGTAGGTATATAATAAACTAACTACAGTACCTAATTAAAGATATAGAAAAATAAACCCAAGACTACAAATGAAAAATGTGATTTCTGAAAATTCTTTTTAGAATAATTACCCACATAAAATATTACGAAAAAACATTGCGCAATATTTACAAACAAGATTTTTATTTTATTAGCCACAAAGTAAGTAAATTCGATATGCTAGACTGTCGTACAACAAGTGATTTCACTGTTTACACTTTAAAAATCCGTGTGGTGAAAACAGTTGATTAATCGCGAATGTTTTCAGAATACAGCATAAGTTGATTGTATAACAATAACGGTTTATGCCAGTGGTTCTTAAACTTTTACTTGTACCTGTCCGGATATTGTAGGTAATAACAGATAACATTAGGTATTTAGGAGTTATTCTAGATGAAACCCTTTCCTTTAAACAACATATCGCTGCTTTAACATCTAGAGTTCGGAAACTGATATTTGTTTTTAAAAAATTGCAGTTTATTGGTGATCACAAGTTAAATATTCAAATTTATAAAGCCCTGTGTCAATCGATAATCCAATACTGCGTTACTTCTTGAGGCGGAAGTGGAAAAACATTGATACTTCCAATCGAACGAGCCCAAAGAGCCATCTTGAAAGTCGCCACGCACAGACCGTACCGCTACCCCACAGGCTTAGGCCCTGGCCACAGCTTCTAGCGGTGCGGCGCAAGCATAAAGTTAGTGTTTCCTAACCTATGTATGTATAATTGTATACATGTGTTGGTTTTGTAATATTGGTGAGTGTAAAAAATAATATTGTTAAGGCTTAGTTATATTATCCTAATGTATAATGCACGCGACCACAAAGCCTGTGGTACAGATTTTATTCTATACAGGCATTGTATTGTTACCTACCTAGAATAGTTAAATAATAAGCTTAGATTAAGTGTATGTGAACAAAATGGAAATAAATATATTTGTTTGTTTGTTTGTTTGTTTTCAGCTGTACCCAACTAGTGAACTAAGTAAGAGTTTAATAATAATTTAGTCATAATGCACATTTTCACGTCTATCTATCCATATCTATATCTTGTATACGTATAATAAAACTGTTGTAGTGTAAATTCTGTATATTGAGTATGTAAAAAGTAAAATAGGGGATGTTACTAGATATACCTACCGAACCCAAAAGTATGACTTAAAAAGTTCAATATTTTTTATGGATTAGGAGGCAAACGAGCAGATGGATCACCCGATGGTAAGCGATCAGCTCCGCCCATGAACACCCGCAATACCAGAGGAGTCACACGTTGTCGGCCTTTGTCGTAATTACCTTAACTTTTAATATAGTGAATGTAATATTTAAATATACAGCCACTAGGGATATAAAGCTAAATAAATTATGCTAGAAATTATTTGAGGACAGCCATAAATTTTCCACAGAACTTTGAGTACCTCTGTCAACCGGTGAAAAGGTTTTTCTTGAAACCGGTTATTTTGTCGTCATTTTTTGGACTGATTAAGCTTTATTAGGTGGCGAGTCCGATTTTGGCCGTGGGAGTTGGACCTGTCAATAAATATAATGCCATCTGTAATCATTTATATATAGATGGATCTGCTGCCCATCATATAGATAGATGGGCAGCGGAGTCTTAGTAATAGGGTCCTTCTTAGGTAATTTAGCCGTACCCTTTTGGTGTAAAAACTTGAACAAGAAAGAAGGGCAATTTTGACTTAGTACTAGGTAGGTACTACATTGAGTTTGTATTTTTAAAGTGAGATGTAAGTACGTAATAAACTTACGAATTTTCCAGTCGAGCGTTGCTAAAATCCGCCTTGCGGTTTCTTGGTCACGTTTTGTTGTCATACTCGTATAGCGTGATTAGTACTACATTTCTGACACTCGAAGTAATTCTTTTTCGTTTTCCTGCAATTTTTTCTTAATACGTTGCCCCACCTTAGGATTTTCTCCTGTGTCGTAGGTGCGTCTACAAACATACAAGTTACAACACATCACACCCAGACCCAGAACAATAATTATTGTACTCTTATTAGGTACTTGAAGACTTAATATTCCTATTTTTCAGTAGTTTAGTAGGGAATACGCGCCTCGTTGATTGACCGTCCAACTGCCAAGCAAGATGACTTAGGTTCCATCCCTTAATGCCAAAGCACTACCTAGAATTGAAGATTTTCATGTTGTATACAAGAAATAAAGCTGGTGGAAAGTGGATATTACATTTTATAATTATCTGCATATCTGCCTAAGTAGCCTATGTTACTCGTTGCGGAGAACCGAACGGGTTACCGGGGCTCTGGCTCGAAGTGCAGGAGTACGAACAGGGTGGTTTTTAGTCAGTAAGAGTCTGAGACTCCCTTCCGCCTCACCCAGGCTGGAGAAGTCATTCGATGATTTTCGTCGTCGTATCTGTCGCATCGATCGTATTTGTCGTGTCGGTCGTATTTGTCGTGTCGGTCGTATCTGTCGCATTTATCGTATCTGTCGTATTTGTCGTGTCGGTCGTATCTGTCGTGTCTGTCGTATTTGTCGTATCTGTCGTGTCGGTCGTATCTGTCGTATTTGTCGTGTCGGTCGCATTGGTCGTATTTGTCGTGTCGGTCGTATCGGTCGCATCTGTCGTATCTGTCGTGTCGGTCGTATCGGTCGCATCTGTCGTATCTGTCGTGTCGGTCGTATCTGTCGTGTCGGTCGTATCGGTCGTATCTGACGAATAGGTCGCATCAGTCGCATCTGTTGAATAGGTCGCATCTGTCGCATCTGTCGTATCTGTCGCATCGGTCGTATTTGTCGCATCTGTCGTGTCGGTCGCATCGGTCGTATTTGTCGTGTCGGTCGCACCGGTCGTATTTGTCGTGTCGGTCGTATTTGTCGTATCTGTAGTGTTGGTCGTATCTGTCGCATCTGTCGTATCTGTCGTGTCGGTCGTATTTGTCGTATCTGTCGTGTCGGTCGTATCGGTCGCATCTGTCGTATCTGTCGTGTCGGTCGTATCGGTCGCATCTGTCGTATCTGTCGTGTCGGTCGTATCTGTCGTGTCGGTCGTATCGGTCGTATCTGACGAATAGGTCGCATCAGTCGCATCTGTCGTATCTGTCGCATCGGTCGTATTTGTCGCATCTGTCGTATCGGTCGCATCTGTTGTATCGGTCGCATCTGTCGCATCTGTCGTATCTGTCGCAACGGTCGTATTTGTCGTGTCGGTCGTATTAGTTGTGTCGGTCGTATTAGTCGTGTCGGTCGTATCTGTCGTGTCGGTCGTATCTGTCGCATCTGTCGTGTCGGTCGTATTTGTCGCATCTGTCGTATCTGTCGCAACGGTCGTATTTGTCGTGTCGGTCGTATTAGTTGTGTCGGTCGTATTAGTCGTGTCGGTCGTATTTGTCGTATCTGTAGTGTTGGTCGTATCTGTCGCATCTGTCGTATCTGTCGTGTCGGTCGTATTTGTCGTATCTGTCGTGTCGGTCGTATCTGACGAATAGGTCGCATCAGTCGCATCTGTCGTATCTGTCGCATCGGTCGTATTTGTCGCATCTGTCGCATCGGTCGTATTTGTCGCATCTGTCGTATCGGTCGCATCTGTCGTATCTGTCGCAACGGTCGTATTTGTCGTGTCGGTCGTATTAGTTGTGTCGGTCGTATTAGTCGTGTCGGTCGTATCTGTCGTGTCGGTCGTATCTGTCGCATCTGTCGTGTCGGTCGTATTTGTCGCATCTGTCGTATCTGTCGCAACGGTCGTATTTGTCGTGTCGGTCGTATTAGTTGTGTCGGTCGTATTAGTCGTGTCGGTCGTATCTGTCGTGTCGGTCGTATCTGTCGCATCTGTCGTGTCGGTCGTATTTGTCGCATCTGTCGTATCTGTCGCAACGGTCGCATCTGTTGTGTCGGTTGTGTCTCTCGTATCTGTCGTGTCCATCGTGTCGGTCGTGTTTATATTTTCGGTCTTGTTAGCCGTGCCCTAATGAAAGTTCAAAATTGGTTGTCATTAAATAACTTAGTACTAAACGATAAAAGGCAAAATGTATCAGATTTGTTTTGCCAAACGTTGAAAGCAATGAATGTGATATATTACTGATCCAAATGTGGACGTACCCTTAAATAGTATGACGTTAAGTGAGTGCAAGTGAGTGTTACTATCAAATTAAAACTGCATGTAGTATTCCCACCAAAGAGGGAGACAAAAACATTTTCCAGGCAACGAATAACATTATGGATCACAATAAAAAACAACAACATTGCCATGGCAACCGCCCAGTTTTATCAATAACATCATCTGTGACCCTGTACTTACCTACTTACCTATTAAACTCTTTGGACACCGCTGATAGTAAGGTATCCTTCAAAATGACGTTTATACACAAAAATTAAAATTATTTGCCCGCAAAACCAGTAAAATTACCTATCAAAATAACTGGAATGCTATCGTTTATGGTCATTAAACAAATTTTGAAACAGCCAATTATATTCTCTTCGTCTAACAAACCGTTCCCTTCTTACTTCGAATTCATCCTGAAAAATGACTTTCCAGGGTCATTTGCAGACTTTCAAGAGATTTCCAGGAGTTGGAAGGCTTTGATATGGATAAACCGTTGAGTGCTGGTGACTTTGCCGCCATGGAGGACCAGCTGAAGGCCTGTGTGGAGAAAGACAGGCAGTACTGGAGGGTTAACGACGTCAAATGTGATGCTATACACACCGCCAAAACTTATGAGGAGTTTGCGTGAGTACCTAAGTATATATATTCTACACATATAATAAAACTGAAGAAGTGTAAATTCTGTACATTGAAAATATTAGTGTTGACAGAAGCTATGATAGTTGTTAGTATTTTTCTTCATTTTTACTTTACTGAGGTAAAATTGTAGCTCTTTCCATCGATTTATGATTATTGCGTCTTTATTGTAATAAAATAAATAAAATAACCACCCTTGTAGCAGTAAAAATATGTCTAATGCCGGAATACTGAAATGTTACTCAATTTTAAGTCGTGCTTAAATATCGTGCCATCTCTGTCATTTTTCAAAGAATTTGTGGAGACAGAACTATACTTAAGCGCGACTTAAAATTGAGTAGCGTTTCAGTATTCCGACATACATCATAAAATGTACGTAAACCAGTCCTTAATTAAGGATCTTTATGTACTATACTTTGTGTATTGAACGTACATTCCCTGTAGTAGTTGGATATTCCGCTTTGAATACAAGGAGGAGGCGACCTTATACATCGGTCACATTTTCATTTCCAAAACCTATAATATGTAACTTATGTCACCATGTAGGGACCTGACAGACTCGAGACTTACTCGTAGATATATGCTTGTGACTATCTCGCAAAAACCCCCCTATTACATGGGACTCATAACATAAATAGTGAAAAGTGGGTGTTACACTGTACAGTGGTATAACGTGCACCTCTACCCCTTCGAGGATAAAAGGCGTGATGTTATGTTATCTCGCAATAACTACTCTATCACTTTGTATTATAAAACAGATGAGACTTGTGTTAATGTAACATTCGCTTGTCGCAGAGACCGCGTGGCTGCTGCTCACCTGCAACCTTTAGACCAGAAAGACTTTAAGAAGAAATATAATCGCAAATGGAATCAGTACGCTACTGAGGACAAACAATCTACTGAATAAATTATTGACTATTTAATAACATAAATTGTGTTTTTATTTACATCGAGGAAGAGGTGTCAAACGCTGGACATTTCGTGCCGGAAAAAAATGCGACATTTTATTAAATACGGATATATTGATCTTAATTCTGTTACAATATAGGTCATAAAAATAATAATAGTTTACCTAGCTACACTTTACTATAAAATAAAAATTACATTTCTAAAAATAAAACTATTAACAAAATGATTATTTTATAGAGTAGAGACGATTGAGGAGCTTCGATTGTATTTAGAACATCATTCTATTAACCTAGAAGTACCAGCAATATTGTGACGCGATTGCAATGTAAATATGAACTGGTTTACTATTTTTATAACTTCTGTCTTTGGCGTGTCCGGTGAAGCACAACGCAAACGTTGTATCACGCTGGTTTTCTATATCGCCGTGGTATCACTCCGGCCTAACCTGCTTATTCGTGTGCAAGCATTACCCTGTTCTGGAACACATTTGTTTATAGTTCAAGTACTATTTCTATTTATCCTTCTTTTTATGTTTGGGATTGGACATTAGAATGACGATTTCTATCTTAGTATGTTTGCTCTCCCTCTTCGGATGGTAGAACCGACGGTCGCTGCGGTTCATTGGTACCAGGGGTTTGTGGTACCAGCCGTAGCTGTAATAAGAAGGTTTGTTGAATATGGAGAGAGTGGTATAGTATGGTGAGACTTATATAGATCTCTCTCAGACTAACATAGGTAGAATTAAGTGGCGTGTCAGGTTGTATCCAACCACAGGTTAAACGAACCATCAACCTGTGGACATTATTGTAACATATGAACTACGGAAATAAACATCTTTTTATTCTATTTTACTCTACTCTATTCTACTCTACTCTATTCCTCTGTACTCTATGCTATTCTATTTTACTCTACTCTATTCCTCTGTACTATATACCATGCTATTCTATTCTATTCTATTCTATTCTATTCTATTCTGTTCTATTCTATTCTATTCTGTTCTGTTCTATTCTATTCTATTCTATTCTGTTCTGTTCTATTCTGTTCTATTCTATTCTATTCTGTTCTATTCTATTCTATTCTGTTCTGTTCTGTTCTGTTCTATTCTATTCTATTCTATTCCATTCTATTCTATTCTATTCTATTCTATTCTATTCTATTCTATTCTATTCTATTCTATTCTATTCTATTCTATTCTATTCTATTCTATTCTATTCTATTCTATTCTATTCTATTCTATTCTATTCTATTCTATTCTATTCTATTCTATTCTATTCTATTCTATTCTATTCTATTCTATTCTATTCTATTCTATTCTATTCTATTCTATAGTATGGTGAGAACTGTTGCTGCGAATGCATGTACAATAAAGTGTAACTTCAGTATCTTTTAACTAATATCGCACTTTAGGCTTCCTACTATGGAATGGTAAGGCGATCTGCTAAGTAGATATAGGGTTAATATATTCTTAACCTAGAAAAAAACAAGGTTTGGTTTTGTATTTACTGTAGGTACATTTGAGATATAATCTCCTGAATTAACTAAAAATTACGAGATACTTACAAACTTAAATATGTATACTGAAAAAAGTTCTACTAGTTTCGAGTCACAGAGGGACTCTTGCTCAAGAGCAACGTGCGCGGTCGCGGCGTTGTCGCGCAGCCTACTGGCTGGCGTTGCTGCTATTGTACTTTCCACATGGTAAAATACTTTTGAAATCGAAATTCTATGGTCTGTAAGACATGACTCACGTGTTGTTGTTGATCCTATAAAATTATTTTGAAAAACGACCCTTACCATTGGTTCTCAGTAGCTGGCGCTTCGTATTTACTGCGAGGTCCCTTGGCTCTAGTCTGTGCCACATTGCTGTGGTAATCTTCTACCTTCTTCGTCTCTTCTATAGATTCAGCTTTGAGCTGGTCGTGAGCAGCGTAGAACTTACCGGTAACGGGTATAGCTGGATAAGGTTATGTGTTACTTTTTACTAGCGACCCGCCCCGGCTTCGCACGGGTGCAATATGCATGTATTATACATATAAACCTTTTTTAAGATACACTCTATGTATTTAAAAAACCGCATCAAAATCCATTGCGCAGTTTTAAAAATCTAAGCATATATAGGGAAAGACAGACGGCGGATAGCGACTCTGTTTTATACTATGTAGTGATATTGGAAATGGGTCTACGTTTGGCCACTATCTCGCCTGGTGGTAAGCGATGATGCAGCCAACGATGGAACACACCTGCCCATAAGCAACTTAATCTCTGTTATTGTTCTGATGACTTAAAGGTGGCAATTTAGGAGTGGACGTATTGTGTCTGATTCCCTTTTTAGTTTATCACTAGTTTCTTCTCACGGCTATGCCCGCTTTCCCGCGGTGTATAAAGTACCCTATATTATGTTATTCCAGACCACACAAACTGTCACATTCCTTCTTATTATCTAGATTTAAAAAAGAATAAAAATTAATGCGTTATATATCTTACATCCGAAGTTAGGCCGGTATATCTTGTAGTTCCTGAAGTTCTTCACCTCTCGGTAAATGATTTCGTTCAGCATGTGGATGTCTATTGGCATCCGCGTGCCAAACGTGCATTTTCCTTCAGTCATCCTGTCTGTGATTTAGCGGAGATTAAACTCTATGTTAGAGACGGTAAGGAGGAGTTTTGAAATCATTGCAATTCGTATTTTAAATAAACTAGGCATACTAGTGAATTTTATGAGAAATTCTTTTGCAACGAATAGGAAATCCATCATAGCGTGTGTAGTGCAGGCATATAATATAATACTGTCCTCGACTGTACTGTGTTTGATCATATAGTCTGATAGAGAAGATTGTTGTTGTATCGATTTGTACCCAATGTATCTCATCCAGTTCTTTTGATAACAGAATAGCCACAGTAATAACGGGACTGATAACAGGTAAAAGGTAAGAACACTATTAACAGGTACGTCTATAAAGTATTTTGGGGTAAAGCAGGCAGGTATATTATAATGCACGAATTTACCTATCAATGTTATTTAATATTTTAAGATTAGCATACCAAATTATGTTTAGATATTCGACCTATCTATATATATAAAATTCAAAGGTGATTGACTGACTGACTGACTGACATAGTGATCTATCAACGCACAGCCCAAACCGCTGGACAGATTGGGCTAAAATTTGGCATACAGATAGATGTTATGAAGTAGGCATCCGCTAAGAAAGGATTTTGATAATTTCCACCCCCAAGGGGGTAAAAAAGGGGATGAAAGTTTGTATGAAACTTTGTCAGTTTTTAACTGATCGGGTTAAAATTTGGCATGCAGATAGATGTTATGACGTAAGCATCCGCTGTGAAAGGATTTTGATAATTTCCACCCCCAAGGGGGTAAAAAGGGGATGAAATTTTGTATGAGACTTTGTCAGTTTTAAACCGATCGGGTTGTAATTTGGCATGCAGATAGATGTTATGACGTAAGCATTCGATGTGAAAGGATTTTGATAATTTCCACCCCCAATGGGGGTAAAATAGGGGATGAAAGTTTGTATGAGACTTTGTCAGTTTTAAACCGATCGGGTTGTAATTTGGCATGCAGATAGATGTTATGACGTAAGCATCCGATGTGAAAGGATTTTGATAATTTCCACCCCCAATGGGGGTAAAATAGGGGATGAAAGTTTGTATGAGACTTTGTCAGTTTTAAACCGATCGGGTTGAAATTTGGCATGCAGATAGATGTTATAACGTAAGCATCCACTTTGAAAGGATTTTGATAATTTCCACCCCCAAGGGGGTAAAATAGGGGATGAAAGTTTGTATGAGACATTGTCAGTTTTAAATCGATCGGGTTGAAATTTGGCATGCAGATAGATGTTATGACGTAGGCATCCGCTGTGAAAGGATTTTGATAATTTCCACCCCAAGTGGGTAAAATAGGGGATGAAAGTTTGTATGAGACATTGTCAGTTTTAAATCGATCGGGTTGAAATTTGGCATGCAGATAGATGTTTATGACGTAGGTATCTGCTGTGAAAGGATTTTGATAATTTCCACCCCCAAGTGGGTAAAATAGGGGATGAAAGTTTATATGAGCCTTTGTCAGTTTTAAACCGATCAGGTTGAAAGGATTTTGATAATTTCCACCCCCAAGGGAGTAAAATAGGGGATGAAAGTTTGTATGGGACTTTGTCAGTTTTAAATCGATCGGATTGAAATTTGACATGCAGGAAGACGTTATGACGTAGGCATCCCAAGTAAGGATTTTTAATTTTCACCACCTCCAATGTGGTAATGTAGGGGATGAACGTTTGTATGAAGCTTTGTCAGTTTTACACCGATCGGGTTGAAATTCGGCGTGCAGATGGATATTATGACGTAAACGTCCCTTTAGAAAGGTTTTTGAACATACTCACCCCAAGGTGGGTAAAATAGGGGGTGAAAGTTTGTATGATACTTTGCCAGTTTTAAACCGATTGGGCTAAGACTTTGCATGCATAAAGTTACTATGACATAGGTATCTTTAGAAAGGATATGATAAATTCCACCCCTAAAGGGGATAAAATAGGGAATTAGAGTTTGTATAAATCTTCTTAGCCATTGAATGTAGAATCATTGAATCTTTTGAATTACATTCGGTAAAACGATGATTTGGGACCTGGGTAACGTTTGATAGTTTTATCACAGATGTCCCACGGGAACGGGAACTATGCGTCAATGCCCCAGGGCTCTCTAACTCTTAACCACTGAACTTATTTTAGAGAGATTCGGTACAACAATAGTCGATAGAATAGTTTTTATTACCCAAACCTTACGTGATCGGGCACTGTACTGGTAAGATCCCTGCGGGATTATTTATTTATTGAAACTACGATAAATCATTTCAAAATAGGTAAATCTTACTTGGGCACTGAATTGATTCTGGTTAATTCTGTCAGAAGTCATTAATCTACGCGGACGAAGTCGCGGGCAACAGCTAGTTACTATATAAGACTGACTTACTTGATTTTTTATAAACTTCTAAAAAGTAAAACAATAAAAAATAAACTCAAGTTTTTATACAAATACTTTTAGACAACTTTCAAAAGATTTTTTTTAATTGACACTTTTGTCTTGTGACATGTGACATTTCAATGGATTTGATTAAAAGAGGCCTTAATACTAATAATTTACAGCTTGTGGTACTAACAAACAGAGAATTAAAATCGGTTACTGCTTTCGGCCGTAACTTAGTCTAAGAGGCGTAAGAAGGAAATAGGTGTGAGTTTTAAATATTTGGTTGTCACAGAGACCGCGTGACCGCTCTGCTCAGTTACAACCTCTAGACCAGAAAGACTTCACCGATGAGGCTCCGGCTCGAACTGCAGGAGAACGGGTAGTTTTTAGTCAGTAAGAGTCTGACACTCCCGTCTCACCCAGGCTTAAGAAGACATTAGATAATTTTTCCCCCTTAAAAAACAAGACCAGAAAGACTTCAAGAAGAAGTATAATCACCATTGGACCAGTACGCCACTGAGGAGATAAGACCTATTGAATAAATTTTAATGTAAGTTCAGCAAAGATGACTTCCTAAGATGGCACACTTTATAAAAAATTGCAATGATTATTACTTTTTTAGGTATCTTGATTGTCAAATAAACATATTGGAGGTTGTAATACCTGCAATATGTTTCTTCTCTACTTTATTTATCTACAAGATTAGACGAGGTTTTGAAATAAGGTGGGCCTTATTAGGCGACTGTACCTATTTATGTAACTGAAATTATGTTTTAATTTACAGTACTATGGCGTAATTTTTTTTTAAACGAAAGAAAATCAATATTTTGTTAAGTACGGTTTTATTGATTTTAATTCTGTTACAATATAGTTTTGGTAAAAAAATAATGGTTAACTTAGCTAGCTACTCATTACTAAAATAAAAAGTATATTTCCAAAAATATAACTTTCAAAAATCCAGTTCAAAAAAGGATTATTTTATAGAGTGTATAACAGAACAGAAAAAAATTTAGGACCGTTGATTGAATATTTGTGATTAACTTCCTTCGGTGAATTTGGTCAACTTCGTAATTAACCAAGAAGTAGCTGCAATATTGTGACACAATTGTAAAGATTGGCGGAAATTCTGTGCCCTGGTTCACCAATTTTGTAACTCAACTTGGGGCCTCCAGTACTTTCCTCATCTTGTTTCACGTCAGTTTTCTGTGAGGGGGTAATATCACTTCGGTTAAGCAGGTCGATTCATATTGGAGTATGGCTCTTCCAATGGGTAACCAGGATCCATAGAATGTACCTGTTTTTTTGGAAAATATTTTTGTGTTGTTTTCTATTTATTTTCCGTCTTTTTATGTTTGGGATTGGCCATGAGTATAATGATTTCTATCTTGGTCTGTTTGCTCTCTCTTAACGGATGGTAGAACCGACGGTCGCTGCGGTTCATTGGTACCAGGGGTTTGTGGTACCAGCCGTAACTGTAATAAGAAGGTTTATTGAATAAAGGTAGGTAATAAGAAGGAAAAAAGAAGGGAGGGAAGATGAATGATTTTAATCAATGAGTTCATGTCCAGTCAAAGCACAATGCCCAAAAATGTATGGAGGAAAATCCCTGAACCTATTTAATTAATTTATATGTGGGAAGGTATATACATAGTATATCTTAAATTCAATAATTGTTTTCTATGAAACCATTACCAAGTAATAAAAAAATAAGACCAGTTTATCATGGACTCCCTTTGTAGACCTTTTCGTAGATTTAACAGTCAATTTATATTAGTTGTTACAAAATCTCATCCTATTATGATGATGTTCGGAGTCGCGGAGAATCTAACGGGTTACCGGGGCTCCAGCTCAAAGTGCAGGAGAAGGAACGGGGTGATTTTTAGTCAGTAAGAGTCTGACACTCCCTCCTCCCTCATCCAGGCGAGAGCAATCATTCGGTGATTACTCCCCTTAAAAAAAAAGATGCTGTTGTGTTTAATCTTGGAAAACCTTTAGTTTGGAAGGTTTGCAGGCAATTGTTGTAATTGTAATTCGTTACCTGAATTCTTCATCACTTTCATTAGTAACAAACATCGAAACAAAAAAATACTATTATTCTGGCTCGTTCGGATATATTTTTGGCCAAAACTAATAGTGTATTTGTGGCCTATGGTATGTTAGACCCCAGCAGATGCTTTGCTCTGAATCGCCACAGGCATCATCCACGTGATGTTAATGTTAAAGAAGCTCCTTACGATTGGTTCTCAGTAGCTGGCGCGCTGTATTTGCTGCGAGGTCCCTTGGCCCTGGCCTGCGCCACGTTCATGTGGTAGTCTTCCACCTTCTTGGCGTGTTCTTCACTTTCGGCCTTGTGCTGGTCGTGAGCAGCGTAGAACTTACCAGTTATGGGGATAGCTGGGGAAGATATAGTTACTTATTACTTTAATATAAATAGCCGTTGATATTTCATAGTCGAACTATGAGCCTGTTAAATTGTATTAGAAGAATTCAAATATTATTACTGATTCCTTTGATTTTAAATTAGGCTTTTATTTCCAACTAGCTGTTGCCCGCGACTTCGTCCGCGTAGATTAATGACTTCTGACAGAATTAACCAGAATCAATTCAGTGCCCAAGTAAGATTTACCTATTTTGAAATGATTTATCGTAGTTTCAATAAATAAATAATCCCGCAGGGATCTTACCAGTACAGTGCCCGATCACGTAAGGTTTGAGTAATAAAAACTATTCTATCGACTATTGTTGTACCGAATCTCTCTAGAATAAGTTCAGTGGTTAAGAGTTAGAGAGTCCTGGGGCATTGACGCATAGTTCCCGTTCTCGTGAGACATCTGTGAAAAAACTATCATACGTTACCCAGGTCCTAAATCATCGTTTTACCGAATGTAATTCAAAAAGATTCAATGATTCTAAATTCAACGGCTAAGAAGATTTATACAAACTCTCATTCCCTATTTTATCCCCTTAGGGGTGGAATTTATCAAATCCTTTCTAAAGAGATACCTATGTCATAGTAACTTTATGCATGCATGCAAGTCTCAGCCAAATCAATTTAAAACTGGCAATATCATACAAACTTTCACCCCCTATTTTACCCACTTTGGGGTGAGAATGTTCAAAAACCTTTCTAAAGGGACGTTTACGTCATAATATCCATCTGCACGCCAAATTTCAACCCGATCGGTGTAAAACTGACAAAGCTTCATACAAACGTTCATCCCTATTTTACCCTTAGTGGTGAAAATTATCAAAATCCTTTCTTAGCGGATGCCTATGTGATAACATCTATCTGCATGTCAAATTTCAATCCGATCGATTTTAAACTGACAAAGTCTCATACAAACTTTCATCCCCTATTTTATTCCCTTGGGGGTGGAAATTATTAAAATCCTTTCAAAGCGGATGCTTACGTCATAACCAAATTTCAACCTGATCGGTTTAAAACTGACAAAGGCTCATATAAACTTTCATCCCCTATTTTACCCACTTGGGGGTGGAAATTATCAAAATCCTTTCACAGCGATGCCTACGTCATAACATCTATCTGCATGCCAAATTTCAACCCGATCGATTTAAAACTGACAATGTCTCATATAAACTTTCATCCCCTATTTTACCCTCTTGGGGGTGGAAATTATCAAAATCCTTTCAAAGCGGATGCTTACGTCATAACATCTATCTGCATGCCAAATTTCAACCTGATCGGTTTAAAACTGACAAAGGCTCATATAAACTTTCATCCCCTATTTTACCCACTTGGGGGTGGAAATTATCAAAATCCTTTCACAGCGGATGCCTACGTCATAACATCTATCTGCATGCCAAATTTCAACCCGATCGATTTAAAACTGACAAAGTCTCATACAAACTTTCATCCCCTATTTTACCCCCTTGGGGGTGGAAATTATCAAAATCCTTTCACAGCGGATGCTTACGTCATAACATCTATCTGCATGCCAAATTTTAACCCGATCAGTTAAGAACTGACAAAGTTTCATACAAACTTTCATCCCCTTTTTTACCCCCTTGGGGGTGGAAATTATCAAAATCCTTTCAAAGCGGATGTTTAAGTCATAACATCTATCTGCATGCCAAATCCCAACCCGATCGGTTTAAAACTGACAAAGTCTCATACAAACTTTCATCCCCTATTTTACCCCCTTGGGGGTGGAAATTATCAAAATCCTTTCACAGCGGATGCTTACGTCATAACATCTATCTGCATGCCAAATTTTAACCCGATCAGTTAAAAACTGACAAAGTTTCATACAAACTTTCATCCCCTTTTTTACCCCCTTGGGGGTGGAAATTATCAAAATCCTTTCTTAGCGGATGCCTACTTCATAACATCTATCTGTATGCCAAATTTTAGCCCAATCTGTCCAGCGGTTTGGGCTGTGCGTTGATAGATCACTATGTCAGTCAGTCAGTCAGTCAATCACCTTTGAATTTTATATATATAGATAGAAGATAGATGTAATGAATAACAAAACTGGTAAAAAGTGACTTAAGTAATTCCGAGTTTTTCTCCCTTCTTTTAATGCTACAATGGTTTTCTAATATTATCCAAAATGCGAACTTAAGTTGGTTAACGGTGGTTGGTTGACTGCCTCATTGGCCGAGTGGACGCAAGTGCGACAGCTGGGCAAGGAGTCTCGGGTTCGATTTCCGAGTCGGGTAAGTATTATTGGGTATCTGAAATTGTGCCCGGTATATGGCAATAGGCTTCCCCTTATTACATGGGACTTATAACATAAAATAGTGAACTATTTCTTGCCGATTCATCTACTCAACCTTCCTTTTGAAATTTTGCGTACAGAGGCCTTAGTACGAGTTTGTTTTACGTTTAAAGTATTCGAAACGAGTACGCGTTCAGCACTCTGATTGGTCGGCACCAATGAAGCAACCAATCAGAGTGCCGAATGCGTACTCGTTACGGTTACTTTAAACACAGTTGAGAATACGGAGAAAGACATTGGCTATGATGTTAAAGCCAGTAATTACACTATGCAATAAATGTATATAATTAAATACAACGTCTTACATCCGAAGTTAGGGCGGTATGTCTTGTAGTTCTTGAAGTGCTTCACCTCTCGGTATATGATTTCGTTCAGCATGTGGATGTCTACTGGCATCCGCGTGCCAAACGTGCATTTTGCTTCTGTCATCCTGTCTGTGAATGCAATTATAAACACCATGTTAAAGACAGTAAGGAGGAGTTTTGAACTCATTGCTATTTATATATTTTATTAGATAATTTAAAACTGCCCCGTTGGCCGAGTGGTCGCAAGTGCGACTGCCGGGCAAGGTGTCTCTAGTTCGAAATCCCGGGTCGGACAATGTATTACAGGGTTTTAAAAAAACTCTCACAACTTTGTGCTACTACACAGAGTCTGGAATTGTGCCCGATATATGGCAATAGGCTCACCCCCTATTACATGTGACTAATAATATAAAAAGTGAAAAGTGGGTGTTACATTGTACAGTGGCATACTGTGCACCTCTGCCTACCCCTTCGGGGATAAAAGGCGTGATGTTATGTTATAATTTAATAGTGAACATTGTGCGGATTTCTTTCTTATGCTACGAATTGGAAATTCATCGTTGCATTAGTTGTGCAGTCATGCATAACGTTGTAAGTTTGAGGAGTTAGTGGAGTCAGGAGTCTAGAATGGGGTGTTGTGTTTGATCGAGTCGAATAAGGAAGAAATAAAGAATTAATGATGCCTAATATGCACTCATTCTGACAAATGCGCTAGTGTCTGTAACATGGCAATAACTTATTTGGTAAACATTTGAAATACTACATGTAAAGTATTTTGGTGAATTGTACAAGCAGATAATATTATAAGTAAGTACGGTAAAATGGAGTGAATAGGGTTTGAACGGTGAAAAGGGACAGAAGAGGGGTGAATCGATACTATGAAGAATTTCCTTATATCTATTCACCCCTCTTCTGTCCTTATTCACCTCTCGATCCCTATTCACCCCATTTTACGTTATAGAACATTAGAGGTATACTCATTTTCTATTTAGTACCCACTGCAATATTTATTGACGAATTCTGTAACCAAAACTCACTCACCTAATTTATAAACACTCTAAAAATGTAAAATAATAAAAAAATAAACAAGTTTTTAACTTTCAAAAGGGTTTTTGATTGATGTCTTATTTGACGTGTTAGTATTTGACAGGTTAATTTACACAACCTTACGTTGGTTACGGATATAATAGAAAGAGGTATTAATACTAATTGATTAGCTTGTGATACTATCAGACACCAGGTAAAAGCGCTTTCTGATACACACAGTCACAGTCAGGACACAGTCTTTTTTTTGGGACAAGACCGCTACAACCTCCCAAAACCGCTGCAACTCCTGTAAGCCAGGATCTACAGTAGATACAATCACGAAAACACCGGAACACTGAAGTCCGGCGCGTCCCAGGGACATAAGCAACTGTCTTGGTTCCCGCAACGAAGTGAATCAGAAGATATTATGCGAGGAGAAGAAAAAAAAACACACCGTCCCTTGAAACAAAGACTGTGGCGCCTGGTTACTACAGACTTACACGCAGAATATACACACACGAAGGACATCTGTCATTTTCTTAACTCCGTGGTACACACACACGCACACATAAATAACCCACTGACATTTTGGTGCTTCAATCAATTGTAAGTGACATTAAATCCGTATATTTTTCAACGTCCTTGACACCCAGGTAAAAGCGCTTTCTTATAAACCTGAACCTTTTAAAATGCAATCTTTGATCCATCTTTTTTTTATAGCATAAGCCGGTAAACGAGCAGACGGATCACCTGATGGTAAGCAATCGGCGTCGCCCATGGACACCTGAAACACCAGAGGCGTTACAAGGGCGTTATCATCCTTTTGGGGATTAGGAGTTTGTGGATTATTGGGGATTCAGAAATTAGGAAGATTGGGGAAGGGGACGGGGTAATTGGGCTTCCTGTAACCTTACTCACACGACGAAACACGTTGGTTTTCTGTGAACCCGAGGTATCACTCCTGTCGAGCCGGCCCATTCGTGCCGAAGCATGGCTCTCCCACACTTGAGAACCACTCTCTCACCTGCCGAATATGTAGATTATGGCAAACCCATTTAAGTAGGGGAGGCCTATAGTCCGCCAGTGAACGGGCCAGGCTGTTGTTGTTGTGAATATGTTAATTAACGAGTTAAAGAAATGTAGACTGAAGTAGTGCAGTCTCCATTCACTGTATGCAAAAAATCCAACGTTATCAATGATCATTAACAATTGTTTGTTTCTACACTTGATGGGCCGACCTTTGACCACATACTCGCCTGGTGGTAAGCGATGATGCGGTCTACGATGGAGCACGTCCACCCATAAGCAACCTATTCACTCGGGCCTTGAAGACGCCTAGGTTTAGACTCTTCAGGAAACACTGAATCTTCCAAAGAATTCCACTCTTTAGCAGTACGCACAAGGAAGCTTGATGCGAAACGCTTCGTGCGTATGGGTAGGACATCTACCATGAATCGGTGACGCTTCGCCGATTGTCTTGTGGTACGATGATGGAAAGAATTTGGGGGAATCAAGTTGTACAAATCCACCGCACACCGGCTTTGAAGCCGGGCCTACTTTTATTTTTTTTGTCACTTATTGTCGAAATTGTCACTTCTTAACATAAGTCACTTATTTTTTAAAAGCAGTAATGTCCAAATACTCATACGCTACTCAAGTTTAAGTCGCACTTAAGTATACTTCTGTCACTTCTGTCGAAATTCTTTGTAAAACGACAGAGACAGCACGATGTAATTACAACTTCAAATTTAGTAGTGTTTCAGTATTCGGCCGCGAGTGACATAAATATTTTGTTTGTTTCAGCTATTTAACCCAAGGATTTCTCATCCACCATGACGTATCTAAAACTAGAAGATAGCCAAGCTGAGCTAAGGGGTTGTAATCTACAGATAGGGATGTTAATTTTAATGGGGAAGGTTAACAAGATCAGAGCTGGCCTTCCCGCCTTAATCTTAAGGATAGATTGCTACCGGCGGCTGTTCGCAACGCCCTGTGTTATACGTATATGTACATTCTGTATATGACAGTCCTTGGAGTAGGTCTATCTAGCTGAGTCTTGATATTTAGGTAATGGGAGTTTCGTAAATTCGTGTGGTGTAGTTGGATAAATAATTGGACCTAATAGTACTTAGTAATACCTAATCTATGAATTTTTGAGTGTGTCTTTGTGTGAAATATTGTGGCGTTGTTGCTTCAGTTACTCTTACACATATGTAACACATACGTGTTTTAGGTAGTTAATTTTGAGATAATTATTATAATCAATCTTTCTACAGTAAAGAAAACTAGTTTTACCTGAAATTATGATCGAATTCAGGGTTTCTTAACTCAAAAGGGAAGTTAAGTAGTTCGAGAGGCAGATGTAAAACATTTTCATCCTTAAAAGAATCTACCACAAAGACTTAAACACAAAGTAGGCACTTAAAAAACGATCCGGCGAATTTTTATTTGGTAAATTTTTTAGCTTTCATCGCAGGCATCGGAAACGGGAATAATTCCCAATCAATGGGGGCTATAATTTTCAAAAGAAATACCAATAAGAAATGAAAAATTCTCATTTATGATCCGTCCTTCCGCCGCGCGCCGCGCCGGGTGTCCCTGGACTGAATTTAAAAGCTTCAGCGTCGCTATATCTCTCATTCTTCGTGAGATCGGGCGCGTGAGGTGCCTTTGGTAGCTGGTATGGTCATGGGCGGAGCGATAGCGGGTTTTAAGGGTAAAATAATTGCAATAAGTACCATGTTACTGGTGAAATGTTAGTGTTAAGCTAAACATGTGGACTTCTGCCTAAGTCTTCACAATCAAAGATATGAATTTGTGTTCAATTACTCATAATTTAATTTCATATTCATAGTAATAGTTTCTGGTATTAGACGTTAGTTTAATTTGTTTGATACTCGTAAAGAAGAAACACTTCCCCTGCTTTTCTAATGGGTTTCATCCTACTGTATTTTTTTTCATTTTTTACCATTTTTGTAGGCTTTGACCCTGGTCTATAATGTTAGCTGTTTAATTGAACTTATGATAAAATTTTGAGTGGAGTATTATCGGCTCTGACTTCATGTTCCGTGTTTAAATTAGATGTCATTGTTGTCTCACCCTCTATTATTTTTTTATTTTATTATCATGAAACTATAATAACACTTAACATAAAAAACAGGCAAAAACAAGACATATATGTTTATCGTTTAAGTTAAAAACATGATTGACGTTATGCAGTTTAAGTACACAAACGTAAAACAACACTTATCTTAAGTTTAATTGGATATGCATAGTAATAAAGTGGTGTCTTGAAACACAGGTTGCATAAACCTAGTTCAAGCAAATCGCTACAAATATTAGTACTAGTCCTATTATTTTTCTGTTCACAGTTTTAAGCATAATGATGTATTATATTAGGTCTCCTTCTCGGGGTTGACCCGGTGAAAATGGGCACTGCGTCCCGCAACCCGCAGGCAAAACGATGCTCATAGCCCCCTTCTAAATCTGAATTCCAAATCTCCTTCTTCCTCTTCTGCTGACTACTTGACTACTGACACTGTTTGTGTCAGTAGTCTATGCTGTTCTGAATTTTGTGTAAGTGTAACTTGTATGCCAGTTGCGGATTTTGAGCTTTAGATGCATAATGTATATTATTATCTAGTTAATTGTTTACCCAGTGTCAGACTGCGCCTGACAATCCACAAACAGAGAGAGAGAGAGAGAGATGGCGGGAGATCGTGAGGAAAGCTGTATCGGCCACCAACACAAATACAACCGCCTCAACGTGACCATAACCACTCTGCCAAGAGCGAAACGACAGAGAAAAAGAAGAATTGTCTATCATAATTAAACTTTATTTTAACTTTTAACAACTTTAATTATGGTTTTTGTTCCTAATTATTTCTATAATAAAGTAATATCATTACCATACACAAACTTTTACACACACACACACACATTCTCACACATGCCCCTTCTTCCATTCCCCCTGTATTTCCAAATTGCACTATTATAGCCAGAAAAAAAGGTTTTATTGATATATTTTTTTTAACTTTTTTAATTGTATTGTAACCTACTGTTATTGTTAATTTTGTAAAAATGTCTAAGGAGGAGTGGGGTTTCCTAACACAGGCAAATCTTGCTTAAAAGGAATCCCCAAGCAATGGGTGATCCATTGTAATCACAAATAACA